TGCACTACAAGGGGTTCAGCTGTATCCACCTTTTGTCTGGTCTGTTCTCTGCACCATCTATGTCCTCCATCACTCGCTTATGTATGTAGCTCCTGAACTAGAAATAAGAAGGACTCTGGCCTGCCTTGCTCCCCAGTTGTTCTATCACTGACTGAGGAGTAAGTACCTCACTCTTATGTGCTCCTTTATACAGATCCTTACTGTATCTGTAGTTGCTTCTCTTCATGTGCTTACAGATACTACTTATGCCCTCAATACTAGTTGTTCTATCACTGACTAAGGATCGCTCCTCTTCATGTGTTTACAGTCAATTCCCGCCTTGCTCAGAGTTCATCAATGTGGTCTAACACACCTAATCATCTAACTTTTAGACATGTGCACTAGCACACTTAACAACAAACACATTAGGCCTCACATCTCACTAATGTGTCTAATGTGCCACATATTTACACCCATTAGGAGATGTCAAGCATGTATGATACTGGCACTCTAACTCCTGCAATTTGGGACTAAAAACTTGCTATTGGGAAGATCAATTGCAACCCATTGTACACTACTATTTCATTAATGATTCACAACAATATAGAAGTTCGGCAAGGATGAAATATATTGGTACTAACTATTGGAATCTGCCTGCATACATAGCAAGCTTGGTCATACAGTACCAGCACTTAGTCATCACGTAGATAGCCACCGTCCCTCGTCCCACACTCACCTCACATGTTTGCCCTTCCCCACCACCTTGTTCTCCCCCGTGTCCATCTGTACTCACCTCCTGGTGCCCATAGGGACCAACCACATTGTATTGATTGCCTTTACCCTCGTCCAACCTCAACTGAGCTGCCGACTTCTAACACAAATGTGTACCCTTGCCCAGAGGTCATTCTGCGCCCATGCCTGGCCTACTCATTGTCTGCGCCCTCGAATCTTGACAATCCAAAGCCCCCTCCGACCCGCGATCACCCCTTCGACTCCTGACCCGTTCGTGACCCTCTAATCCCACTTTCTCCCTACCAATCTTCAATCCCCACACCTTCTATTGCAAGAATCACCCCTTTATCTCCACCACCCTCGCATCCACCACCCCTGCAGCTCCTGCCACTGCTGCTGCTTCTTCTCTCACCAGTGTTCCTCACGGTTGAGTTCCACATTCAGAAAGTGCGCCGCCTTAGCCATGGCACCTGGCCCACCACCTGCACCGTTCCGGAGTGGTTTGGAGAGCCCCATTGTGGCTTTCTCTTACTAGGTTCACGGGACATTTGTACAATTTTATTTACAATCCCCCCATGCATTTCCTCATTCTCTCTTCTTTCCTTTGTGCTCCCCTGTCAGCATTTTGTGGTTACTTTCGCAGGCCATCATTAGCATGCTCATCAGCAAAACGAGGGGTGGCCGAACGAGCGCTATAGAGCCTGGCGAACGCGGATGATGTCAGCTCAGCAGACGCCAGACATCATCAGACCAGATGTCCAATGATTAGACACTATCGGCTTGCGTCTTGTAGGGCTCTGCTCGAGTGACGATAATCTGGTAAGACATTTATTGAGAGAGCACTAGGAGCCAGATGCACTCTAATACCAGTGCCACCAGTAAGCTAACGATGTTCTGACTGCACTCCAGCTCTTTCTTAGCCTGAAAAAGCAAGGCATCCCTACATAATGAGCCACATCTATCCCCACGCAGACACCTGCACGCTTGCTCTTGTCGCACCCTTGCCCTTCAAATCTACGTCCCACCTCCCCGATCGCGAATCTCACCCTGTGGGGTGCCGCGACACACAGGCCATGTCTATAAGGGTCCCGTCAAGATACGACACAGTGGCGGCTGGTGTGCGCCCTCCATCGAGTTGAGCTCGGAGTGCCCTGCCATCCTTTGCGCTATGTAATTGCCTTCCTTCCCTCTCCTCCATGTTCACGGACTCCGCCCGCTTTCTCCTCCGCGACACCCAGCTCGGACGTCCAGTCCCACAGTACTTGTGCCCCCATCGGACTAGATCTCGAATCTCCGCGTCTTATACCTAGTACCCGGACTAGTCTCCCTCACTGTATCTCCTGAGTCATAAGTGAGTTTGTAGTTGTTGGCCAATTGCTCAGTATTGGTGACGGGCCTCACGGAAGCTAGTGGCTGGTGTTGCTAACAGCGGGTAACTCTTACCAATTGTTGTCACCCATTTTAAGCGCGGTCTGGTCTGGCAATGGTATCCTGGTCAATATGAACTTGGCTCAACAAGGTCATTTATATCACTAGGGCCCGCACTGCAACAGTACGGATTGCTTTCCCTTCTCTTTGTTTTTCTCCCGCTTCACCCAATATTCCAGATACAGAAAGTGCAGCACTGAACAATTCTATGAGGAGCAGGAATGCAACTTTTCAGGTGAGCACCTTCCTGAGCTCAATGCGTCCGACACTTACCCACGCTCTGGAACCTGTTCACTTCTTCTCACTCAACACTCTGTGCCCTACACGTCTACCTCTGAGCCCTGCTCACCGTGTCCCTTCACTGGTTTGGCCCCTCTGTCCACATGATAACCCCAGATTCATGAGCCTGTTTCCCATGCGCAGCTCACGGCATGACATCGGCATGTTGCAAGCGACTGCAATTCTCTGGTTCTTGTACGCACCATCCCATTCCTCCTCCGTCCACCCTGCGCTCACCGCATCCCGCTCGAATCACCAACATCAACATCGCGCCTGCTGTCCCCGTGCAGCTCATTGCCTGAATGCTCCAAGGCAGTTTTGGGTGGTTTACAGGCTTGAAGCACGTCTGCCTTTCCCCCATCCCAAGTAGGCTCACGACAGTGATGCCAAGTGTTGACCTCTCACACAGTGTCTTCGGCTTCTTCGCCCTGCTTCTCTTAGTGCCTGCAACCAAGGCGCTCATGCTCGAAGAGCTCGACCACCTGGTCAGCGTCCTGACGCACACCCACGCTGCATAGCAACTTTGTGTGCTTGGCCACATCCTCCGCCGGCACGTCCTTCGGCAGTAGGGCAGGGAGATGCTGTCACTGTATGAGCATGAGGGCGTGCTCAGTGAGAAGACGCACGCCCTGGGGGGCACATCTCTCTTGTCAATAATGAGTGAGTGGTCTCAATCCTGCTGACACCTTGAACATTTCCTGCATTGCCCCGGCGCACACGCGCGCCTAGTATGACTTCTCCTGGTGCGGCACAAGTCTGTTCAGATACTACCATACTGCCATCCACATTTATGTACCTCTAATGCAGTGTTAAGGCTGTTTGAGGGTCCGGCTCACTTTGCGGGTAAACCCGTGATGATCCGGAGCCGTGAGCTGGGGATCATGAGCCATGCGGCTCCAGCTCTTTGTGGCTCCAGCTCCCAGCGGCTCCGGATCGAGGATGCCAAAATATTGCGGGTCTGCGGGTCTACCCACGGATTATCCGCAAATTCACAGGTAATAGCCCATATATATGTATTCATGTAAGAAAGACTGTACATTATGAAAGGATATTGAAGCAGCTTTCTAACAACATATTTTTTGTGTCATTTGGTCCAGAAGTAACTGAGTTATAGATAAAACATGAGCTACTTTCACTTTGACCACGTTTGGCGCCCGCTTCTGGCATCTGCACACTGAAATCCGTCCCGATCAGGCTATGTTTGGGTTCAAACGCGGTGTCTCGCGCGCGACTTGCCCGTCCTCATTCCTCCTCCTCCTCTCTAGTCTGTCCACTCCTCCTCTCACCCTCCACCCTCCGTCCACGCGGCGTCACCCCGCGCGCGCTCGCTCTCAAGCCTAGGACATTGCGTCATGGGGTGTGGTGAGCTCCTGCGGCCTCAATCTGCTCTGGTGAGTTCTTCCCGCCTGCTCTCCCGCGTCGCCTCCCTGCCCCAACCTTGCCTATCTCGCGCTCGTCCACCCTGCTCTTCCGCCTTGCCCTCTTCGCCTCACCGCCTCACCATCGCCCGTCTTGCCCTCACGTCGCCCTCTTCCACCTCGTCCTCGCCCACCTCGCCCACCTCGTTTTCGCCCGTTTCGCCCATGTCTTGCCCCGCGTCGCCATCGCCATCATCCGTCTGTCCTCGCCCACCTCGCCCTCACCCGCTCCACCCCGCGCGTTGCCATCACCCACATCGCCACGTCATCCACCTTCCCCACATCTCCCACACCACCTGTGGTCACCACAGATGTAATATAATCCCCTAGGTACCTGGGAAGTCCATTATGCTGAGGCCCACCACATTTTCATTGTAGAAAACCCTGGTGAAGCAATAACAATAACAGGCCTGCAAAGGCCTGTAATACTATATATGTGTCATGTTGTTATTACAGCTGCATCCCCTGGCTGTCAAAAGTGAAATATCTAATCACAGCACTTCTTCTATGCTGTTATAACAACATATCTAATGACAGGACACCCTCTGGGCTGTTAAAAGCGAAATATCTAATGACAGAGCCTCCCCTGGACTGTTAAAAACAGAATTCTTAATGACAGAACCTCTGCTGCACTGTTAAAAGTGAAATCCTTAATGACAGAGCCTCCCCTGGGCTGTTAAAAGTGACGTGGAGTTATTACAGAGCCCTTTTGGGCTGTTAAAAGTGATGTTTGTAATGACAGAACCTCCCCTAGGCTGTAATAACTGATGCCAGGGACCCACTAGGACCTACCTAGCTATAAATAGCCAGATGCAGGTAGTGCTACAGGTGGGCATTCTGGTTGGTATAATGGGCTGGAATTGGGGTAAATAGGTAGCTGCAGGTGACTATAGCTGGAATGGTGCATTTGGGCTGGTCTGGGCAGCTGGAATGGGGGGCAATAGCTGGTATTTACCTGTAAATGGCCAGCCTGGGGTGCAGCACAGGGCTGGAATATCATCAGGCACTAGGTATCAATCAAAAGGGGCATCAAACAGCTTTCTAGAGAACCCAAGAGCATGCTGATCGGAGCAGTATTGGTGGAGATATGGATGCACCCCTGTTTTGGTTGATGTGGGCATTGGCTAGAATTGGGAATTGTGGATGGAATCCCCTGGTTCTTGTTTTATAACGTGTGGATAGCCTTCCAATGAGTGGGATTGAAGTCCGATTGGAGAACCACCATCTGGTTTCCATTAGTTGCACCCTCCACAACCATGCCATGTATCATTTGGTCTTTTGCGTCTTTCACTTTGATGATCTAGGTTCTTTGATGTGAACCACATAGCTTGCACAGCTGTGTGGTTCCACCCCTTTACAGAACACATTTTAGGACTCTATCACAGTGCACATTAGACACAAAAAGAACCACAATGATATATGGCATGGTTGTGGAGGGGTGCAACTAGGGGGTGGGAAACACACGTGGTTCTCCAATCGGACTTCAATCCCACTCATTGGAAGGCTATCCACACGTTATAAAACAAGAACCAGGGGATTCCATCCACAATTCCCAATTCTAGCCAATGCCCACATCAACCAAAACAGGGGTGCATCCATATCTCCACCAATACTGCTCCGATCAGCATGCTCTTGGGTTCTCTAGAAAGCTGTTTGATGCCCCTTTTGATTGATACCTAGTGCCTGATGATATTCCAGCCCTGTGCTGCACCCCAGGCTGGCCATTTACAGGTAAATACCAGCTATTGCCCCCCATTCCAGCTGCCCAGACCAGCCCAAATGCACCATTCCAGCTATAGTCACCTGCAGCTACCTATTTACCCCAATTCCAGCCCATTATACCAACCAGAATGCCCACCTGTAGCACTACCTGCATCTGGCTATTTATAGCTAGGTAGGTCCTAGTGGGTCCCTGGCATCAGTTATTACAGCCTAGGGGAGGTTCTGTCATTACAAACATCACTTTTAACAGCCCAAAAGGGCTCTGTAATAACTCCACGTCACTTTTAACAGCCCAGGGGAGGCTCTGTCATTAAGGATTTCACTTTTAACAGTGCAGCAGAGGTTCTGTCATTAAGAATTCTGTTTTTAACAGTCCAGGGGAGGCTCTGTCATTAGATATTTCGCTTTTAACAGCCCAGAGGGTGTCCTGTCATTAGATATGTTGTTATAACAGCATAGAAGAAGTGCTGTGATTAGATATTTCACTTTTTACAGCCAGGGGATGCAGCTGTAATAACAACATAACACATATATAGTATTACAGGCCTTTGCAGGCCTGTTATTGTTATTGCTTCACCAGGGTTTTCTACAATGAAAATGTGGTGGGCCTCAGCATAATGGACTTCCCAGGTACCTAGGGGATTATATTACATCTGTGGTGACCACAGGTGCCCACACGCCTTCGTCGGTATCGCCCGCCCCCGCATTGTCTCCCGCCTTGCACCCTTGTCGTGCCTGCGTCACCCACTTGGCCCGCCATGTGCACCCCCCATGTCGCCTGCACCTCCTGCATTGCCCGCATCTCCCGCTTCACCCTTGCCCCCGCGTCACCCTCGTCCGCGTCATCCTCGGCCGTCCCCGCATCGTGCACATCTTGCCCACCACGCTCGCACTCACGCGGCCATTCTGCAGGGTTGCGGTGAGCTCCTGCAGCCCCGACCTTCTTGGGTGAGTTCTCACCTCTGCTCCCTGTGTCCTTGCCCACCTCACCCTTGTCCTCCACCACGTCTCGGCCCTCCACGTCCGTCTCGCCCTCGTCCGCATCGTTCACGCCACCCACCCGCGTCACCCACCTCGATCGCTTGCATCGCCCACCACACCTTGCCCCCCTGCATCGCCCTTCCTCTCCGTGTCGCTTCCCCATGTCATCCCACTCTCAGCTGTCCACGCGGTGTCATCGGGCTCGCGTGCACAACCATTCTGTGGGGTCACGGTGAGCTCCCATAGCCCCAATTTCCCCTGGTGAGTCCTCTCCTGCCCCCGCTGCTTCTCCACGTCACCTCCCCCTCCCCTCGTCAGCAGCGCTCTCGCTCAAATCACCTTCGCTAGCGTTGTGGGTGTCGTTCCCGGCCTCTACGCCGTCCGTCTCGTGCACACGCCTTGTGCCCATCTCGCTCATCAAGCCCTCATCGCCCGCATCGCCCTCGCCCACGTCATCCCCACCTCGCCTGCGTCGTTTCTATCTCGCCCGCGCTGTCCGTTTCCTCGCTGCATCGCCGCCACCGTCTCTCCACCTCGCCCATGCCACCTTTGTCATCCGCCCTCTGCGCTCTCCACCTCGCCCACCACTTCACCATCTGGCCGTCACCCCATTTCCCCACATCACCTAAGTCACCCTCACCCGCGTCGCCTCTCCGTGTTGCCCGCACCAGCCTCGTCTTGCCCATGTCACCCGTCTTATGAGTCACCCTTGCCTGTCTCTTCTGCCTCACCTGCATCGCGCCCATCGCCCACGTCCCCTCGCTTGTGTCTTGCCCGTCACGCCCTCGCCCGCGCACCTCGCGCCCACGTCACCCACCACTCTCTTTCCCACCACACCCGCATTGCCGTGTCGCCCGCCTTGCGCCCGTGTCGCGCTTGCGCTCGCCATCGCACCCATGGAAGCTCACTCACATCATTGTCTCGCTTCGCCTCTCTCACATTGTACTTTTGTATTGATAGCTACTACTGAATGTTCATAGTAATTGTGTTCTTGAGTGGGTTGTTATACCTGAGGATCCAACACAATATCCGTGGATCTACATTGCTCGCGGCTCTATCCGCAGGTGGATCCGTGAGCTGCGGGTCCGGCTCCCACGGCTCCGGGTCTTCCAGAGGATCTGACCCGCGTGGATCCAGATCAAGGCCTGAGAATGGCCTTGATCCGCAGATACGGCTCTGGATCATCCGTGGGTAGATCCTCAAATAGCCTTAACGTGACTCTTCGCTCTCTGAGAATTCCTCTTTCACATACTAAACCCACACATTGTGCCATGCGATCTCATACTCAACTAAGCGCCGTAAGATACGCTCTGCCGCACACCCCTTCTCTATACCTGCTAACCGCCGTATCAGTCGAAGGACCTTAGTTCTGAGTATGAGAATAGTATCGTATACAAGAGAACACTAGTACGTAGGAGCCCCGGTTGTATATACTCCTCACGGACTCTTCTTACCTCTCGCCCACTTCTTACATCATTGTTCTCACGTGCTACGCTAAGCGCCACTCTCCCTCAATCCACAACACACTATGGGCAGGTGCCCTATTTCCCATGGGGCAATAGCCATGTCGCGGCAGTGGTATAGGTTTCCTTTGTCTTGAATGGACACATGGCTGTTGCGCAATGCGACAGTTAGACTTTTGTCTGCCTTGCGCATCGCTGCCTCCCTGCCGGATAGCTTTCCTTGCACATGACTATACCCTGGCTATACCCCGACTATCGCCCCACATGATAGGTAGACTAGCATATGGCTTTCGCGTCGCGCGCGAGGTTGCCTGCTGCTTCGCTATCCCTCGACTACCTATTGCCTCACGCACAAAGTTGCCTGCCGCTTTGTTATACCTCGAATATTGCCCCACATGCAAGGTAGATTTCCGCTGCGCTATGCTTCAATTATTCCCGCATGTAGCTATTCTCAGGCCCAGTGAGGGTGCTTATGGTTGTGGGTCAGTCCGCGCGCACTAGCCTCATCACCAATGACAGCTCCACCACCTGGCACCATGACCTCAGCAAGTCCTCCCCCATCCCCCTCACACTTCATCCCATCACTGAGCCATTCTTCGTGCATGTGCATCGTGAGCACGTGCTACGTGCGCTGCGGTGGGTGGTGTAGTGGTATGTGTGTCTGGAGGATGTGCTTGATATCTGTAAACTGCTGGATCGACCATACCTAATGGACCGTGGGATACTGTGGAGGCTGTGGTGGTCCTGGCAGGTGGGGAGGGCAAGGAGGAGGGCGTCACAGGGTGTTGTGGACACTGCATAGGAGCTCCCAGTGGCGAGTTATTGGGTATATAACGAAGCGGCAGGCAACTTTGTGCGTGAGGCAATAGGTAGTCGAGAGATAGCGAAGCAGCAGGCAACCTCGCACATGACACAACTGTTAAAGTTTGGAGCTTGCGGGGCAAGGCGACAGAACTATGTAGACACGTTAGGCGTCGGTCCACGTGTTCGGGACAAGAACAAGTAAATGGATTAATGCTAACCTATGTAGACGCGTTAGGTGTCGGTCTACAAGGTAGCATGAGTGACGAGTAAAAGGGATAAGTGAGTACAGTGTAGCTTACCTCACGCGTTCGGGACAAGAACGAGTGAGGAGAAGCGCCAGGGTGATACGGGGAAGATACGGATCGAGAAAATAAACTGCGGGTCATGGGGGTATGTTCCAATGCGTGGATCCGGGGACCGGCAGGTAAGTGTAAGAGGAGGCTAAATAAAGAAGGCGATATGCCTCGATGCGTAGCCTCGAGGCACGTGGCCCATGTGCCCGGGCCGCGCAAGCACGAGCTTTGACCAGACATGTATCGTAATGGAACATACAGTGGAGAGTCTGTGCATAAATCTGACAGCGACAGCCATGTGCTAGTCTACCTATCACATGGGGCGATAGTCGGGGTATAGCCAGGGTATAGTCATGTGCAAGGAAAGCTATCCGGCGGGGGGGCAGCGATGCGCAAGGCAGACAAAAGTCTAACTGTCGCATTGCGCAACAGCCATGTGTCCATTCAAGACAAAGGAAACCTATACCACTGCCGCGACATGGCTATTGCCCCGTGGGAAATAGGGCACCTGCCCGCAGTGACAGCACGCCTCAAACGCCCGGGCGCTGGCTCGGCAATGCGGGCGCTCCCCACGCGCATCCCATGTCCGAAATAGCAGTCCTTGCTCGACCCCCTGTAGCACCCGCCACTTCTCTACTCAGGCCACCTTCGCTGCTCGTATCTATCCTGACATATGCCCCTTCCAGGTGGAACCGTCGAATCCAGCAGAGCTTCCCGCCTCGAACGACACCAAGCACGTTACAGAGACCGTGGTGGGTGCGTCCGAGCCTTCAACCGTCGGCTACCTCTTTCTCGCTCACGCGTCCATTGTAGAATCTTTAGGCCGGCGGAACACAACGACCTCCTCGACCTTCTCCTCTCTCGTGGCGTCAATGGCGAGTCACCGTCCCGCCAGACCTCGCCTCGGCCGCGTCGAAGCCGGTCTGTGTCGCCTACCCGCGTTCATCGCGCGCCGCAGTCCACGGGGGACATGAAAGCAACCCGTCAAACAACTAGCACACGGAGGAAGTCAATGAAAAGAGCTTCGAATGCTCAGTCACAGGAGAGAGCGGTGAAGCAGCATGTTGAGGATGAGGAACCAGGTGCGTCCTGTTAGTACGTCGGTGCCAGCGTCGCCCTCACTCTGCTTTGCATGCTCGACAGAACAGGCGAGTGAACCGGCACCCAAACCCGCGAAGCGACGACGGCCGGGGACGCGCACAAAGCCTCCAGCAGTCTCAGGTACGTCATTCTCAACGCAACTCTGTGTACCATCTATGTGTTCGATGCCACTGCAACACAGCACCCGACGACGTCGAACAGCCATCCTCCAAACCTCCTGCTCACGTCGGAGAGTCATCTTCCAAACCTCCCGTTAAGAAGAAGCCAGCGAAGCAGCGTAATCCCCCGCCCACGATCCTGGACGACGCAGATACAACGGAGCACAAGAGGAGTGAGACGAAGAAGCCCCGAGCAAAGGCTCGGTGCGTACACCAGAACACTATCCATTCATTCTATCCTGACGCTTCAAGCCAGCCCTGTACCGGTCCCAAAGGGCGTGAAGCTGAAGCCTAAACCACGCGTATGTCGCTCTTCTGTACCCTCAACGCATCTGATACTACGCTGAACACTCTTTCCAGCCGCGGATGTCCATGTTTCCACCCCCTCCCGCAGACGACGAAGACAGCGACAGAGACCCCATAGACCTCCTCCCGTAGCCTCGTTGCTGAAGCACTCGGACATTTGACCACGGACAGCCATGTACATACCATATCGTAGCACATTGTTCTTGCATTCCTTCGCGACACACAACGTTCATCCCTCCCTCTTCGCGGCGACAAGAGAGACTGGTAGAAAGCGCAGTTCTATACAGACGTCTAGATAGTCTTTGCATTGATGATCCCTGTCGCAGCCGGAAGGACCGCGTCCTCGTCCCTGCCTGAAAGCCGAACGAACGAGTGAACGATGAGTCCACATGCACGACGGCAGCACTCGCAGCGAAGGCACGTACCCTCGTAGAACTTCTGCAGGAAGGTGCGTGGGGGCCGGCCCTTCGGCTGGAGGAGGATACCCATGATGTGGTCGAGCTGCTTCCAGCAGTTCATCGTCTCCTGGTACTCCACCCGGCCCTTGTGCAGGAGGACGTCAACGACGCGGGTGTCGGAGACGTAGCGGTTCTGCTCGAAGTGCTGGCGGACGCAGTGGCGAATGAAGGCGGGCGAGACGTTGAGGGCGTAGATGCTGACAATCTCGGGAGCCTGTGGCGAAAGGGAGACGGTCAGGACGGCGGCCCAGACAACGTTCGAACGGATGCACGCACGCCGCGGTACCAGTCCCGGTAGAGCTTGAGGGCACGCTTGCGGGCCTCTTGGGGCTGGACGACACCTGGACGGAGCGCGCCAGACGCGCAGGAATCGTGGTCATCGCAAGAGGTGCGCGGCGGGGGCGAAGGCGAGGCAGAAGGCGTGCACGGACGCGGGCGGAGGGGAGGGAGAGGTCGAGCCAAGGTCGAGCTGAACGATACGTCTGCGGGACGTCGGGCGCTCGCTGCACGTGACAGCGGCAGTCGATGGCTCGGGGCCGCAGCACAATCCGCCATCCTGACTGGGACTGGCACCTTCTGACGCTTAAGAACCATCGCGACGCCCCAGATAACGCCTCTCTCTACCACCGACGACGACCATGGCCCGCGGCACCTTCAAGCAGAGACGTGGTGGAGGCAGGAGGTCCGTCCGTCCCCATCCTTTGCCGATCTCTCTGATCTAATCTCTTTCTCCCCTGCAGCTTCAGGTCAGCTTTGCTACCGCAGTATGCCATCTCCAACATGCATGGCTGATTGTCGCCCTTTTTACTTGCAGCAAGAACCTCGTCCTCGACGAGAACGGTACTGCCGTAGCGAGTGACAAATGGTGAGTACTGTTCCTATCCTTGCCGTGTCTACCCCTCTCAACAACCATCTCCGCGATCTCCCAAGGGCAGCACGCGGACGCGTTGAAGAAGATGACGAGGACGACGATGACGACGATGAGGATGAGGAGGAAGACGAAGATGAAGACGAAGAGAGCGATGCCGATGCTCCCGCTCAGCCCGGTCAGTCAGAGCTCACCCGCACGGAACGCCGCGAAATGAAGAAGAAGAAGGCCCAGGCTGCACAAGCAAAGAAGGCGGGCACAGGCGACGGCGACGAGGAGGAGGAGGGTGGCGACGACCCCCTCTCTCCAACCCGAACCGCGCCGCGGGGAGCCGTATGAAGTTGGCAGACCTCAGTGCCACGCGAGAGCCGACCCGCCGCGAGAGGTATGTCAATCATCCATCTCCCGCACCAGTCGCCTCACCTCCCTCCGTGCGTTAGAGAGGAGAAGGAGAAGAAGGAGGCGAAGGAGAAGTACTGGAAGGTATGTTCCGGTCATTAGACGTTGTGGCACATGTGTCGACTCCCCATCCTTCAGCTGCACGCCCAGGGCAAGACCGATCAGGCCAAAGCCGACCTCGCGCGTCTCGCCAAGATCCGTGCTGACCGTGAAGCCGCCCAAGCAAAGCGCAAAGCGGAAACCGAAGGTATGATTATTCCAATCGTCTGCAAGCAATCTCTTAGTGCATGACTACACAGCGAAAGCCGCTGAGGCTGGAGCCAAGCGCAAGGAGCAGGAAGGTAGAGGTAAACGCTCTTGAAGACAGTCGTTCACGCCGTAGCTGCATCGCCGCAGAATCCTGTACGAGTAGACTTGTTATTACGCATGTATGTAAGACTACAGTGTTCTCGCTCTAGGGCCGATACCGAGACGCATCGTCGACGACTCCTCCGCCCGATGTACATCCATGACAACCTCACAGCCCGTCGAACCACGCATCGTCCAACGCCTCTGCCTCCGGCGGCCGCATCACCTGCATCTCCCTCAACACCTTCACCCTCTTGAGCGCCTCCCCCACCTCCTGCCCCGACAGAACCCCGTCCTTCGTGCCCCGTTTGCCCACCCACCGCTGCACCCATTGCACGAACTGCATATACTCGCTCTCCGCGCCCTTCAAGCTTTCGATCCACGGTCCCTCGATCGCGACCTCGCCCCAGTACACCATCGCGCTCGCCAGAGTCACGTTCGCCGGCTGGACGCGCAGTTCCCGCATCCATGCGAGCACGAGCGGGATGTGCCCCGCCTGATCCTCCGCCGCGAGCAGGTCGATCAGCGCCCGGAACTGCGCGTCCAGCGGCGCCACCCCGGGTACGTCCGCGCGTCGTCGTCTGTGGAAGAGACGACGCCCGGGGAGGGGTCCGCCCGCATCCCCACGAAGCTGTGGTAGAGGTCCGTGAGGGGGGAGACGGCTTGGGCTTCCGCCGACTTGCGCACGGCGCGGAACGGGGCGCGAATCCTCGTGAGCTGGGGGTAGTTCCCGATGAGGACTTGCCATGCGACGCGGAGGGCGACGCGCCCAGCTCGTTCGCCCCTCCAGAACCCCGTTACGGAGCGACGAGAGCCGGGCGAGAGGAGCGAGCGCAGGCCTGCGATCGCGTCTTCCCTGGAAAGACGGTAGGGTGCTCGTTCGAGTTCGGATGTGGCGAGTGTACGGGGAAGCAGCCGACCGAGTCCCAAGTCGGCCAGGGCAACTTGACGAAGGCCTTCACGCTTCTTGCCGAGTCGAGCGGCTTTGAGCAGGATACCGAACGTGACATCGTCTTGGTCGACGAGAAAAACACGCTCCATGGTATCCCAGAGGAAAAATACGACGTCAAGGCGACCGATTGAGAGGAGGGAGTGCATGAAGGAGTTGATCGTGATGGTGTACATCACTGACGAAGCGCGTTCGGAAAGTGGGCCGTCGACGAACTCGAGCAAGAGGCGGAGGGCTAGATCCGGGCGGCCCACTTTCGTGAGGGCCTCTACAGCTATGCACAGCTGGTGCCCAGTGAAGAAGCGCTTCATCTTCATAGCATTTCGTAGTACGCCTATCGCTCCCCCTCGATCCTGGCGACGTAAAAGCCCTTTGATGACTACAAAGTCTACGAACAGACGATTGTATGCGGTCGGAAGGTGGGAACGACCTTCGTGGTAGAGGGTGAGAAGGCGTTCGGCCCTAGTGTCCAGGTCAACGGCGGCAGTTTGTACAGCTTTCAGCCAGATTTCAACTGAGACTGCTTCTGCGGGAAGTTTTGGTGCATCGTCCGGACCCGTCTTGCGTAGAAGGGGACCAGAATAGTTATGAAGCGAGAGCGGAGACTTAAGGGAGCGAAGGGCTTGTCGAAGTACGCTGAGGAGAAACTTTGGCTTCCTGGAATGCCTGAGGTCGTCTCCGTAGTACTGTCCTCGTCGTATGCGCCACCAGAGTCGCATGGCTCGTGTGTCTTGAGCAGCAGCAAACAGCTTGATGAACGCAACGGCAACTCCGAGGTTCGGTTTGAGCTTAGTGAGTCGCATATGCGTCTGCACGAGATGCGCGATCCTGACGTTGGCAACACGGTTCTCGAGGATGGCTTTGTACGTCCGTGAATGGAGAGGTGTGCGTTCGCGAATGGCACTCCGGAGCCACTGCGCCAGAAATTCGTACACTTGATCCTTGTCCCTTACTGGAGAACTGGCGACGACGCGAAGAAAGAGGTCACGGTGGCGGGGATCGTCGCTGGCACCGTGCAAGACTTTGACCGCTTGGGCGAGGGAGCGGAAAAGGGAAAATTTGACCACCCAGTGAGCGTCGAGAATGGCGAAAAGAGGGGTGAGACCCGGGGTCGAGGAGGCGGCCAGGAGGGCATGCGTCGTGGATGCTTCATCTGCGTTAGCCGGCTGCTTGCGAAAGAGAGCGAGGAGGACCCAGGGGGGTATATATGACGGGTCAGTCACCAAGGGTGTGGAGTCCGCGAGCGCAGAGGGGATGGCGGAAAGAGCTGCGGTGAGGGAGGGCGCGTCGACAACAGGTGCCCATTGCGCGTGCTCCGCGTCGTGGACCGCGGACGGAGGTGCTGGATGCATGACGGGGAAAGTAGGGTCGTGGGAGGTAAGGAGAGAGAGAGCGGGCACGACATGGCTGCCAGTACAACGCGCGTATTCAGCGACCACCCAGCGAGGCCAGTCGCCCGCCGAGCGTGAGTGGGCGGAAGGACGGATGCGGAGACCTCGAGTGGGCACCAGGCAATGGGCGAGGGTGGGGACGGAGCGGATGGCGGCTCGCAACATCCATCGGCGGACGACGTGAGGAGGGCGTGGAGGGCGGGCCTAGGGGGCGTGCGCGCTGTCGAGGACGCTGTCGAGGACGGGAAGACGTTGGGTGGACGGGAGGAGGTTGTGTGCACCGTCGGACACGGTCCACGGGTGGCGGCGGAATGCAGAGCGGAGTCTGGCGGAGATGAGCGGAGGCCCACAAAGAGCAGCGCGCCTTTGTCTCCTTTGTCCTTCCCGCCGTCGTCCCCGCCGTCCCCACCATCGAATCCGCGCCCGCTGTGACTGACCGCTTGCAGCTGTCGGAGCTGACTGCAGAGCATGCCGCGCATCCTCTTCGTCAGTGGTTTCCACCCCACCACCCGCGCGAGGGATCTCGCTTATGAATTCGAGCGGTACGTCTGCCCCTCTTCTCAGCTCGCCTCTCCTCATCCCTCGCTCGCTGGCAGATTCGGCCCTCTTATCCGCTGCGACGTTCCTGCCCCGCGCAATCCTGGCGCGCAGTCGAACCCGTAAGTCGTCTTTCTTGCGCGGACTACTTCTCTACTTTCCAGTCGCACCCCGCCGTCGACGTGCCTCCGTTGCCGCCCAACCCTCGATCCCGAGCGCCGCCGTGTCGATGTCCCCGAGTCGTTGCCGTCCGAGTCGTCGTCGTCGTCGTCGTCGTCGCCGCCGCAACCGGCGCCTTACTCCTCGCGCTTCCGTCTACCCCGAGTCCGCCCAAACACCTCGAGCTCAACGGTCTCCCTTCGCCGCGCAGTTACGCTTTCGTCGAGTTCCGCTCCACCCGTGATGCTGAAGACGCCTACTACGACATGTATGTCCCTTGATCCATCTCTAAGATCGCGTGCTCATTCGTACGACCAGGCATGGTCGCCACTTCGAGGGGTCTCGTCTGAGCATTCAGGTGAGCGCCGACCGGCGTCCTAGCCTCCCCGAATATCGACTGACGAGCACTCGTTCAGTGGGCGAAGAACCCTCCCTCCGCGGTATGGCGGTTTGACCGCCGGTCTCCCCCTCCGCGCCGTGAGCGCGATCGTTCTCGGAGCCCTCGCAGGCGGAGCGAGAGGGACAGAGGGCATGACCGTGACCGTGAGAGGGACCGTGAGCGCGACCGTGACCGTGAACGGGACCGTGATGACCGGGGCAAGGACCGTGAGGAGAGGAAGCGTCGGAGCAGAAGCCCTGAGCGTCGTCGCAGCCCGAGTGGCGAGCGGCGGCGGGAGACTGAAGGGGCACGCTCGCCGGCGCCGGCTGAGGAAACCAAGAAGGAGGAGGACGCGAACGAACGGCCGCCGAGCCCTGCCCGCGACTTCTGAGCTCTCCTCCTGGGTCTTGCCTCTTGTTTCGCTCACCTGCAAAATCCCCGTTGACTACCCGTAGAACTGTCTTAGTCTCATGTAGCCTGCAATGCAGTCTGAAATCGATGTGATGTTGCACCTGCGGCTCGAGCGGTCCGGCCTCCACGTATGGCCCAACGTCGGCACAGGCGCCGCGCTCGAGGCTGCGCCCATCGGCCAGGACGTGCGCGTCTCCTGCCAAGCACTCCTCGCACACTCCTCCCATCTCCACGTTCAAATACCCGTCTGCTCTCTCCAAGCCTTCAGACACCGATGACAGAGCCGCGACGGGTACCCGACGTGAACGACCTGAGGGTACGCCTCCTCACGCGACACCCGACGCCCTCTCACCGCCCGATGCCATGCTTAGGTCAAGCTCTGTTTCATCTGCCGCGAAGAGGAGCTGTTCGACAGTGAGGACAACCGACGGTCGTATGTGCCATCCACCGCTGATGCGCTTCCACTAGAACCCGACGATCCTCCCCGGGCGTGGACGCATCCCTGCTCGTGCACCCTCGTCGCCCACGAGTCCTGTCTGCTCAATTGGATCAAGGCCGCACAAGCAGATCCCGACCGCTCCAAGAACGCACTCAAGTGTCCGCAATGCAGCACGACGTACGAGCTCGAGAGTGACAACCCGCGAGCCCTCCGGATCCTCAATGCCGCCAACGTTGCCCTCTCCCAGCTAGGACAGGTCGCCACAGTCTGTGCAGGAGTCACTCTCGTCGCCTCGTTTGGCTTCAGTGCGTCCCTCCACTCTTATCCTGGCTCCTCTCACCCCCGCAACCAGCTCTTTACTTCGTCGCGACCTCGTATGGCGTCTTCGCCGTGCGCGAGTTCCTCGGCGAGGAGGTCTACCAGGCCCTCCTCGGTGACGACCCCGCCAAGTGGCCGCTTCATGCCTTCATCAACCTCCCCGCCATCCCCCTTTCCCTCATCCTCTCCCGCACCCGTTTCTTCGACTCATTCCCGCTCATCCCCCTCCTCACTACCTGGTCCACCTCTCCCCCCGTCAACGCCCCCGGCTCCCCCTCCATCTGGGGCTGGGCCCGCCCCGCCGGCGCGCGCGCCCCGAGCCCGCTCTTCACCTGGCCGCCCTCCCCGCTCATGAGCATCATCCTCCTCCCCGTCGTCCGCCACGCCTACCGCCGCGTCTACCAGCGGCTCACAAAGTACGCCATGGACGGCCCCCACGACCCCACGGACCACCCTATCCGGCGCATCATCTGGGACGGCCTCGGGCCCTTCAACGTCCTCCTCCGCATCAACAACATCCCCCCTCCCGCGCCCGCCCCAGTCGCGCCCGCTCGCCCCAACGGTGAAGCCGCGGGCCAGGCAGACGGCGGCGGCGACGACAACGACGCCGCCGACGCCGCCGCGCGCGCCCTCCGCGTCACCAACTCGTCCATCGGCCGCTTCGTCGGCGGCGCGCTCCTCCTCCCCGTCGTCGCCGGGCGCATGGGCGCGCTCCTCCTCCGCCTCTCCCGCCGCTCCGCCTGGCTCCGCGCGTTCCTCGCCGTCGGCGTCCGCGCCGCCGCGCCGCCCGCCCGCGTGCAGCTCTTCCCGAGCGCGCCGGGGGCCGCGCCCACGATGGCGCAGCTCAGCATGGGCCTCGCCGCGGGCCTGCACGTCATGGCGGGCGGCACCCCGACGTGGAACTCGTGCGAGCCCGTCTGGTGCGTTCGGTCTTCGTGCCGAGCTTGGGAACGGACTGCTGACTATGCTTCTTTGCAGGTGGCGCAACACTGTCGGCCTGGGGCTCTTCGTGGTCGTAAGTCGTTTCGACGTCGCTGTATGCACCCGGCTCATGTCGTTCCAGGCCAAGGACTGTGTCCGTCTCTTCCACCTCTGGCTCACCAAGCGAGAGATGGAGTCCCGCCGGATCAAGAACCGCAACTTCACCGGCGTCGATATCCGCGAACTCGACTTGATCAACCCTCCGCCGAACGGCACTTCAACACCGGCACCAGCAATACCAGATGAACAACCTGCGCCAGATGCACCGGCCACAGCTTGACCACCTGGCACCACCCTCCTTTCTTGACCACACTCCACTCAGGCTACGTACTGTTCGATTTGCTGTCGCACTTGCTTCTTCAATAGTGAATTGTCGCTATCTCCGTCTCTGTCTTCCCTTGCACGCCCGTCGAAATAGACCAGTGGACAAATGATACAACCGCGCACGCAGCGCAGCAGTGTATGATATAGGGGACGATGCGGCTCCTAGTGCTACATACCGTGGCAATTCGAGTACAGCAGCTGTACTTCAACAACCGAGACATCTAGTCGACCTCGAGAACGGTGCCGCGCTGCACGCTTCCCCACCCTGTATGCGCCTTCAGTATACGCGATGAGACCAGGCGAGTAAGAAAGACTCACCGACAAGTCGCCAATGCTTCTCGATACGTCTTGAAAGCGCGACCTTCTCGCCGACCTCAGTGCACGCTGGCGACGTCAGCTGGATTTTCGCGAGGTCGCCCTTGACGCTGAGCACACGACCGCCGGTCGACGTCGAGCCGATGTTGATGAGCAGGAGCTCGTTCTTGACGAGCTTGGACACCTTCGTCTGCTTCTTGTCCTCCGTCTTCACACCGAGCAGTCGACGGAGCAGGAACAGGCTGATTTCGAGTTCTGCGGCGCGATGAGACCCAGACCTATTCCACTAGCAGAACCGACTCACCGGTGAAGATCTTGGGAAGCTTGCCCACCGCACCCAGCACCTGCCCGACGAGCCTGTCCGCACGGCACAGCGTCGGGTCGATCCGCGTGCCCACACCAATGAGCCCACCGGGCACCGCGAACTGGAGGTGGTTGCTCTCCGCGTGGAGCGACACGATGCGCGAGAAGATGGGCTTGCACCGGTTCCGGCCCTGCGCGTCCTTGGTGACGATGCCCGGGCGGATCTCGACCTCCTGCCCGAGGCGCAGGACGCCGGTGAGGATCGAGCCGCCTGCGACGCCGCCCTTGAGCTCGTCGACCTCCGCGCCGGGCTTGTTGACGTCGAAGGAACGGATGACGATCAGGCGCGGGTCGGCGGTGAAGTCGCGGACGGGGATCGGGATCCGCTTCACGATGTACTCGTTCACGGCGTCGATGTTGTACCGCAGCTGGGCCGAAATGGGCACGATCGGTGAGGACTCCGCGACGGTGCCTGCATGCATGGGTTCGAGTGGTCAGAACGAGACACAATACGTGCGGGGTGCGGAAACGGAAACGGGCGGAAGCGGGACGCACCCTTGACGAAGGCAGCGATGCTCTTGTGGTGCTCGAGGGCCTGCTCCTCTTTGATGAGGTCGACCTTGTTCTGGAGGATGATAATGTTCTCGAGCTTCATGATCTCGACGGCAGCCAAGTGCTCGCTCGTCTGGGGCTGGGGACACGTCTCATTCCCGGCAATCAGCAATAGCGCGGCGTCCATGACGGCGGCACCGTTGAGCATGGTGGCCATGAGAATGTCGTGCCCAGGGCAGTCGACGAAGGAGACATGGCGGACGAGCTTCATGCGGGAGTTGCAGCCGGGGCGCTCGCATGGGGGGTTGTCCTCCTTGTCGGAGCGGTAGGAGCGATAGCAGCCGGGTCGAGGGCATGCCTCGTTTTCGCACTTGTATATCTTCGTGCGCAGGAGAGAAAGCGAGTGTGCAAGAGGAAAGTGGTTGAGGGTGGTTGAGAAAATGGAGGAGGCATGTGGTAGGGGAAAGGAAGGGCGTACCTTCGCGTTTGCATAACCAAGTTTGATGGTAATATTACGGACAAGCTCGTTCTTGAAACGGACAGTCATGACGCCCGAGATGGCCTTCACGACAGTCGACTTTCCGTGGGCTACATGTCCGATAGTACCTGCATGTGATCGGGTGAGCAGCAGGACCAAGAGGGTTGAGCAGCAACGGACCGAGGTTGATCGTGGCCTGCGCGAGAGTCAGAACATGGAGGGTGTACAAGACAGAGGGTGCGCACCTGTTTCGAAATGACCTCTGGGGAGAGGGGGGTGAGTTTTGAGGGATCAATGTCGATGGCGACAATCTGCTCGTCGCCGCTCTCGTCCTCAGAGTCGCTCTCCTCGTGGGCCTTCTGCTTTGTTTCGTCGCCAGACATGGCTGTGTGGTGTTCTCGTGGTGAGAGTGGGTGGAGGTGGTAGGTGGGCGACGCGTGGGGGTAGTGAAGAGAGTGCAGGACCAGTGACTCTGAGGGCACTCATCTCTTGATCGAGCGTTCATCTACCGGCGCCTCCTTCGCCTCCCTCCACGCGGACCACCACCTCTCTCTCTCCAGTGCGCTCCTGCACCAACATCAAAGTACACCTGAAGCCATCTGCCTCCCTGCAAGCATCTTTAGAAGCAACATATTCAACCTCGAACATGTCAAAGCTGCTACTCCTTGGTCCAGCACTCGCAACACCCGCCCGCCCCGCTCCTCCTCCGCCCACCTTCAAGCTATTCTTACAGTCCAAATTCCCAGTCACACCCCATCCAAACACCCAAGTCACTCTGACTCAACAGGCTCTGGACAGCGCTCTTCTCCTGGTCTTCTTCGTTCTCTTCATAACTCCATCCACCCGCCAGCTTCTGAGCTCGTCTGCACTCGTTCTAGCCCTCTCCACATCCGACGTCTTGCGACACCTCCTCACCGTCTGCATGTTTCTGCTCATGGCTATATGCGGTCTTCTCGTGTTCCTCTGCAACCCCTACCCTGACCTGTTGCACGCCCTCGACAAGTTCCTCATCCTCGTGGATCTCGTCCACGAGGTCTATGTCTACTGGATCCGCCATGAGCTACCATCCGACATCGAATCCCAGTGCACACCCGCAGGCATACAGCACCAACAAAGCCCTCTTCTTTGTGGACAGCACTACCACGAATATTCCCTCCTGGACGAGGAACGCCCCACTGTCAACCTGCCGGGAGCATTGTCCCATCACCGCCTACTTTCAAGCCCGTCCTCTATGGCGGCTGACAAGCAGCGGAGGCGATCACTATTCACCGTCGACCTGCCTCCGCTCGACGGGATGTCCTCGGAAAGCCTCCTCCTCAAATCGTCTCCTATCGACACTCACACCGCTTCTACCGATGCGTCTCTGTTCTCGTCCGTGTCGTCCGGCGCGTCCAACAACACCCACGATCTTACAGGCACTCCCGCTCGATCTAACACCGGCCGAACTACCACCGCCCTCCGGGATGTCAATACCCTCTTCAAGACCATTTTCACTCGAGACGAGGACGTCCGATGGGATTACGCGTGAACCCACGTACAGTACGTCTCACATCTCTGTCGACACCCAACTGTATTCCTCAGTCCTCTATCTGTTAGGTATGGTTCTACGGCCGTTAGCGACTCAGTAGTGTAATTAGCAGTGTACAACCATAAGAGGATATGAAATTTTCTTGCCAGTATCGCCTTTCCCGTTTACCTATGGATGAATCGCCCAGTGTGATTTCGTGATCATGGCTTGGTTTCAATCAGTCAAATGCCGCTTCTGATAGACACATAAACTCTACAGGACAGACCCAATCTACAAGCGACCGTGGTACGATACAGCTACGAGGGTACTATCAATAGCGCGTGTGCGCTGTACTGTAAACATAAATAACGATAGCTTGTCCGGGGTCTCATCGAGGCTGTCATGATGCAGTCATTACGCACACCCCCGCCGCGGCTGAGGCACAGCGGCGAGGGCGGCGATCGCTCGCGCGCGGGGGCGCGCGATGCTCAGTGCAGGCTCGAGAAGTCGTTCGGGTCCGTGCCGCACGCGCTCTCGTAGACGTCGAACACGACGTCGTCCGTCGGCGTGAGCTGCGTGATCGACGTGCCCGTGAACCACTGCGCGACGAGCACACGAGGGTCAGCGCTCGGAGCGGCGGAGATGGAGCGAGGAGAGAACGGGCACTCACGATGAAGTGGTCGAACTGGCGGTCGGGGTAGTTGACCTGGACTTGGCCCGACTGGGAGTGGTGCTCGATCCCAGTGACGAAGACGCCTGGCGACCGGGCGGGATCGAATACTGGACGCTCTTGGACTGCGTCTGGGTCGAGGTGTCGGAGGTCTCGAGGCCGCCGCCGACGGAGATGCCCTCGATGTTGAAGCCGAGGTTGGCGGAGACGCTGACCGTCTGCGAGACCGAGGTCTCGCCGCCGAGGGTGACAGTGACATCGTCGGTCCCGCCGCCGCAGTTGAGCTGGGGGTCGCCGAGCGCTTTGTAAATGCGGGTGTCGGGGTTGTTGACGATGTTGATCTGCGGGAGGGGTTAGAGGCGCGAGACGAGGATGACGACAGGGAGGAAGGCTTACCAGGGTGCAGCGGTCGGCGCGCTCGATGTTGGAGGAGCCGGGGCCGCCGGGGCAGGACGCGAGGAGGTCCGAATCAGTGGGCGCGTCCTCGCGGAGGGAGAGCACGGTGGGGACGGCGAGGACCGCAGCCACGAAGGAGAGGGGGATGAGTGCGCGAGCGATCATAGTGATGAATGAGTGCGAGAGTTTTTGGGAACGAGTGTCTATCGTGAAGGGCGATCCTGGAGCCTGCAGGAATGTCGTGAAAGTAGAAGTTGAGAATGGGTCTTGCCACGCTGAAGTTTGCAGCAGTCGACGGCTGGCTATATAGGCCTCTGGCTCGGGCTGGTCTGGACGCGGCTTCTATCCGCCCCCGCGCAGTGATCTTTGTGGCGAGATGCCAAGTCTGCGTTGGCAACTTGGAGATGGGCGCTCGTACAAGGCAGCGCGTGGGCATCCCTGGGCCTCCCCGGGGCGGATCTGGGCCGACCTGCGTGGAAAGATGCTGTTGTGAGTTGAGCGGAGACGAAACACAGCTTCGAGCTGCAGCTGGCGCATTGTACCCCATATTCGGTTTAGCCACCACCCAGTCTGCGGAGGGCGTGCGACGAACAGCGAGTTCATCACCGGAAAAACCAGTGCTCGACTACAGGCAGAGCACCGAGGGACTTGGAAGGGCTTGGCATGTACTGGGTCGTCCAACGAGGCGCTGTATGTGGTGAGAAGGCGAGATGTGCAGTAGACCTCAGGCCTCAGCCTCAAGATCAGGGTTGCGAGCTGTAACGGGCGCCTGTTCATCGTGGCACACCGCCCCACTGCTTTGATGCTCCCCGGTGGATTAACATACTTACGGGTCCCTGCCAAGAGGCGGAGGTATGGGCGAGCCTCGTGAACGTGTGCGCTGGTGTAACGAGGCGGGGTGATCCCTCTCTTCCCGAACCTGCACATCCTCGCCGCAACATCAATACACCGGTGATCTCGGCAAAGAAAGCACACTCAATGTGGTTTGTTCAGGAATGCGTCTCAGAGCGGTGATTAGCTACAATGACAAGAGAGACGTTGCTGCGACTTCGAGCCATCGATTCATCTCTACTGACATGAAGCGACATCACGGCATCTGTGGAAGGGAACGTTTGTGTGACTATCACCGTCGCCCGCGCTTCTGCCTTGTCTTCGGGAACTCGAGCGGGACTTTGAGTACGGCGCGCTTCGTCTCCGCCTCCGAGTCGGGGAGCCCGATCTCCTTGAGCTCGGTGAAAGCGAGCGTTTTGATGGTGCACCCTGCGGTATTGTCATTCATAATGATTCGGGACGAATTAATACGATAACGTACCTAGCGACTTGAATAAGCCGTTTGCTCTGCGCGAAGGTAGCTCAGTGATCGTATATCAATGGGGTGCGAGGCAGACGACGTACTTGGCGGGCTGCATGCTCAGGTCACGAGCGAGCGTCATGAAATCGGCGGCATAGTCGTCTATTCGCAGGCAAAGCGCGAACATGTAGGTGAGCAGCATCGTCTCCGTCTGCGGCGTCATCTTCGCTCTGAGATCTGGTGAGTGGACAGTGCAGGTGATGACGTGAAACGGATAATGCTCACTTATTCGTGCCGCGCTCCTTCTCCGTGAATCTTGATAGGAGACCGTCAATAACGATGGACGGTACTCCGGTCAAGCGCTGCTGCAAAGCGTCCTTGTCCCCTACGGACCGTGAGCTCTTCAACAGTGCCATCATGGTGGAGATGTAGTAGACAAGCTTCCTATCAGTTTCACGGCGGCGACGTCAATATCATGAGGACAACCAATGATCGCAAGTACGCACAGGTTGGTTTTATTAGGCTTCGGAGCGGAGTACATCAACCTTAGGTGCCAATTGACCCAGTCAGACCGATTGAAAGGGAGAAGAGCACGACGTTCTTCGTGAGTCTTGGTCGACTTGAAGGAGGATATGGGGAGGGCGTTGAACTCGACCTCAGGTACGACGCTGTTGATGGGGTATACGTCTTGAGGCCGTTGAGCTTCTGCGTTGTATGGGGGAACAAGCCTACTGCTATCTGCAGCTTCCTTGGCTTCCTCTGGCAGAGAAACGGCGCAGCTGGTGAGCTCATTGCCCTTGGAAGACAGAACTACTGAAACGCACCGGCAGTGGGTAGAGTCTCTGTGTTCTGCATGATGGTGTCCTGGAGGTGTCCGGCAACATCCTTCATAGCATCGATGTCCACCCTGTTCCGCTCTCTCGCCCTGATAGCAGACTTGGCTTTCTTCGTTCCGAACGCCTCTCCCAGATTGTTGCGGAGCTCCATCCGTTCTTCGGTGGAAACCTCGATCGGCTGGAGGTTTTTGAGAGCCTTCACTTGGCGAGCGAGAATATGGAGGGGTGCGGGACGGAAGGTGGTGATCTTGGTCCGTTTGTCATGAACAGCAACCATGTAACTTTATGGGCATAAAGAAGAGAGGGTCGCGGGAGGCGAAGATGGCGCACCTGCATCCAGAGGAGGCGGAGGAAGGAACATCGGCGGAAGAAAAGTCGACCTTCTCTGCCTCTCCGGCAACCAGGATGTGCTGAAGCTCGAACGGCGCTTTCCTGTCCCTCTCTACGTGCGCATAGCACCGAAATGGGGTGTCGGATGGCGGGCGTGTGGAGGGGAAACTGCCTGGGAGGCGGTTGGAGGGTACTCGCATTTCAATATGTGCGCGGACGTACCGAGGACGGGGCCCACTTGACTCGCGGGTAATTCGCTCAGGCTGAGCGCGACCTGGTCTCCATCGTCCGAGCCGCGTTTTCGTTTCTTTCCCAGCGTGGAGGACGACATCGAGGACGGGGAGCACGGCGAGCCTCAGGCGCCGCACGCGTCTCTCGCGTGTTTGCGCCTGTGTCCGGAGTGGCTGACGCGCTCAAGCGCTCAAGCGCTCACTCGTCCTCCTGAGCTGCACCTGCTGGTACCTATAGAACCTCTGCTCGTCTTTGCCTTCGCCGTCCGCCCACGGTCTCTGCAGCCCACCACCGATGCAATTCATCAGCACTGTGTTGAGCACTGCGCCAGAAATGGTGCGGATCCCCGTCCGCATCGTAGTCGACATGCTTTGGGGGCCTGCTACCAACAAGACCCCGCCGGTGCAGTCTCCGTTTGTGTTCGACCCTGAGTCCGTGCAAGACGATGCTGTAGCGCAGGTGCGCGCGATGCGTCACTCTTATTGGATCACTAGCTACCATCAGGCATAGCTCGACAAGTTGCTTCCTTGCTGCACCTTGGACGCCAATTACAAGAGTAAAAAATCAAGTGGGTAATTGAGCGGCGGCGGCGCAATCCCAAGTTCTCATGGGGCTCGCACTTTAGTTCATTCCATGAACGACATCTGGCTTCCTGTCCCTGTGGACATTGGCATCATCTCATCTCTGCTTTTCGATCTGTATAAAGGTCCACTCCGTGAGGGAAACGAGATTGATGAAGTAGGTTTCCACCCAGTCGACCTCCCGACGTGCTAATTACTACTGCAGTTCTACAACAAAAACATGAAGTTTGACTACAATGTCGTTGTACTCCCCGAATGTGCCAGCCTCAGGATTCGCGTTCGAGCACGAAAAAACTCAAACCCGTCCGGCTGCTCCGTGGCTCTATCCCTTTCCACCCCCTTTACCACTGCGCCATCGCCTACACTGGCAAGGAGCTGTTGGGACTCTTCCCTGACGGACGATTCGACGAATCCATGTTCCCTGGCATCGATACCGAAGTGGTTTACAAGATGAAGTTGATGTTCCTCATCTACAAAGGGTGGATCACAAGAATCCCACCAGTTCGGTACTTGTATTCTCTCTCCTGTTCCGGTCACTGCAACCACCACCTCAAGAACGATGGCGCCGGTGGTCCGCTACTACAGCCGCAAGAGGCCGCGGCACTGAGGCGCCGTCGCTCGTGGTAGGAGTGTGGAAATATGGCAAAATGTACAATACTTGTCCGAGTCTGTTCATGAAGCGTAGTCCCATACACTCTACGGGGGCACCCCCCTCGTCCCGGACCGACTCGTCTGCCTGCATCCGAGCCGTGCTCGCTGCCGTCCAGCCATCCCAATCGCACCAGCGAGCGAGCGCCTTGTGCGGATTGGCGCCTGAGGCCGCGCGCGGGCGTCTGTGCGGGGGGCCGGTGCGCTGCGCTCCGACGCCGCCTCGCTCGACGAGCTCAGCTCTTCTCCTTGCCCTGCGCAAGTTCTACCTGCCCTGCCTCTGCTCTGCGCCCTCCCTCTTCCGTCTTGAAGCCCTGACGACCCACTTTAACGTCCAATCTCCACCGTGGCTCCTGCTCTACGGGCCAAGTCGACTCCGGGCAACTGACGGTCTTTGACCATCCCTAGGTCGGCTTCACCAGCCTACTGCCATCTCTCGGCGGACAGGACAAAGGCAATGTCTACCATGACACAGACTCACGTCGACCGTGTCGAGGACGAGGACTCTGCCTCCCTGCTCTCCCACTCCAACGCTGTCCAGGCGGGGTCGCTCGGCCGCCTCAAGAAAGAGGGATCTGCGGAACCTCCAGCTCCGTTGCCACAAAGGACGACTCCGCCGTACCCAGTATGTCTCGCAGTGCGTCGGCAGAACCAAGCCACGAAAACGCTCTCTCAAATCCACACCTGCCACCGCCTCGTCCGGCAGATCCAAGGCCAAGCCTGCAAAGGCCCCGGTGCAGCTCATCGGCGACCTTCCCCGCGCAGAGGATGAGGCCATGACGGTCTTCACGGAGATCCCAGGAAACCACTACCAGTACGGGACGTTGGGCAAGTCGAGGGAAGCGTTGGAGAGCATGACGTGTGATTGCCAGTACGACCATGGTCAGTGTCACTCCGCTTCCTCTTTTGCTCCCTTGTCCACATGCATAGTCTCCTATGCTCCCCAGACCTGTCTTCACCATCCCCGGATACGCTTTCGGCTTTGGGCGGTATTATGCCGGCCCACAGTCACTCGTCGACTCCACCTTTGGCGGAATCCCCCTGCTTCGCACCGACGGGGCTGTGTGACATGCCACGATACCCTCTATCTACTATGCTATGTGCCCCTTAGTCGACCTACTCAGACCGTGCTTGCTTCCCTTGTTTTCGACCCTACTTGCCTGCATGCCTCTCCGCCGAAACACCCTTACTGACATGATTTCCCAGGCGTCGACGACCCAGACGCTGCCTGTGGCCCCGACTCAGACTGCATCAACCGGCTCACCCAAGTGGAATGCATGTCCGACGACTGCAAGTGTCGAACCTACTGCCAAAACCAGCGGTGCGTCCCTGCCAATTTTCTGCCTTCTTCTGCCTTTTCTCCCTGCAGGCTCTGATTCCCTTCTTGCAAGCTTCCAACGCAAGCAGTATGCTCCAATAGAGATCGTCAAGACTGAGATGAAGGGGTTCGGGCTCCGCGCCGCCGAGGACATTCCCAAGTGCGCCCGCTCTCCACCTCCACCCCTGTCCATCGCTGACACAATACCAGGGACGCGTTCATCTACGAGTACGTCGGCGACGTCGTCAGCCAGCCGTCGTTCCTCAAGCGCATGCGCAAATACGCAGAAGAGGGGATCCGGCACTTTTATTTCATGATGCTTCAGAAGGACGAGGTGCGCGCGTCGGATTTTCTCGTACCCTGGCGACCGCCGACTGAGCGGCGCCGATTCTGCTGCAGTTCATCGACGCGACCAAGCGCGGGGGGATCGGCCGTTTCGCGAACCACAGCTGCAACCCGAACTGCTACGTCGCGAAGTGGACCGTCGGGGACTACGTCCGGATGGGCATTTTCGCGAACCGCACGATCCGGAAGCACGAGGAGCTGACGTTCAACTACAACGTCGACCGATACGGGTGCGTTTTGTCCGTCCTCTTGTGCATGAGGAGGGCTTACCGGGTCGTGTAGCCATGATGCGCAACCGTGCTACTGTGGCGAGCCCAACTGCGTGGGCTTCATTGGCGGCAAGACGCAGACGGATCTCGCGGCGATGGATGACCTTTACCTGGATGGTACGAGTTTTGAACGCTTTGTTTATGCGATCCCACTAAACGTCAACAATCTCCAGCTCTTGGTATCACAGAAGAGGTTGAAGCACTTGGACTGAAGGGCACCAAGAAGAAGAAGGGGAAGAAGCTCGATGTTGATTTCATTGTACGCCTACCGCCCACTCTCACCCAACCCGATCTAACGTGCGACGCCTCAGCCCGATCTCAAGCCTATCGCACTGCACGAGGTGCCGAAGGTCGTGCAGGCTATGCGTCAAACAACTAGCCGAAAGGTTCTAGTCAAGCTCCTGATGCGCACAAAGGTTCGCCCGACCACTTGAAGGACCTATTTGCGCTGCTGAGCAGGCATACAGCTCACGGAGGACTTGGCCGCGTTGAGACAAATCATGCGTCTTCGTGGGTTCAGCGTGATGACCAACGTCCTCGACGACTACGTCGCGGACGACGAGGTCAAAATGCTGGTACGTTCTGGAGTCTTCCCCTTGCATCAACCACTGGTTCACACTGTCCCTAGGCGTTGGAGTGCATGAAGACCTGGCCGCTTATCCAGCGCAACAAGGTCGAAGATTCGAAGGTGACCGTCCCCGTGAAGCAGTGCACGTCGTCGCAGAACGAGGCGCTCGCGTCGCTCGCGAATACGCTCCTGTCGCAGTGGGAGGGCCTCGAGTACGCGTACCGGATACCGAAGCGCGTGAAAGTGGTGCGCCGCCCGTCCGCTCTCGACTCCCATACGCTCACCCCCCGCCCGTGCAGTTCGACGACGACGCCGACGACGCCGACGCCGCCGCGCGCCCGTGCTCGTCCTCCAGCACACGTCGGACGACGAGGAGCGGCCGTACAAACGCTCGCGGGCGCACCTCGAGACGACTACCCCGAGTTCAAGCTCCGGGACGTGACGTCGTCGGGGATCCCGCTGCCGCTCCCGCCACAGCCGCTGCCGGTCGTGGCCTCGTACGAGGAGCTCGAGAGCGCGCGGCGGGCGGCGGCGCGGCGGCAGCGGAAGGACGTGGCGGCGATCATCGCGCAGGCGGCGAAGGACGCGGAGGAGGCGCAGCGGGTGGCGGAGCAGGAGGCCAAGGTTGCGGCGCAGCGCGAGGCGCTCGAAAAGTACCTGAACGACGCGGGGAGTGCGGGGCAGGGGGCGGGAGAGAACAGCCTGGCGCGGGTGCAGGCGCAGAGGGAGAAGCGGGAGAGGCGAGAGGCGCGGGAGCGGGAGCGGGAGAGGAAGGCGGCGGCGCGGGAGGAGGAGCGGGAGGCGAACAAGGAGAAGAGGCTGCTGAAGCTGGTCGGGGCGGTGGTGGTCAAGTGCATGTCGAAGCACAAGGACAAGATGGACCACGAGCAGTTCAAGAAGCACGCGAAGGAGGTGAGTCCACCGGCTTTGTTTATGTGTACGAAGCGATGATCTGACGATGTGCAGTTGACGCAAGTGATTGCGGACAAGGAGAAGAAGTCGACGAGCTACAAGGAGGGCAAGCTGGACGCGCTTTCGGATGAGAAGGTCATCAAGATCAAGAAGTTCGCGAAAGAGTACATCGCGAAGGTCCTCCGGAAACTCGAAAAGTCGGGCAGCCGTCGAAAACAGCCGTCGACCGCGGCTTCGTCATCAACGCCAGACAGTCGGGCGGACAAGGAGGACACGTTGATTGCAACTGCAATCGTGGACGACCTGATGGACATTGATGCCACGCCAGTCCACGACGACAGCGACGACGACGCACCCCTCCGCCAAGAGATCCTCGACGGACCGTCCGGCTCTGGCACTCCGGACGACGCGATGGCAGGCTCTGGGGAGACGTCGCCAACGGTGGTGTCGGACCCTCGGATCCGACGACAGCCGGACAAGATGACGTGGGACGGCGGTCCTGGGCTCAAGTCGCAGAAGATTGCGGACTCGTGGTAGCCCGACCGTCAGCTCGCCGTGCTTGATCATCCGTCCGTCTTCCCTCGGGACGCAGATGGCTGTCTGTCCGCCTCGGTCCGTTTGGTTTTGCTGTGCCCGCAGTGTTTTGTGCGTGTGTCGGACCACTTGCCCCTCCTGTTGACTTATTCGATGTTACAGTATACGCTACATTCGTCGTAGTTTGAATTTCAGTGTACGTTTTGTATACCCTCGGGGCCTCTGTCCTTGGTTCCGCTGCACGCGGTGACTCACAGGACATGTTATCGCGCGTGGGCTCTTCGCTGTGAGTTGATCCAAGGTGCTCGTAGACGTGAGGGCTCTAGTGCTCGTGGTAGGTGTGGGAGCGAGATATGTTATAAATATAGGACCGACATGGCCAGAACAGAGACGTTGCTAGCCTGGTGATCATGCACGGTCACCTGAGCCTCCGCTCTATCGCGCTTAGGAGGGGGCAGCTGGGCAGCCGGGGTTTCGCGCTCACTCTTCTCACCTCCAACCTCGCGCTCGGCCGACAACCTCTGGACAGGGGTATTCTACCCAATTCTCGCATAAAACCCTCGGGGAATGGTGAGTGCAGACGACTTCCCTCGTGAAACTCATAGTACGAGTCCCGAGCAGCCGGATGGTCCGCACACTGACCATCGTGGGCGAGCGGGCTCTCCCCCTCGAGCTCTTCTTTGCCGTCCTCGACTACGCCCAGTACGACGACCTCACCCCGCGCTATCGCTGGCTCAGACGCTACGCCCTCGTCTGCCGCGCCTGGCGTCCCTACGCCCAGCAGCTGCTCTTCCGCCATGTCACCCTCCTCAAGGGCGCCGACCACTGCAAATCGTTCCACACCAGCCTCGCCGCTGCCGCCGCGCGCAGCCCCGCCCACGCCGTCTTCCTCGCCTCCGCCGTCCGCACGCTCTCCATGGCGCTCGACCACCAGGCGATCTACGCCGACGTCGCCGCCGCGCTCCCCGCCCTGCGCGAGCTCCACCTCTCCCTCTACCACGCCTCCTTCCGCCCCGCCGTCCTCCACGCCCTCGCCCCGACCCTCCGCCGCGTCCGCACCCTCCGTGTCCGCGCGTACCACTACGTCCCCCTCTTCCAGCTCCTCGCCCTCGCCCGCGCCGCCGAGTTCCTCGACGTCGACTGCTCCGCCGTCCTCGACCCCGCGCTCGAGGTCCCCGCCGCGCGCCCGCCCCCCTGGCGCCTCCGCGAGCTCCGCTACGCCAACCTCCGCCGCGACACGCACGCGTTCGTCGCCTGGGCCCTCTCCGGCCCCGCGCGCGCTGACGCGCTCGAGGCCCTCCGCGTCGTGAGCCCGACTTCTCCCCGGGCGAGCTCGCCGCGCTGGCGTCGCCCCGACGCTGCGCTCGCTCGCCGTGCGCCATCTCCCGGGCGACGTCGACCTGCGCGCGCTGGCGCGGCTGGAGGAGGTCGTCGTCCTCAGCCCGCAGCACCCGCGCCGGAGTTCGGGGTGCTCCCGGCGGGAGTGCGGCACGTCGCGCTCGACGGGATGAGCGCGAGCGAGTGCGAGACGGCGCTCGCCTCGCTCGCGGAGTACTGGGCCCGGAGCGGGGGCGGGCTGCGCGTCGTGACGTACAACCGGCGCGGCGGGGACAAGGCCGACGAGCTGGCGGACGTGGAGATGCTGTACAAGTTCTGCGTCGAGCGGAATCACGTTCAGGCTCATGGACCCGCCGTATGGACATTTGCAGGAGAGGTGCGTGGGCCTGCTTGCCGTGGAACGTCGCCTGACTGATGCTATGATATGTGCAGAATACTCCCCTCGGTGAGATCCGAGAATTGCCTCGTGAGGTGCCGCTGTCCTCGAAGCGGTACGTTCATGTTGGGCCAGGACCACCATGGAAGGTCAAGCCGAAGGGAACGTTGGTGAAAAGAGTCACCAACTATGCGGTTAAGGCGTTGACAAGCACCGCCATCCCTCCCATGGCGCTAGCGCGACCATAATGTATCATATATTCGCAGTAGTAACCTCATCGCACCGTGTGACATACAACATATCCAGCCTACTCGATGCTCCCGCCCATCGCCTCCACCGCGGCCTTCAGCTTGTGCGCTTCCTGCACCACTCGGTCGTTCTCATCCTCCGCTGCCTCGGCCACGAACGTCGCCGTCTCCGTCACGAAACCTGACAAAGGACGTCTCAGCCGAGCGTATGGAGGAAACGCGCAAAACCGACTTACCAAACAGCTTCTCGCCCTGCGCCCGCCACAGCTGCTCAGCGCACGCAAGACTGAACAGGCGGACACGCGCGTCCTCGGCGCGCGAGTGCATAAGCACATCCAGGTTGAGCGTCTTCACGAGCACGTCGTCGTCTACCGTGCCGAGCAGCGCTGCCAGGCAAGCAGCCAATGCGTCCTTCGCGGAGGGCAGGGGTACCTGCACCGCCACGGGCACCTGCTGCACGGCGAGCGGGACCAACTGGCGCAGCTTGTCGTTACGCCAGAACACGCGGTCTTCGTCTGCGAGCAGAGACTTGGTTACTGTCTGCACGACCCCAAGCCAGAGGTGTCCGTCTTCGGGGATGTTGGTGGCATATGTTCGGAGGAGATCGAGGAAGGTGGGCCAGGCGAAGGACATGTAAGGGACCATGAGACCCTTGAAGAAGTCGATCATCGCCGAGTACACATGGCAGAACACCACCTTGCGACCATCGGATGCGTCTCCACCGAAGGACCAGTCGAACAGCTTGCGGAATATGGGCCGGAACGCGGTCTCGTTCAACTTGACGATGAGCTCCATCCACGCGCCGGAGAGTGCGCGCTCAACCTCCGAGTCTTGTTGCTCCGCGCAGAAGTCGAACACGTAGAGGAGGGTCTTGAAGAGCTCACGAAGGTGCTCCAATACGGCTGTTCGTGACGCTGCTTTAAGTGAGATCTTGAGCACTTGCAAGTAGGCCAATGCTTGTGGCGAGCGGTCCTGATGCAAAACAAGTCAGCATACACATCACAGAAAATTCCTATAGTATCATACCTTCGTCGATGTGGCGACTGATGACCACAAGCCGCACAACGCTGGGAGCAGGACACCAGGGGATGCGCGCTTCGCGGTAGTGCGCACGAGCAGTGTGAGGTCCGATGTGTGTGGACCCGCGGCGGTCGAGCTGTCCAGGTATAATCCGACCACCTGCAATATCTCATCCTTGCCCCAAAATGTCGGGATAGATGTCAGCAAGTTGCGAAGAGCGCCCAGTGCCAGAGGGATGACATCGAGTTCTGAGCGGTAATGGGTGAGCACATTGGACGCATGCAGCGTTCGTGCCACGCACCAGATGAGGCAGAAATCGCGGTCTTGCACAACTCGATACATGCTCTGACGATCTCCTTAAGATGAGGAATCAAGCGAGCGCCAAGCTTGAACCTGTAGCCCATCGATGAGCCCACGTACGGAATCATACATAGCATCATTACTCACGCAAATGCAGACATTGTCTGCAACGCTAGCACGCGAAGCCCCGACCGCTTGGCAGCAGCAAGGACGAGAGGAACCGAAGTTGTGACGGCACTCTCTTCGCCAGGTGATAGGGTGTCGCAGACGGCCTTGAGAGCCTTGAGAGTTGACCCAGCCAGTGAATCTTCTGCCGCTAATGCGAGCACGCGGCAGGCAGCCTGGACGATCTGGACGATGGATGAAGCAATTTCCTTGCGTCTGTTGTCCGCGATCTCCCCAAGGCGGACGCTAAGGAGCTCAAACGCGCCAGTTTGAGCCTGCAGAGAGGGCGATCAGTGTCATGGTGCCACGTTAAAGTAAGCGACATACGTGTGATGATCGGGAGTCCAGGACGGTGAGGATACCCGCAACGAAGTCCGTAGCGAACATTGTTCCCAGCGTGCTTGTCACAGCAGTGCGAGCGGCAGAGGCAACTTCTGCGTATACCGTATCATTTGGCTTGGCACTAGATATGTCAAGCAACGACTTGAGCAGCTCTTGAGCAGCGGCGCGCTCCTCCGATGAGGGCAGAGCTGACGGACGACGAAGGCGCTTCAGGGCATGTTCACAGAACATAAGCAGCGCGACAGATCTTCGCTTTGATGTCAGGTCGGTCTGTGCTTGTTCCTCGTCCCTAGGGCAGGGTCAGACAGCTATCATCGAAAAAAAAATTGGCACATACGGAAGACTGCCCAAAAAGGGATGCACAGAGGGATCATCGCGTCGATCCTGTTTCTCGACTTCGCGCACTAGTTCCAGTAGAGCCTATTGATTTGCGTAAGCCGCACATCGAGAGGTCGAAGACGGGGGAATAAACCTGCAACTGCAAGCCTGCTTCATATCGTTCGTAGATAGCAAGCGGCAGGAAGAACGACCCAACGACATCTGCGGCACTTTGACGGACGACACGGTTCGCGACTCTATCGACAAGCAACATCGTGACAGGCGCAAGGAAATCTGCGGGACCAAGAGTATCGACGAATTGGGAGAAGAAACTGCAGCGAAGATGAGCTATGGCACGACGTCAAAAGAGCAGAACGTACTTCACACGCCGATGGCGAGGGACATGGTTCGCAGCGTTCGTGAACACACGCAAGAACTCACGAGCCGCGCTATAGAGTTGGATTCCGGAACCATGATTTGTCTTCAGCGAGGCGACCATGACAGGAACAATACTCTCGATGGTCTGGCGAGGACACCATTAGCTCTGAAGGGTAAGAGGACACGGATGAAATTAACCTTTTGCACCACTCGGAAGCTGTACGCATCGTCCCTGTGGAAGACATTCGAACCCATAAACGTGAACACAGGCATGACGTTGTGGAGAACAGTGTCAGGTGATATCCGGGCAAGGCTAGCCATGAGCAAGCAGGCTTGGTGGAACGTCTGGGGATTCTCAGATGCTGGCAAAGAGTCAGCGAAGCCTTGAGCAGAGAAGCGGAACACGTACTACGCAGGATGTCGATGAGAGTATCCACGCGGACCGAGTTGGCGGGTACTGATGCAGACGGCTAGCCCAATGATGAGCACCAGACCACAGTATGGAAGTACGACTCACCGTAAAGCGCTGAGCGACGTTCTCCGCAGCGGACATGAGTAACTGCTCCACGTAACGCCGATCTGGGAGGTCGGGGGATACGTTGCTGACGACCTTGTTGAGAGTTTCGAGGAGGCAAGACAGAAGCTCCAGAGTGCCGGTGATCTTGCTGGAGTCTAGGATTTCGGCGATGATCGCCAGAGAGGATAAACTGCCGTGTGCAAAAGTCGTTGCCGTCCTACAGTATCTTGTGAGCCCCCAAAAACAAGATGGTGAGAGTGGAAGACGTACTTCTCCACCCTTGGACGCTTGCTTGCAGGCTGCGCAGATGGATCGGTAGCGCTAGCTTGAGGTTGTAGATCCACCAGTAAGCGAGTGATGATGGCAGTATCGTCCAGAACGTTGGTAAGAACTGTCTTCGTTGTGGACGCCTGTGTAACAGTCAGCTTCGGGAACGCGCATATATGCCATTGAGACTGACCGTTGACTCCTCTTCAGTCGTGAACCGTATGAGAGTTCGGCACAGTTGCAACTTTCGCTCCACGCTGAGTTTGGCGAACAAGCCTCGCTGTAGATGGCGGAGCATTCCGTCTCTGGCCTGCTGCCATTTATCTGAATACAGCGATATAAGTTGATAAAACGGTCAACCGCAGGAATCCGAACTGACCGCTTTTGATCACCATTGTGAGCAGTCTTTCGTACACGCCCCAGAGGGACTTGTCAGAGTCGTTCAGGTTCGCGGCTGAGGATACGTCGAAAACAGAGACCACAAGACTAAGCAGGTTTCTGCTCTCTTCCAAGGTGGTGAATTCATGACCAAACACATCGTCGATAGTTGGCGCCAAGACCTGAGCCTTTGCGGGGCTGGAGACGCCATTGACGAGATTGAGGAGTGCAACCTTGACGGAGCGCAAGGAACACCCGTTCACGTGGGCTAGCAAATAGCAGAGTATCCGCTCCTTGTACCTACCGGAACGAAAGTGGTCAGAGGTCTGATAGAACGTTTCCAGAGGTATCTCACCCAGCTAGTTTCTTCGGGTCGCCTTTTCGCTGCGCAAGATGCTCGTGATGGAACGCTTGCAAATATTCCGCGTCGTGAACGATCGGGTCCCGAATCTCGGCCAGAGCGACGAGGTACTTCTGGACGTCGGTCCAGTCGAGGTATTGCAGCTGGGCAGACCGCGGACCGTAGATCGCGTCGTAGGCGTACACGTTCTCGGCGGCAGGGGCGGTGGCCAGTTTGGAGACGACGGACAGGCAGCGCGCCGCAGCGTCGCGCACAGCCGCGTTGCGGCTTTGCAGGGCAACCAGCAGCGCGGGGATAATGGTCTGGAAGTCGAGTGTGCGGCAGGTGACGACGTGGGCCTCGAGGAATGCGCAGGCGTGGCGCAGTGCGGCGTACTGGACATGCGACTCCGTCAACGGTAGGAGCCAGGTGCCGGCCAGGAAGGCGAGGGCATCGTCACCGAGGTTGATGAAAAGTTTTCGGAGGAGGAAGGTCGAGAGGAGAGGGAGCGACGCAGAAGAGTTGCTGAGAGCGTACACCGAGCGGAGAAGCTCGACATAACGCGCTGCCCGAGCAGTCTCGGGGGTCAAAGCTTCGGATTCCGCCCCGGTATCGGCGATATACTGGGTGGAGGCGCCGGATGGGCGAGGGAAACTTGGAAGCGCTGATAATACAGAGAGCTGCAGACGACGCAGAGTACTGCGACTGTTAGGCTTCAGTACCACGGCGTCGCCGACGCTGTCGTCGTCGAGAAAACCTGCAATATCCTCCACGCCTTGCATAAAGTCGCCCATGTGCTCGAAGGTCTTAAGCTGCATCGCGTCCAACAATTGATGCCCGGCTTCGATTCTCTGTTCTCCGCTGAGACGGCTGAGAAGAGCTCGAACGACGAGGTATCCCATGGCCCGCCCATGGGAATTCTCTTCTCCCAGCTTCCGGAGCAGAAGAGTAAATTGGGCCTGGAAGTAGTTGGAAGCGAGAACGTTATCTAAGACGATACTTAGGTGAGTGCAATTCTTCAGGAGCATCTGCAGAACGTACCCGCAATCTTGGCAGCAACAGCAACGTTGATCTTGGACATCGCCGCGGGATCGACGCCGTACTTGTCACCAGCCCGGGTCTTCGCTTTCTCCCAGTTGAGCGCGTCAACGCAGCCATCAAAGAGTTCGAATTCGGCGTTAACTTCGCTTTCAGGCGTGTACAGGATCTCCCAGGCGGCAACTGCTGTCTTTGCGCGGGGCTTCGAGAACAACAGGAAGGGGAAGATGATGTCCATGAAGACCTTCTGCGACCTCTCTCGTGTCTCTTCCGACTCAATATCTTCGCCGCCTCCTTCCTCCAGTGAACTTGCGTTGGGGAGAAAATGTTTCAGGAGGAAGTTTAGATGGGCGCGAACGACATCACGAGACAATTTGGCACTGGGACTATGGAGTGCTTGCTTGAGAGCGTCGATATATGCATTGGGCTCGGATGACGACAGGAAAACCTTGGTGACCACGTCTGCAGAAGTGCTGTACAGGGCTTGAAGCACCGTTGCTGAAGTATCGTGAACACGCAGCAGCAAGGTGGACGAGACCGAGTTCTGAATTGATGTCAGGTTGATGCAACAATGATCAAACAAGATACGTACGCCTTCTGAGTCGGCCACTTGATCATCGGCAAGTCGCTGTACCAAGTCGCGAACTGACTTCGAACGGACGTTAGAGTCCGCATGTGCTGAGCCCACGATCAAGGTGCTGAGTTCTGCATCTGAAACAGAGGGACCTGCCACCACGGAATGCTAGGCATACAAAGATCATCGACTCGTTCAAAGGGAATAAAAATGTCAACTTACCACGGCCAAAGATGTAAGCAGCAGCTCCATCGCTTCGCGCTTCGTCTCATCGTCGTCGATGATCGTCTTCGATGAGCTCTGGACGGCTTTGGGGTGACGTTGGTTGAGCTGGGCTAGTAGACGTTTGTAAAGAACTGCAGTGTCGTCTTCCGGGGTGTCATTAACGAGGGTGTGGATCAGCATTGTCGAGATTGATCCCGTCACTTCAGATATTAAGCCTGAAGAGGTGACCACTGCGTCCAGGATCTCATAGACCGGCTCATCCGGCAGTCTTCGCTATCGTCAATATAAGCGGAGAGACAGGAGAAGGGAGACGTACCGAGTGATGAAGCTGTTGATGAGGGGGATCAGGAACTTCTCCGAGCCAGCCCAGCTCATGGCACCAACAATCTCGGCATCGATATTCCTGTATTCGGAACTTCAGACAACAAACGATGATTGATTGGGGAAAGCACCAACTGTACTTCGAGCAGCACGTCCACAACGCCGCTGGGGATATTCTCCAGCATCTCCTGAGGGGCACAAAACGATACCAAAGTACGGATCAAGTGCTTTCCGGACACTCGCTCAGAACAGTCGCAAACTGTCGTCAAAAGCGTCTTGACGGCCTTGGGTATGAGGCGCGTCTTCTGAGAGAGCGCAGCCAACACGAGGTAGCTTCCGAGCTATTGAGAAAATTAGACTATGTGCGCTCCGCGAGCTATAAGGACACGTACCACGACCTCCTGCATGACAGCAGGCCTCACGACCTGCTCTGTGCCGCTCGCAATTTGTAGGGGGTCAACAGCAGCGGGGAGGAGGACCGTCATAGTGTTCTCATCAAGCGTCTTGGCCTTGGCAATATACTCTAACAGAGAACCGGTGTGGAACGCGATGAGCGCACGGTGCATACCGGAGCTGTGGTCTTTCAGTACGACAGGGAGGATCCCAGCCGTAAAGTGCACAACCTCGGGCTTCGTGACCATATCGTTGATGAGGAGGGGACGATGGAGAGGTTTGGCAGCAGTTTTGTACGCTTGGAGAAAGCGAATGGGGGAGTTGTCGCTGCACACTACACGTTCACAGCTGTGCACAGGAATGGCGGGAAACAACTTACGGTATATGAAGGATGGAGACCATCTTGGTAAAGTGTGGGGTTTCATGGTATGGGAGGAAAACCGAGACGACAGAGGGAACATTAAACTCGTGGATCCTGCAGAACAAGGCAAGGATGAGTGTCCCTTCGCGACCCAATAATGCAAGATACAGAAATGCACACAAGAAGCGCAACAGAGTGAAGCACACACCTGAATCTACGCACGAGCCATTCCAATACTTTTCCCGTCGGCGCGTCCAGGAGAAAAGGGCCCAAAAGAGGGATAAACTCGTTCATGGAAGCATCCAGCTGCGCATTTTCCTCTGCGGGCTGCAGAGTCCTGTCGAGGGAGATTGCGAACTCCGAGAAGAGTTCATCCTCGAAGCGAGCCACAGACGGCTGGAGAGACTTGAGCTGAAGGAAGCCGTTGAGGCCAAGGGCGTGTAAAGACTCTATGTCATGTTGACGGGCCTCTTTTGAAGTGAATAAGTAGGACTCAGACGCGGCTTGCTTGCGAGCCTTCTCGTTGAGCAAGTTGGAGCCGAAGGATGCGCTCCTGGCAAGCTGTTCTGCAAGGGAGGAGACCATGTCACGCCCAAGGTGTCCCAGAGATAAGATGGTGTCGTCCGGGACTTTTAGAGGAAGGATGGCCGGATAGCCATGAGAGGAGGAGAGGGAGGAGGAAGTGCTTCAGCCGATCTCGCTTGGGGCCATGCGCACCTCGAAATTTGGGCGCAGGCGCCCATGATCGGACTCCGTCCCCGGCCCGGCCAGTGGTCGCACCTAAGTTCGACCCGGCTGCCTAGTACTGTGACAAAGGCAACCACGTCCACCTGCCTAAGAGTACTCTTCTGAAACCGCCGTCATCCCACCGGTAAAGAGATCGTCCAGGCGACGATAGCCTTCCTCGCACAGTGGGGAGTTCCAATTCTTCATAGTGCATGTGTAGGTAATTGCCCATGACCGGAACGTGTACATGAATATCCAGCACAAAATATCGGACTGATGTTGTGTAGACGCGGAGGTGAGTACGTACTAGTCAGTAAGGAGGTGGGGTCCGTGAGCACATAGCGACGGAGCAGAGCATGTTGTATACTAAACACAACGAAGGAGTAGCAGCAGTCCGTACGAAGGGGGATAATTAGCCTTGCGGGGTATAAGTAGGTCATAAAGAGCTATGAACGCGACACAGTCCCAGACGACTCCGTGCTCTGCGGGCGCGAATGGCCCGACTCGATCGCCTGGCAATCCGCCAGAACGTCGACGATAGCCTGTCGGCTACTTGCACCCCGGATGAAGGAAGTCTGCGGTATGCTGGGTCAGACAGAGAACGTTGACAAAGCGGAGAAGCGCACATTAAGAAGGTCGTGAGGTGCTGGCCGTGACGCGCTTGGTCTTGAACATAAGTGCAAGAAATCGTGTAGAGATCGTGAAAATGCCTCGGGATCGCTGAGCTCTGGAAGCTCAGACGCGAGCTGACGTGGGTCGGTCACGTCGCTGAATGGCGGCTCGGTCTCCACCAGCTCCCATACTGTCGCACCCAGCGACCACACATCTACCTTGAGCGCGTTGTACGGTCCCCTGCCACGGCCATCAGCGAACGTAAACACGCGAGGAAAGCAAATACTCACATGCGAACTTCCGGTGCCTGCCAGTAGATGACACCTGCCGCGCCGGTGACCGAGGGGTTGATGTGCGACACTCGCACCGCATTCGAGAAATCCGCGAGCTTGATGACGCCGTTCTTATCCACAAGGAGGTTGTCTGAACGGACGTCTCGATGCGCGATGCCCCGAGACTGCAGGTGCTGCAGTGCATCAAGGATCTGGACCATCCGTGTCAGTATATCCACGCAGCGAGCATGGAGAGGAACTCACATCGGCTGCGACGCGCGCGATAAACTTCTCGCTCAGTTGGATGCCCTCCTCCACCAACGCAATCACGTCCGCCACGCTCCGTGTCATCAAGTCCATCCGTATCCATAGCGAGTCCTCCTGCAGGTCCACGTAGAATGCGTCCATGGTCAGGATGTTCGCGTGCGTGATGCCCTTCATTAGGGTAAGCTCCTTCTGGAGGTCGTCGATCTTTGGGCATCCGGAAGGCATAATGGCGATGTTCTTGATCGCAACGTACGACCCGGGCTCCTTCTCAGGCGACACATACCCCGCAGGCGGCACGATGACGCGCGCGGCGTACACAGAGCCGGACTCTCCCTCCGCGATCTCTTGGAGGTCTGTGTAGAGGTCTCGCGGGTCGATCTGGTCGTTGATGAAGCCCTTGAGCGGCGCGACGACCGCAGACAACCATCCTGGATACACGGGCGCGGGAGAGGAAGGTGATGGTGATGCCGAGGACGGCGAGACCGGCGTGAGGTAGGCGCCGTTGGCCTGCGTCGGGGAGAGGAAATGGGCGGTGTCGGTCACGATGGACGGTCGTCTTTGAAGATCGACCTCAGGTTCCCGCAGTTCCGTAGTCACAGAAACCGCGAATGTCTCTGCGAAGGACGCTACGCGTGGTGACGGCTCTGGTGACGGATCTGAGTACAACAGGCTCCTCGGTTTCGTCTCGGACACCTTCCATTCCTGTACGTCGGCGGCGACTGTCTGTGGTCGTGAATCCGAAGACGCAGAGCCGGTCCCAGTCGACAGTGAGCCCGAGGAAGAGGCGCTTGAGTGCGAGTCCGCGCTATTCGGGGAGCCCGACCGGGGGTCTTGTGATAATCGACTACGGGTCGCCGGCACAGCTCCTACCCGTGAGCGCAGATCGTCGCCTGAGTTGTTGCGGACCGGAGAGATGACCATGTTGGGCCGAGCACTCCGTGCCACAGCTGCAGTGGCAATGGTCGCAGGCGTCACGGTCATTGTGGATAGGCCCGAGTCTCGATTGTCCTTGTCGCGTGAGTGGAGGACGTGTAGATCAAAGTGTTGGGCATCAGTGATGTGCGGGATCGGTGGGAACTCGTCGAGCACAGGCGTGAGCAGCGTCGATGAGTACTGTGAGTCCGATGAGAGGTCCGCGGACATGTCCTGCATCAGCGACGCATCCTCAGGCTTGACCATTCGCATGACCTCGTTCCATAGGGGACCGTTGTTGTCTGTGGGGGGTGGAGGAGGAGGCAGTGATGGGGGAGGCTCTTGCTTCGGTATTGGTTTTTGAGGAGGGATGTGGCGACCGCCGAGGGAGACGGTCGATGGCGAACGATCGCGACGCGCTGCCGACGACGCCGCACGGGGTCGGTTGGCGCCAATTCTGGATGCGTCTTTGGATGAAGGAGCGTGTGTCCTGCCGGCAGGAGGTCTTGGAGGTGTAAGCGTGACCTCTTTGGGGATGGATGAGAACAGCGACTCGGTCCATGACGAGAGATCGTCTTGGTGGAAAGACAGTCGCGGTGGCTCGGGCAACACAGGAGAGGTACTGAGGTCTGCAGAACGGTTGCTGTCGGTAGACGGTCGGGAAGTACCGTTGACATGGACGGTGGGCATGAATGAAGGAGGCATCGGGAACTCTTCTTCGGCCGGCACCAGGTGTCCCTCCTTCTTGGGCGACATGTATGCGGGAGGGGGTGAGTGAGAAAGCGTACCGATGGACTCATTCGCAACATGGAACGATCGAGAGGGCGCATTCCTTGCCATCAACTGCTTTTCTGAAAGCCCCGAGTTGGAGTTTGACGAGTTGTCGGAGATCACTGACACGGCAGCGGGCACCGCGACCGGCGCAGGCAGTGGTGGAGCAGGCACAGGAGGAACCATACGAGTAGCGGAAGAGTTGGAATGGGGCAGGGGCAGGTGAGGGGAGCTCTGCGAATGCATCGGGTAGGTGTAGGAGTGGGTGGGGGTTGGTCGTTGGATAGGTGGCGTCTTTCGAGATTCGAAATCACTATGGGGTCCACCAGATGAAATCTCGGAGGGGTCGCGCGATGCGGTAGACATCTTCCGGGCATGATTTCGTGAGTTGTAGGAACGCCCACTGCTGGCGAGAGAGACCTGGGAGATGGAGGCATCATCGCCGAGTCGGAGGGTGCCCGGTTGATGGCCATAGGGCGGGGACCGGGCGGTGGTGGAAGGGGAGGCGGAGCGTTCAGCATTTAGGGAGTAGATGGAACGCGTACTTCGCATGCGGGACTCTGCTCTCTTGGCTAGCATGGCTGCAATCTCCTCCTCCGTGAACCCGGCCTCCTGCAACGACGTTGTCCATGTCGGTGGCAGACCGGCGAGACTGGTTTGATATGAGCATCAGGAACAACGCAGGACGGAGTGAATACGTACCCTTCGTCAACATGAATGTTGTGCTGTGATCGCGCGACGCGTCAAATGGATAAAAGACGGGAAGGAGGGGGTGGCACTGACCTGGAAGTTCCACGGAAGAGATATTGATGGGTCGTCGACAGCCTCTTGGGACTGGGTGGGCAGTGGAGGGGCAAGGGTAAAGTCTGCGGTCTTGGGGGTCTTCGGCCTCTTGCCGAAAGAGCCGAACTTGAAGAGACTCCTGCGCGAGCTGGCGGGCTCGGGATAGTTGAGGGTGGAGGTGGAGGCGGCGACAGAGACACTAGAGTAAGGCGAGAGGCCAATGCGGCTAGGCGCAGCGGAGGGAGTAGGAGATGGGGAGCGGCCGTACTGGGCGGAGAGGGGGGTGACTGGATGCGAGGGAGCGGAGTCGGGAGAGAGGGAGGTTCCGAGAGAGCGAAGTGAAGGATTGGGGAGGTAGTACGGGTCCTTTGGAGGGAGGGGCGGGGGCTTGGGGGCGGCATTGAACTTGAAGACCTTGAGAGACGAGAAGCGGGAGTTGGGCTTGCTCGACGTCGCCATCGAGGGCGCTGGCCGCGAGGAGGAGGAGGAGGAGGAGGAGGACGCAAGCGGGACGAGACAAGAAACGCGAGCTGAACCGAGGCGGTCCAGCCTCGGCCGGCGTCTGGCGTCCGACAATTGGAACTTATCCACGCTCTTACCTGCCTGCTAGCCGCGTTCTTATCTGGTCTATGCTTCCTTACAATGTCCGTGCCTGGCCGCTACTTCCGAGCCCGACTCCCAGTCCTTGGTCACAATCCCTCATCGACATTGTTTTGGCCAATCGTCTCTCCCTACCACATACGTCTGCCTTTATTCTCCCAGCTCGCACCCTCGCCCTCTTTCTACGCCTCCGACGCATCCATGAAACCGTCGCCACCATGTGCCAACCACGGGATGCCATGCGTTGCTTCTTCTGACATGCCGAGTCCCGACGGTCGTCGCTCCCCTCGCCCCATTCGATGATCCTCAGAGGAGAAACTCGTCCACACACGTAGCATTGCCACCGCACACGCGGGCCTTCGACCCTTGAGACACGTACGTACATGAGGGTGTTGATTAGTTATAGCAAACGCAGGTGCTTCTACCTCTGAACTCGGTGTTTGCTGAGCTCTAGCCTCTCACCCGAAGGCATGCATGCAAATGAAAGTGCATGGGATGGGAGGACACAGAAGTAATCGCGACGGGTTGCTGGCGATACCCATGAACTTCTCAGCTACATATGTACAGTAGTTTGGTCCGACTCCCTCTCTTGTCCTCCGCCCATGATGACTCCAAGTTCGCGGCGTCGCCCATCCGCCCTGTCAACATCCTCTAAGTTGCCCTCGCTTTTCTCTTTGTCCCTCCCACCGAAGAATTCGCCTTCGGCCGGGCGACTGCCGCCGCTTACATACATGCCTTCCCTCGGCTCCATCTCTCCGCGACTCGCTTGCAGCGCAACCGGTGGGTACTCCGAACAACCTGCTACGCATCCTTTTCGTTCTCGTAACATCTCGTTCTCTGCAGCACGCTTCCGAGTCCCAGTGATCAGAGTCGTCGCTGGCGACGCCGGCCCACCCTCCTATACGTAGCCTTCAGTGCAAGCATGATTGACGTACTCACCCATTTACACTTATTTGCGACGGCTTTCCGTCTCTCGCCCCTCTGCTGCCCCCAAACTCCGCTCAACATCTTGCTTTCCCAGGTCTGTCTAACCGGCCCCTCCCGATTCTCGACCGCGTGCTGAACATGAAATTCGCGGAAGCCACTGGAAGGCCTTCCATAAGAATTTAGCGACGCTCGGTGTCGCTAAACTTTATTGCGAGTTCAGAGTCCGCCCTGCCGTTCATAAGCGCCCCATCCATACATACAGCTAAATCCATAACGATAGACCCCTCGCGCGAAAATTAGTACACAGTCGATTCGGGCGGAGTTTACGTAGCCGACGTTACCCATCAACAGGCGCTCACAATTGACGGACCCGCCCAACACCAGCCAACACCCGCCCTTGATACGCGTCGGCTGCACAAACTCCGACCGAACCGGCTGTGTGCTAATTTTCGCGCGAGGGGTCTATCGTTATGGATTTAGCTGTAAGCCCAGTTGTGCACGTCGCCGGTCGCAGCGTCGCTAAATTCCTGGCAGGCCTGTGAAATCCAATCGCTGAGACGCCCGTCCGGCCCGACCCGCGTCAAGCACATCTCGCCCACGATGAGCACGCCATGCCCGCGTTGAGCATGCCGTCGCCGTGTCCGCGCCCATCTCTTGCACACATCCATGCCAGTAAATGTAAGGCAATCTAATTTCTCGCTACTTGATGTAAACACTCGTGAGCAACCCCGTGGGGGGAAAATAAAATATATTGGTTGCTGTGATCTAACTACACTATGAGCTCCTACGGCAAGCATCCGCCGACACGGGCGATGGGGGTGACGCGGGAGATGCGAGTGATACAGACAGGGCTATGCAAGAGGGAGACGTGGTGACACACGTGATGCAAACGATGTGGTCGCGGACGACGTGGGCGGCGCGGATGCGGGTGAGGAGGCGACGCCCACTCCTCACCCAGGATCGTCGTGGCCGTGGTCGTCACCGTCATCATCGAGTGCAGATCAGGGTCCACGACGAGCAGTGCGCTGAGCACGCCCGACCCTTGGCTCGGCCTCCGGAACGTCGATGGCGGTACGGCGGGCATGGGGATCACCGGAAGGGAGAGCGAGAGCCACGTGAGGTCTTCAATCATCGGCGCCTGGAACGGGAACTGCTGTAGTTCTGACACGGGGAGCCAGAAGAGGTATGACAGCGGGAGGGTCGACACCGCGTCGTCGCAGCCCGTGTACACCGAGTCGGTGAGCGACCGAGGGGACGCCGGGGACGTCGGGCGCGCGCCGTATTGGCACGGGCATGCTGTTCCGAGTTCTTCGTCGACCGCGGCCACGCCGTCTTTGAGGCTGTCGCCCTCGTCGCCGAACTTGTGGAGCGGCGCCTTCCCGCGCGTCGGACTCGGGGATCCGTGCGCATCTGCGCTGCCGTCTCAGTCGAGCCCACAGCTAGACAAGTTCAGGCGGGAGCGCGTGAGCACCTGCGGCGGGATTCGCGGCGGGCGCGAGTTCGAGTCCAACGCGGGAGGCGTGGGAGTTAGGATGGTATGCGGCGTGGATGGCTTGTCTCGAGTGGTAGATCTCAAGGCGGTGTTCAGCATCTACATGGTCATGCTGTATGAGGTCACAGTCATCAGCACTAGTAGTTGGGCATCAAGAGAAAGGCAACATACCAGGGAGAGGCAGGCAGCGTGTGTTGAGGTAAGTAGCGGAGGAGGGAGAGGCGCGAAAGCAACGTAAGAGGCGCGCACGAGGCAGCGGAGCTCAAAAAGTTTGCCTTTTTGGGCGGGATTGTGCAGCCAGCGCATCTACGGAGGGGGGTACTTATACCCCCTCCGTAGATTCTTGATGCGCAGGGATCTACGGTGACCCCGTCGGAGTTCAAAAATCGACATTTTTGACAGGAGCGCCCAGGAAAGCTAAGGTTTAGCGACACCCAGCGTCGCTAAATTGTTATGGAAGGCCTTCCACTCCCAGTCCCCCGGTCTGACGTCGTTCTATGGCGGCCGCTTCGATCGCCAATTGTTATGCACTCGAGTGCTTACGGAAGGCCTGCTGCAAACTGTAACTCACCGCCCTCAACGCCATCTGCGCGCCAATTGTTCTCCTCGACAGGCGTGAGCGCGACGCCTTACAGTGCGCTTTCGATGCCCCATGGGTCGCCTGCTCTCGTTCAGCTAAAGAAATTGAGTCGCCCATTTGCAATCACATCCCCGGGTGCACATTCCTCGGGCTTATAAACCCCTTCATCTCGCCCGTGGTACCCCGTGTGTTCCCCTGGCAGCCTTTCCCCTTCGTCACCCCAGCTCTCCGGAATGTCAGGTCCCCAAACTTACGACGTGATCATCGCTGGAGGTATGACTACGCGTTTCTACCTCCCTCACTCCCGTCACTAACGCATCCTCCACAGGCGGAACTGCAGGATGCATCGTCGCCGGCCGTTTGGCAGATGCAGACCCGTCTTTGACCATCCTTGTGGTCGAGGCAGGTCCGCCCACTCGCAACGACGTTCTCCACCTCCAACCGTGCAGATATTTGTACCATCTCCGCCCGGAGAGCACGACCGTCAGGTTCCACACCAGCGCGAAGAGCGATGCCTTGGGTGGTCGTGAGATGGTCTTCCCGTGCGGACAGTGCATCGGCGGCGGGTCAAGCGTCAACTGTACGTCCAAGTTCCGAGTTATGGGCCGCGGGCCTGATCTGTTGGGCATACAGTCGCGATGTACACTCGTGCTGCTGCTGTAGACTACGACGAATGGGCCAAAGTACATGGCAACAGCGGCTGGAGCGCCGTAGAGCTTCTTCCTTTCCTCCGGAAGGTAAGGAGATTTCTTGGCGCCTTGCACTCGTGACTGTATTGACGCGCTGTTTCTGCAAGTGCGAGTCATACGAGATCGAAGCAGGCAAAGAGACTCATGGGTACTCCGGGCCGCTGAAGGTTTCTTCTGGAGGGTTCTATACCGAGGTCGGGAAGGAGTTTCTCGACGTCGCTGCGGAATACGACAAGACGCGCGGGACGACTGACGACGTCAACGGGCTCTATGAATGCGACAAGTACGGGGTGAGTGGTTCAGCCAGATAAGACGTTTAGCTTTCTCAACGAATTCTCCCCTGGCACAGAGATGGCAGAAGTCAGTACTCCAAGCAACCGGTCCCGTTCTCTGAGCTCGTCCTGATCCACCCGTTTGCAGATGGATCAGCGCCGAAACTGGAAAGCGCTCTGACATCCCTCACCACTATATCTACAACGCGGAGCATCCCAACATCACCTTGCTCGATGGATTCCACGTCAAGCGCGTAATTTTCGAGTACGCCATTCGCTTCTCGTCCTGCCCACGACGCCGTGTTAATAAGTCACTCCAGGGGGACCAAAGCCGTCGGCATTGAATATGTCCCCAACAAACGCTTCCGTGCCGACGTTCCCTTTGAGGTCACTACCGCCCGTGCGAAGCGTCTCGTGGTCGTCTCGGCAGGCGCTTTCGGATCTCCTGGGATTCTCGAGCGGTCGGGCGTCGGTCAGAAGAATGTCCTCGATCGTGTTGGCGTTGCGCAGGTGGTGGATCTCCCGGGGTTGGGAGAGCAGTACCAAGGTCTGTCTCTGGCCCTCGCGCGCTAGGGTCTCCGGAATCATGAGCACTGATAGACCGCACGCAGATCACCAGGTCATTTTCGTACCGTACGTCGCGGCCCCGGAGATCCACACCCTTGACGGGGTTGTGACTGGGGACAAACTGGAGAACGACAGTGAGCATCTGCGCGATGCACATTCTATCACTTGGGCTGGCACTGACGGGCTTCTGCGGCCAGAGTGGAACAAGGAATGGGAAGAACATGGCACAGGGCTCATCGCGCACAAGTGAGCTCTGTCAGGGCACAGCACATGCGGCTTTGCTTACGAATTTTGCACAGCGGCATCGACTCGGGAGTAAAGTTGCGGCCGACGGAGAAGGATCTGGCTGCAATTGGCCCCGCCTTCCGCGAGCGTTGGGAAAGCTACTACGCCGCCTCCCCCGGGAAGCCGGTCATCTGGTTCGGTAATGCTGCGCTGCAAGTCCACTCCACCTACGAGCTGTGTATCGTGCCACTCATGTACTCCGCTGCAGATACCTGGGCGACATGAGCAAGTACGAAGGAGGCAAGAACTTCTGCGTCGCATGGTACCTCCAACACCCCGCCTCCCTCGGCCGGCTGCACATCACCTCCGCGTCCGACCCCAGCGCCCCGCTGGACTTCTACGGTGGCTTCCTCGACGAGTGCGTACTTCATGCTCCCAATGCCCAGTGCTCGAGCACCAACGCTGACCGACGGCACCGGCCTCTGCCCCGACAGCCCCGCGGACCTGGCACTCCACACGTGGGCCTACAAGCTCTCGCGCGAATTCGCGCGCCGGATGCCGTGCTACCGCGGCGAGCTCGTGGGCGCGCACCCCGTGTTTGCGCCCGCCGCCACGCCGCGCGCGCAGGCGCACGACGGCCCGGTCCCAATGGACGCGCCGGACCTGGCGTACAGCGCGGAGGACGACAGGGCGGTGGAGGAGTGGGTGCGCGCGACGGTGATGTCTGCCTGGCACTCGGTGCGTGTCCCGCCTGCGCCGGGTTTTTCTTTTTTCGTGATGTCGGGCGCGCTGACTTGGCTGACGTGGTGTGGCTGGGGCTGATAGATGGGGACGTGCGCGATGAAGCCGCGCGGAAAGGGCGGGGTGGTGGACTCGCGGCTGAACGTGTACGGGACGGAGGGACTGAAGGTGGTGGACATGTCGATCTGCCCGAGCAACGTCGCAGCGGTAGGTATCTTCGAGGCTTGCTGCAGCACGCTGAGACGCTGAGACGCTTTACAGAACACTTACTCGACTGCGATCGTCATCGGGGAGAAAGCGGCGGCAATGATCGCGGAGGAGCTGGGGATTCCGTTTGTCTGAGGGAGAGAAGAGCGAGGGAAGTCACGTTACCTAGGAAAGAGAAAGCGAGCAGCGAACGAAACATGTATTGTATGGTTAGCGAAAGCAAGTGATGCTGCATCGAACAGATCGCGACTGAGGACAACATGTCGAACAGAACCAAACGCACCACGGAAAGTTAAACCAAACCAAACGCTCTCAACACTTCAACGGACTTCAATGCGTTCGCATTCTGACTCTACCACACCTCTACCCTGATCGTGATGAATGGACAGGTCCTATGTCAGCAGTATAAGTGCTCCATATCCGTTGGAATGGACGTGACAAGCGCAGCTGTAGTGGTCTCCTTGTGCCTTTCTAGCTTCTGTTATGTAAAGGATGAAATTAACAGCCCCGTTAGACAGCCAAAATCAACTAATCAACCTCAACATTGAAAGGAGAACCTCCACGACGGCCCATGTCATAGATATCCAGATCACACATCACACACATACGATGCAGTTGTCTATATTTTATTATGAGTACATCAGGCAATGCCAAAGGATGTTACACAGCTAGTATTTCTTTCTACTCCGTCACAACCGTCCATGAATACACACGCGCAAGCAGCCTGCCAGGCAATCTCCTTAGATCGCACCGTCCTTCTTCGCCGCGAACGCGAGAAGGTCGCAGACACGGCGGGAGTAGCCCCACTCGTTGTCGTACCAGGCGATGAGCTTGACGAAGTTCTTGTTGAGCGCGATACCCGCCTCGGCGTCGAAGATCGACGACGCGGTGTTGCCGGTGAAGTCGGTCGAGACGACCTTCTCGTCGGTGTAGTCCATGATGCCCTTGAGCGGGCCGTCGACGGCCTTCTTGATAGTGCGGGTGATGTCCTCATACGAAGCAGGCTTGTCGAGGCGGACGACAAGGTCGACGACGGAGACGTCGAGGGTCGGGACACGGAAGGACATGCCGGTGAGCTTGCCGTTCAGTGAGGGGATGACCTTGCCGACGGCCTTGGCGGCACCGGTTGAGGAAGGGATGATGTTGCTGGCGACAGCACGGCCACCACGCCAGTCCTTCATCGAAGGGCCGTCGACGGTGCGCTGAGTGGCGGTAGTGGAGTGGACAGTGGTCATAAGACCTTCAACAATGCCAAATTCATCGTTGATGACCTTGGCGAGGGGCGCAAGGCAGTTGGTGGTGCAGGACGCGTTCGAGATCTGACGGAGGTAAGACGCGTGAGATTGCCGGCGAGAAACTGTGGGGAATAGAATAGACTTACGACGGTGTACTTGGAGTCGTAGGAGTCGAGGTTAACACCGCAGACGAACATGGGGGCATCGGCAGAAGGAGCGGAGATGATGACCTTCTTGGCACCACCCTTCAAGTGAGCGGAGGCCCTGGGAGAGTCAACATGTTCAGAGTAAATCGAGTACGTATGCACTGGGCACATACTTGTCAACGGTGGTGAAGACACCAGTGGACTCGACAATGTACTCGGCGCCAACGCTGGCCCATTTGATGTTCGAGGGGTCCTTCTCCTCGAAGACGGAGATGGGGTTGCCGTCAACGACGAGCTTGCCATCCTTGGTCTCAACAGTGCCCTTGTAGCGACCGTGGACGGTGTCGTACTTGAACATGTAGACCATGTACTCAAGGTTGATGAAGGGGCTGGAGCGGGGTTTGAACACGAATCGGAAGAGAAGATCTAAGCGAGGGCACGTACTCGTTCACGGCGACGACCTCGATGTCGCCATGGGTGAGAGCATTACGAAGAACAATACGGCCGATACGGCCTTGAGGTGGCGGGGAAGTGAGTATATGCGTGGTGGGGCAGCAGAAGATGCGAGGACTGACCGAAACTGAAAGAAAGAGGCGAGAGAGATGAGCGGGAGGCAGGACAGTGGCGCGATTAGATCTCACCCGTTGATGCCGACCTTGACCTTCTGCTCAACGAAGGAGGTGAGCACAGAGGAGGACGGGGATATGGTGGGCACTCACGGCCATTGTGGAATGAGTATGTGTGATGAGGGGAGGGATGGGAGGATGAGGTGCGGCGGAGGGTGGAGGGGGCATATATACTGCAGGCGATTGTTATCTGAGCTGGATCGGGACGCTGGGGCATCGCGCGATTGGTCCGTTCGCGGCCCTCCCTCGCCTCGTCCGCCCGCCTCGACCGCGTCCGCCCCTGCGCTGGGTTACATGCCCGCTTCTTCGTCTCTAGCCCCGCCTAGCACCGAGCTCCATCCGCGCAGCAGGCTCCCCTGGGTGCGCGGAAGGACTGCCCAGGCGCGCAAACGTGCGATTTGTGACTCGCTCGCGCGCCCCAGCGCATCGTTCGACAGCATGTTGGTCGGTACGAGTGTCGGCTCGCCGATTGGCCGTGGTGCGCGCAAGTCCAAGACCTCGCCTCGCAACCAATTCTCGCCCGTTCTTCTCGACCATTCTCCCCAACCACCGTCCATCGATACCGCGACCGCGTCGCCGGCGCGGCACGTAGGCGCAGCCCGCACCCGACGTCCGAGTCCTCGCCCGACTGTTCTTCGAGGCACGATGATGTCAGCCCAGCGTTCACGCTGACGACCGCTTTGCTCCTTGCGCGATTGGTCATAGCCCTGGATTGCTCACTCGCGCGCTCTTCCGGATCTTCCCTGACATTGGGCGAATGCACGATAGCAGCTGCCTGTCAGCACGGCGATCCAGGCGGTACTTACAGCGTTGATCAGCTTCAGGAGCAGTGGGCACAGCTGGCCGCTCTTGATCGAGCTTGACGCGGAGGCCAAAGCGTGCGTTCACTCCCGACCCGAAGCTCGAACTCGTCCCGCGCGCCCCCCGTCCTCCACAGCCGCGCGCAGACGGGCACAGATTGCAGAGTACCACGATCGCGATCGCGTGCAGCCACTCGAGAGCAATCGCAGCGAGCCGGGCGGCCGAACGTAGCGTCCACTCCAGATTTGGACAAGGCTGATTGCCTTTACCCGAGGCCCACCATCTCGCGCCCTTCCTCTCTTCTTCCCCTTGTAATTCCCATGCAACCCCCGTCCCTCAAGGTCATGTCGCCCTAGTCTCTCAGTTCTCTCTTCTCCACCAAGATGCCGACAATGCCTACCACGCCCCCTCACGAAATTTACGACAATCCCAGAGGGGATCTCAGTCCTCCCCCGACCTCCACTTCTCCGCCTTTACCCCGTCCCAATCTCTCCGCGTCCAACCCCCAGCTCATCTTCGTCACCACTGATGGCGCCGACGCCGCGGACGTGCCCGCCTTTGAGCCACTTCCACCCGAGATCGCGAGTGCCGATATCTCTGTTCCGCGTAAGTGTCTTGTCTCCTTTGCGCCCTCTTCTCGTTCTCATCCCGACCTCTCCCAGCCGACGGGTCTTTCGTCGAAACATCCAGCGGTGCCGCCGCACGCGAACTTAAGCGGAGATATGACCAGTATTTAGGTGTTGGCAGGGACGTCCGCTCCCCCTACGCCATCACCGCGTTCGTCAACCAGCACGGAAGGCAGATGTATCGTGTCGGGTACGTTGTCTCCTTTTCATGTCTTTGCTACTCCCAGAACCCCTTATATGCGCCTTTTGCCTGTGTGTATGCGCTCAGGCTACGTGAGATGATGTCTGCACCGGGCGCGGCTGGCCAGGACGCTGGAGACCGTTCTTCGACCGCCCTTGCACCTCACGACAACAACCAGCCCCGCACACCAAGCGTCGTTCCCGCATGTCTGTCCACTCCTTCCTCCCCGGCTTCAAGCACCCCGTCGTCTCCCCGCAGCCGGCCCCCGACGTCACGCGTTCTCCGCCTACGTCCCGGCGCCTGCGCAAGACGCGCTCCATTCCCAACGGGCTTTCGAGCGCGGACGGCGCGTCCTCTCAACCTACCCCGCCACCTTCTGGGCGGCCTCATGCCCACAGCGTGTCCAGCGCCGATGCCTTTTCCGCTCCTCCCACCCAGTCCCCCCCTGAAGGATCTCGGACGGCGTACGGAAGCAACAACAGCGGCAGCGACTTCTTCACCGAGGTCATGGGATGGTCCACTACGCCGTCATCACCGCTTGGCTCTAGCACCTCCTCTGTGCCATTCCGCTACCATCCCGTAGTGTCGAGTCCCTCGCATACACACTCACGATCTGGCGAGATCGCGCATCCCTTTGGCCCCGGGGTTTCCTTCGAGTCTCCCGCCTGGCGTTCCCCCACGCACCTCATCACCCAGCCCGCGCTGCGCGAGATGCAGTCGTTCGAGTCTGGGTTGACCGCCCGGGCGGAATACTTTCCGCGCATGTCTCGCATGTCCAAGCTTTCGCTCACCGGTGCGTCCGACGAAGATTCCCGCACGTCAACTCCTCCACCGGCTGGTTCTGCCACGCCTCCGGTGCCTTCTGTCTCTCCCATACCCTCGATCCAAGAAGTCTCCGACCCCGTTCCCGTAAAGCTCGCCTCCACCACTCTCCACTCGCGATATTCCACTGGCCTGTTCGACGTCCTCCAGACCTATCGAGGGCTGCCGACTCTGGATAAGATCATGCTGTCTCCTCAAGAGCCCACCATCCGTCTCTCGCTCCGCGCGGAGGAAAGCGTCGCGCCTCGTGATGACCCCCGGTTCGTCATTTGGGCCGAAGTTGACTGCGAGCAAGACTCGTATGAGGAGTTTGGCGCGAACGGCACCGACCTATCGGCCTCGCAGTCAGGCGACTCCCGCCGTAGAATGGGTCGCTCAAGCACCCTTGTCTCTGTGGATTCCGCCTCCTCGGCGGCGCCTAGGGAGAGCAAGAAGATGCTGGTAGCGGCTACCATCGAGCGGTGGATCGCGCAGCTCACGAGCGAGCTCGACTATGACGAACTACTTATTTTCTTCCTCACGTACCGCACGTACGTGTCCGCGGTCGACCTCGGGCACCTCCTCATCTGCCGCTTCCACTGGGCGCTCGGCGAAACTATGACGAGCCGGGACGAGATGGTGCGGAAGATCGTGCGCGTGCGGACGTTCACGGCCATCCGGTACTGGCTCTTGACGTTCTTCGAGGTCGACTTCGTCCCCAACCGCGAGCTGCGTCTTCTCTTCGCGGACTGGCTCAACTCCCTGCGGCGGGATCCGATCATGCAAAAACATCGTGACGCATTGGTGGGTCGTCTCTACACCCCGATCGTGGGCCACTCTGACGCCCGTGGCAGAAAATCGTGCGGCAACTCCGCAAGGTCGTCATCGACTGCCGGGATGCGCATATACGCAAACTCACCCGTGTCTCGCGCAAGTCAGTGGAACGCGGCAAGTCGATGGAGCCCCGGCTGGCTGCGTTCACTGAGGGTCCTTCTCGCCCTTCAGCCGACTCACAGTCGCGCTCGTTTAATGACCCTGAAGACCAAGACATCGACTTCGACTTTGACGACGCCATACCCTCCGGACATTCGTCCGATCCCTCCTCGTCTATGGGGACGAACGCGCTTGACCTGGTGATGATGCGCCAGCCGCTGCACATGGCCGTGCTGCAGTACGGGAAGCAGAACCCAGGCGCTCCCTCGTCCTCGAACGCGACTCCGGTCTCGCCATTCCCGCACAGCAGCATCTCCCGCGTGTTCGTCAACACCATCGGCCGACTGGGGAGATGGAAGCGCGTCCTCAACAACCGCGGCGCAGCACAGCCACCGATCGCGCTCGGTGTGGATGTGTCCGCATTTGACGTCGAGGCCAACGAGACCGGAGACTTGCTCATGGTCAAGGGTGGGGTTGAGCAGTATTTGCGGATGGTCGAGAGCGGCATGTCTGCGCTCGATCTGTCCGCGGGGGCCGTCATCTCGCCTGTTGTCCAACACGCTCCCCTGCCCCAATCACCGCAGTCACCGGCAAGCATGCTCAGAGTCCCTCTACCTGATGTGGCTCAGACTAGCATCGTGGAAGCGGAGGAACCCGAAGAACCATCCAGTGCCCCCCCTTCCTATGAGATCTCCGAGGCACGCGATTCGATGTCGTCCTATGGTTCGAGTGGAAGTGCTTCTCTCCCCGACGATACCGCTTCTCTCCGGAGCCCCGGTGCCCAGGATCCTATGCCCACCAAGCACCCACAGGACATCGATGTTGTCTCCATCGACGACGTGGACCTGTCCGACTTATCCTCAGACGAGAACCTGGAAGTGTCGCCTCCTCCAGGACTCGGTCTCCGCAAGCCTACGCGGAAGCTCCCCACACGACGCGACTTCGAGTTCGTACGCCAGTCGATGTCGACGGTCTCCTCGATGGGCATCCGTTCGCGCGCGTCGGTGGCCTCCCAGGGCTCGTCAGTGACCTCATCCGACGCCGAACAGGACGACGAAGACGGCGCGGCGGTAAACGGACCTATTGAGGCGTGGCACATCGAGGCGATTCTCGACCAGCTCAGCGACGACGAGGACTCCGGAGACGCAGAAGCAGCCCTGCGCCGACTCGAGGGCCAAATCAATCAGGACAAGGTCCGGGAAAAGCAAAGCAAGGTCGACCAATGGATCCAGTCCATCCACCGTCGACAGGGCGGACGGCTTACGCGCGACTCGGACGCATCGGGTTCGGACGAGGACTACGGCCAGGTCGAGCGCCGGCGGTTCTCCGGAGACTCGTTGGGCATGCTGTCTCCTCAGAACGGCTCGCGGCGGAGCTCGATCGCGTCAAGCTCACGGGATCCTTCGGCGTCGGAGATGCCGTCGACTTCTGCAACGTCCCCGCGGCAAATATCGCTCAGCATGCTCCAGGTGAACGCTCCACACGGCGACGCGCATTCGGACGGAGAGGCGCTCACGCCGCTCACGGAGGCGCGTCCGCTCGTCGAGGATGCGGTCCCGCTCGAGATTTTGCAGAGCCGCGTTCCATCACGCCCGTCAACGTCGGGCGGATCCCCGCATAACGACAACACTCCCCAACCCTCCGCAGGTCTCCCGCCGCCGCCACCAGCTGTCCCCCAGCAACTGTTCCTCCGACGCCATCGTTCGTTCGTACTGAACCATAAGGCAGAGGTGATCATACAGCACCTGTCCATGATAGACCGCGAACTGTTCCTCGGGATCGACTTCGAAGAGTTCATCACGCCGTCCGCGGCTGCGGGCCACGACGCGAACGTCCTCGACTGGTCCCATTTCCTGCGGGAGCGTGCACGTCTCAAGGCGGAGGGGCGTGGCGGGCTCAAAACGAGCGCGTTGACCGCGGTCCGTGGGCGGTTCAACCTGCTCGCGAACTTTGTGCTCTCCGAGATCGTGCTCACCCACCCAAGCGAGCGCTCAGTCGTGATCAACAAGTTCATCAGGATCGCATGGGTGCGTTTCGTCCGCGCGTTCAGACTCGTCACTGATGCTGACCGTCCTCGGCCAATAGAAAGCGTACCTTATGAAGAACCACTTCGCGCTCGTAGCGATCATCGCCGGGCTCCGGAGCGATTGGGTCGCGAAGGCGCGGCGGCAGACGTACACGCGGATCTCGAACTGGGAGGCACGCGTGCTCCGCGACCTGACGGACTGGACGACGAGCGCGGGCGACTTCAAGCATATCCGGCAGATGCTCGACTCCCTCGTCGAGGCGCGCACCGGCGCGCAGGACGGCCCTGTGAAATCGTCTGACGGCACTCCTGCGACGTCGCGTTCCCGCGCCGCGAGCGACAGCAAGCCGCCGACGGACCCGGCGTGCATTCCCTTCTTCGGTGCGCCCAACATCTTTGTCTCGCGTTTGTGCGCGTCGCTGACCCGTGATCGCGTTTCCCTCCACACAGGCGTCTACCTCGCGCAGCTGCACCATCACAGCAGCCTTCCGGACCTGATCGACCCCACGGCGCCGCACGAGCCGGTGGGGATCGATCCAGAGACGAACACGTTCGAGGCGCTGGCGCACCCAGAGGTGTTCTCGACGCTGGCACCGCTGCCGGCGTCGATGCAGCTCGAGCCGTTGATCAGCGTGCACAAGCAGCGGCTGATTTCCGGTGTGGTGAAGTCGCTGGTTGCCGGCCAGCATCTCGCGGCGAAGGTGCAGTATCCCTCGACAAGCGGATCTACCAGAAGTGCCTGAAGCTGCGGGGACTCGATGGGGACACGCTCGAGCGCGCGCTCACGCTGTTCAGCGACAAGCGGTGAGGTCGACACTGGGTTATCCACCACACGGACTGCACGTGCACAGCGAGTGCAGTATGTGCGTTATGATATGCGACATGTAGTGGTCTCTGTTCTGTTCTGCTCTCTTGTTTTCGTTCGTGCTGTTCTCGAGGCCCTGCGGTGTTTTGCGCGCAACGACTACGTATATGTTACTATCCGTCCAAACTCAGAATATAGACGGCGCCGTGTACGAAACGGCACAATGCTTTCCCACAGTCATTTTGGTTGGTGGCGGCGGAAAACATGCGGAGCTAAGCGGCGGCGGGGCAGGTCCCATAATGGGCGTCGGCGATACCGCGCGGGCGTTTTGCGGAAAGCCGACGAGGTCGCGGGCGAATCGCGGGCGCGACATATTGACCACCGAAAGTGGTACCGGCGGGAGATGCTATTTGCAGGGGGACATGTGTTTCCTGGTTTTGCCCCCGCGCTGGCCGCCGCTGATTGGCTGACCGCGCCGAATCGCGACTCGGACTGGGGCAGGAATTCGCGCAGAGGGCACCTGCAGGGCGAGGCTCCGGGCAGCAGACACGAGCCCTCTGCAATGCGCATACGCGACGCTCGCGGGCGGGAACCGAGAGCCGGAGAGGCCGAGTAGGGCCGGGGAGGATCGGGAGGGCGTCCGACGGCGGCAAAGGCCAATCAGGGGGATAAATTCGTCAAGGGAAGAGCCGCCCACGTCGTGATCCCTCTTGTCGCCCGCGCGCTCTCCGCCTTGCTCTCTCTCTTCCTCCTCCACCCTCGCCATGTTCAACGTCGCCTCCTCCTCCAGGGCCGCCCTCAGGCCCCTCCAGCGGCTGGCCGCCGGCATGGCCACCGCCGCCGAGCCCATTGGCGCGACCAAGGTCCCCATGTCCCGCCTCGAGCCCAACTCGTACATCAACTACCAGCGCATCGAGGACAACCTCGCTATCGTTCGCGAGAGGTCTGTTCTCTCTCCCTGCCTATCGTATGCGCTTGACTGACCCTCTCCCAGGCTTCAGCGGCCACTCACCCTCTCCGAAAAGATTGTGTACGGACATCTTGATGACCCCCACCACCAGGACATCCAGCGCGGTGTGTCCTACCTCAAGCTTCGCCCCGACGTGCGTTCTACGCTTCCCTCCCCGCGCTCTCCGTCTAAACATCACGAAACCATTTTGCTTCCTTCCACAGCGCGTTGCTTGCCAGGACGCTACCGCCCAGGTTCGCACTTTTCGACTCGTTATCACACGTGAATTCAATTTGACGTCATAACTTGTTCACCAGATGGCCATCCTCCAGTTCATGTCGGCTGGCATGGACACCACCGCCGTTCCCTCCACCGTCCACTGTGACCACCTTATCGAAGCCCAGGTCGGCGGTGTCAAGGATTTGGCGCGCGCCATTGATATCAACCGTGAGGTCTACGACTTTTTGGCCACCGCGACCGCCAAGGTGAACTACCCTCGGTCTTTACTCGAGCGTCCCGCGTAAGACTGACGACGCTGCTCCTCCCAGTATGGCCTTGGCTTCTGGAAGCCCGGCTCTGGTATCATTCACCAGATCATCCTCGAGAACTACGCGTTCCCTGGTGGTCTCATGATTGGTACCGACTCGCACACACCCAACGCTGGCGGTCTCGGCATGGTCGCGTGCGGTGTTGGAGGTGCTGACGCGGTCGACGTTATGGCCGGTATCCCTTGGGAGCTTAAGTGCCCCAAGGCCATTCAGGTCAACCTCACCGGCAAGATTGGCGGCTGGACTACCCCAAGGGTGCGTGTGCCCTGCATTTCGATGGTGTGGGCTCCCTGACACTATCCTGCAGATGTCATCCTCAAGGTCGCCGGCATCCTCACCGTCAAGGGTGGTACCGGCGCCATCGTTGAGTACACTGGTCCCGGTGTTGAATCCCTCTCCTGCACGGGTATGGCCACCATCTGCAACATGGGTGCGGAGATTGGTGCGACCACCTCCCTGTTCCCTTTCAATCACCGTATGGCCGACTACCTCAAGGCGACCAATCGTGCCGACATTGCCGACTACGCCCAGCGCTTCGCGCACAACCTCAAGGCCGACAAGGACGCAGAGTACGACCAGACCATCGAGATCAACCTGTCTGAGCTCGAGCCCCACATCAACGGCCCCTTCACCCCCGATCTGGCCACCCCTATCTCCCAGTTCGCGAAGGAGGTCGAGAAGAACGGCTGGCCCTCTGAGCTTAAGGTGCCCTCATCGGTTCGTGCACGAACTCGTCGTACGAGGACATGACCCGCTCTGCGTCCATCGTCGAGGAGGCAGCATCCACGGTCTTCAGACCAAGAGCAAATTCACCGTCACCCCCGGTTCGGAGCAGGTTCGCGCCACCATCGCTCGCGACGGTGTCATCGAGACCTTCGAGAACGCTGGCGGTATCGTCCTTGCGAACGCGTGTGGTCCCTGCATTGGCCAATGGGATCGTCAGGACGTGAAGAAGGCGAGGTCAACTCCATCATCACCTCCTACAACCGTAACTTCACCGGTCGTAACGACGCGAACCCAGCCACTCACGCGTTCGTCGCCTCCCCCGATGTCGTCACCGCGATGGCGTTCGCGGGTGACCTCCGCTTCAACCCCCTGACCGACTCGCTCACGGGTACGAAGGGCGAGACCTTCAAGTTCTCGGACCCCTCGGCTATGAGCTTCCTCCCGTGGCTACGACCCCGGTGAGAACACCTTCCAGCCCCCTCCCGCCGACCGTGCCTCTGTCCAGGTCGCCGTGAACCCGAAGTCCGAGCGTCTGCAGTTGCTCAAGCCCTTCGCGCCTTGGGACGGCAAGACGCCCTCCGACCTCCCGGTTCTCATCAAGGTTGACGGCAAGTGCACGACGGACCACATCTCTGCGGGCGGTCCCTGGCTCAAGTACCGTGGTCACCTTGAGAACATCTCGCAAAACTGCCTCATCGGCGCCATCAACAAGGAGAACGGCGAGGCGAACAAGGTTAAGAACCAGATCACCGGGGAGTACGGCGCTGTCCCGCGACTGCTGCATACTACCGCGACAATGGCATCAAGTGGGTGGTCATCGGTGACCACAACTACGGCGAGGGTTCGTCGCGTGAGCACGCTGCGCTGGAGCCACGCTTCCTCGGCGGTCTTGCGATCATCACCCGCTCGTTCGCCCGTATCCACGAGACGAACCTGAAAAAGCAGGGCATGCTTGCGCTCACGTTCGCGAACCCTGAGGACTACGACAAGGTGCAGCCGTCGGACAAGGTCGACATCCTCGGCCTTGAGTCGTTCGCACCGGGCAAGAACTTGACGCTCGTGCTCAAGCACGCGGACGGCTCGAAGGATGAGATTTCCCTCGCGCACTCGTTCAACGAGGGCCAGATCGAGTGGTTCAAGGCGGGCTCTGCGCTCAACCTGGTATGTGTTGCGAAGCACCCTGACAGTCGCGCGGATTGCTGACGACAATGTCCGTGCAGATGGCGGCGAAGGCGAAGGCCAGCAACTGATTGGTTTGGTTGCCGTTCGGGTCTTTGGTTGTCCTGGGAGAGGGCGGAGACGTTGCGGACGATCTCCCGGCGCCGTAGCTTACCTGTCGTGTTCTCGCTGTAGGATGATATTCACGTCTATTTGTCGTAATGTTTTATTGCATGTAATGAATCGGCCTGCTTCGGACGCACACCGTCGGATCTGCCACGAGCAACGTCCAAGTCGGCGCTGTGATCTCTGCGCAGTGCGCACGGTTGCCATTTCCAGCCAGAATCTCTGTTCGTCTCCTTTGCGAGGCCGTCAGAACCCTGCAGCAGTCTCGCCCAAAGTCCGTACCCATCGGCCAGGGACGCGCATACACCCACACTTGCCCACCTTCCATGACCATCCTCCTCGCTGCGTCTGCCGTTCTCCTCGCCGCCGCCCTCGCCCTTGCCCTCGCCCTCCTCACCCGTATGTCCACCCCTCCCCGCGCGCCCCGCGCCGCATACATCCTCGAGAACACCGTCGCGCACGCACGCCTGCTGCCCACGCCCTCGAAGCACGCGTTCGCGTACCCGACGCTCGCGCTCCTCCTCTCGCTCGACGCGCTCGAGTCGCCCGCGCGGGACCTCGACCTCGCACGCGGCTGGCTGTTTGGGTACGGGGGCACCGCGTGGCGCGTCGCCGGCCTGCGGCCTGCGGCGTACCTCCTCCCCGACGGCGACTCGGGGACGAAGAGCGTGAAGGCGAAGCTGGGGGAGGTGCTGGGGCGGGACGGGCAGGACGCGGCGCGGCTGGGGAGGGTGTGGATGCTGACGATGCCGAGCTACCTGGGCTACGAGGGGATCAACCCGCTCACAGTGCACTACTGTTATGGACGACGGGAGGAGGGGGAGGAGGAAGAGCTGGCGTGGGTCGTGCTTGAGGTGCGTCACTGTTTTGTCGGCACGGGGGAAGGCTGACTCTGGCTCGCGGTGGGTCGGTGCAGATTCATAACACTTTTGGGGAGAAGCATGTGCACGTTCTGCGGACGGGGGAGCGCGAGGACGACGCGAGCGTGCGTCCGCCTGGGTGTGTCATCCTCCACCCCCTTCCCACCTTCCCTCGCGCGAAGGATCGCCGTGTTCTCATGCTCGCGCGGTCTCTGCGGACAGCTACGACCATCAGTGGACGTTCGCCCGCGACTTCCACGTCTCACCCTTCAACGACCGCCTTGGGCACTACACCGTCGCGGTAACCGCGCCGCCTCCCCCCGGCTCGCCCAAGCTCGACACGACCCCGCCCCGCCCAAGATCCGCATACACCTCCACGCCCACGCGAGCTCCCAAGCTTCATCTGAAGACGAGCCTAGTCCACCGCCTTCACACCCGGCTGCCGCGCTCGGCCCGCTGAAGCTGACCGCGACGCAGATCGCACGGCGCGCGGTCCCGCTCACGCCCGCGCACCTGCTCGCCGCGCTCGCGGCCCACCCGTTCGCGCTCTTCCTCTCCTTCGCGCGCATCCTCTACCACGCCTGGGTTCTCCACTACCGCAAGCACCTCGACGTCTTCCCCCGCCCGGACCCGCTGCCCGCCGTTCCTGGGTGGGGGTCGGCCGCCACCGAGACGTGTACAAGCACCACGACGACCCCGACCCCGACCCCGCACGGCGGTGTGGGCTGGCAGCCCGAGGGCGCGCTGGAGGCGTACGCGCGCGGCGTCACGTCGCGTTTCCTGGCACGCCGCAGCGCGGAGCTGGGGGTCCGCGTCGCGCTCGTCTCCGCCGACCCGTCCGTGCCCGCGCTCTCCTTCGCCCCCCGTTCACGGGCCAAACACGCCCCCTCCGAACGCGACGACCCCGCAGTCGACGCCGAGGACGGCTCGGTGGAGCTCGTCGTGCACTACGGCGCGCCCCGGTTCTTCACCACGCTGCTCGCGGCGCCGTCGGCGGAACACGCGCTGCGCATAGGGCGACTCGAAGACCTCTTCCGCGTCGCGTCGGCCGGCGAAGGCGACGGCGAGGCGCTGTTCCTGCGGGTCTTCGCCGGCCCCCGTCTCTCCCTCCGTCTTCTTCGCCCGCAGAGAAGCCCACCCACGGAGCGCAGACGCACCCAGAAAAGCGCGGCCCGGAGGCCCTCTCCTCGACGCAGAGGCTCCGCACGGCGCTCCTCCCAGCCGCCTTCGTGCGCGGCGGGCCATCGAGCACCCGCGCGGTGCCGTCGAGGCACGCGCTCGACGGTCGGGAGAACTCGGTGGTCGGGAACGCGCTCGCGGTGCTCTTGGTGCACGCGCTCGACGGGCTCGAGCGGCTCGTGTTCGCCGCCGTGCGGGCCAGGTTCGTCCCGGGGCTCGAGCCGTGGAACCGCTGGGCGAGGGCGGGCGCGGTCATAGCCGCGAGCGAGTGAGCGATAGGCGGGGTCTGGGGTGCGTGTGGAGGTGTCGGGTGCCCCGGGGAAATCAGGACCGCAGGAGAGCTATGGTACCCCCGCAGACGCAAACATTGTACTGTACTTGATTGGATGTGTTTCGATGTTGTACAAGTCCACGCGGGACGGACGTTCGCCGACCGTCCCAGCTGCATTCCCCGACGCTCTCAGTCCTTGAATAGCGTCCCAGCCTTCTGGTCCACCACCCCCGGTTCCTCTTCGTCGCGGGACATGCCCGTCTTCGCGAGAGTGCTGGTCACGCTCGAGCCTCCCCCCCGCCCCCAGTGCCGGGACGCTTCCGGTGGGGGCCGCTGAACGGCCGTCCGGGTTGGGGATGAGAGACGCGGGACACGGTCAGTCCAGCTGCACGATCTTAACGGGGAGGCGCACCTTCGGGGTCGGACTGGGGAAAACCTGTAGCGTGGGTGGTAAGTGGGATGAGGGCGAGCGGGCGCTGGGACAACGGGGAAGACTTGCCTGGCCGGGGTTCTCGCGCGAGGGCGAGGGCGGGAGGGCAGGGGGGCGTTGGCCGGGGAACTTGTATTCGGCTGGAACAGGGGGTCGCGCACGACGGGACGGCGGTGAAGGACCGTGCGTTGAGCGAGGGATCAGGAAGGACTGACTGGTGTCCATGGGCGTGCGTGTGGTGGGCGTTGAGTCGAGAGGGGAGATGGAGTCTGGAGAGCGAAGGGGATGGGGCGCAGGAGTGACATCATCGCCGGCTCATCTGGTCATCCGACACACCGGGTTCCGGATAAGGAAAGTCCCCGTGTTGTGTGCGAGACGAGAACCAGGACGCGGACGGGGCGGGAGCCCGCTGTGGTTAGTCGAGATGTGCGGCCGGCAGACGCCCCCAGCCGGGAGAGAGGCTCAGGCGCCAACGGAGCTACGTCAGGCGCCGAGTGGGCGGGAGGGCTCAGTTTGAAACTAGCGTGATGCGCTGACCCTGTCCAGCTCGCCATCCTCCTCCCCCATGTCCTCCACGGACATATCCCCCACAACCCCGGCGGGGGAAGAGTGAAGCAGACCCGCCGTCGCCAACGGCTCAGCTGTGTCGAGTGCACGCGACGCCGCCAGGTTAGCCCTCGTATTCATTCGCCCAATGCGCTATATCCGACCCCATTAGCCCCTGTATCCCTCCTTCTCTTTGCTGACCCCGACTTCCTTTCCTCGTCCAGAAATGCGATCGCCAGATTCCCTGCAGTCTCTGCGTCTCCCGCGGCATCCCCCACCTATGTCGCTGGGAGCCTCTCGTCCAGCGCCCCGCCCCCCAGCGGCCCCCTGACGGCGCCCCAACCTCGCCCGCCCAGAGCACTATCGCCGCCCTCACCGCTCGCATCACCCTCCTCGAGGAGACAATCACCCGCCAGAACAAACTCATCTCTGGCCAGCACTCTGATCGCCTGACCTGGTCTCTCGACGGCGATACCATGGTGCCCCCAGAATGGCGCACAGTCGACACTCCCGACGAGGAAGCCCCGCCCGAACCCTCCGCAGAGGATCCTGATTTGTTTTATTTGCAATCATCCGACCCTCCCGGTGACTCCACCGAAGACGGCGGCCCGTGCGAGTCCGACGTACAGCTCGCCGCCGTCGAGATGGCTCGTCTCACCCTCGCTCCCTCGGACGAGTACATCGGCACTGGCACGATCGTCTGTGCGATCCACAAGGTCCACGTCTGCCTCTGGAGCGTTTAGCTTCTTATGCTAACCTTCTCCTGCAGCTGGGCAACGTCAACCGAATCCGCTTTCCGCACGCCGGTGCAGGCTCGGCCCCTCTGAGCAATCCCATCCAGCCAGGCGAATCTTCCATGTCAGAACCCATCCGCCGACTCATCGCCGGCCTGCCCTCCCGCTCCTCCCTCGAGACTCTCATCGACGGTTTTTTCGCCGAGCGCAATTTCGTCCTCGGCATCCCCGAACAGTGGTTCCGCAGCGCATGCCAGCAAATGTGGGCCCACCTCGACCTGCGCTGCGTCGGCCCCGCCTGCCACGCCGCCGGTGGCTGCCCCGCTTGTACGCGCGAGATCAACCCGCACTGGCTGCTGCTCCTCTACAGCGTCATCACGCTCGCCCCCCGCCGGTTGCTCGGCCCTACCGCGGAGACGTACTTCTGGCGAGCCATGGACGCCCGCCGTTTGATCGAAGACGTCGCGCTCTCCTCCCCGACATACGCGTGGGCGACGAAGCAGAGCATGTCCCATGGCGTGACCCTTAGCTGCATCGCCGCTGCTTGCTACTGCTGCTATCTGACAGATCACGGCCGCGTCAGCGACGCCTGGAAGCTTATAGGCATGACGATTCGTATGGCCCAGGCCGTCGGACTTCACCGCGATCCAGGATGGCACAAGTGGGAAGCCATGGACAAGGTGGAGCGGGAGCTACGCTCGCTGAGCTGGTGGTATCTGGCATCCTCCGATAGGTACGAGACAGGCTGCTCATCGTCCATAGCTTATATTCACTTTTTCGCCTCGTAGGATATACTCACTTGTACTCGGGCGGCCTCGCATGCTCATCGCCGACTCCTTTGACGTCAAGTTGCTTCCTGGCACACACAACGGAGACGGGTCGGAGAACCCGCACGTGCACTATCAGCAGTCCTTCATCATACTGATGGAGTTATTGGAGAAAACGTGCCAGGCGCGCCCTTTATTTTTTTCATTCCTTTGGACGCCTTCATGACCGGATGGTGAACAGTGTATTGGTAGTCAGGCAACGCCGTACTCAGCCGTGGAGGATCTCGAAGCGCAATATGACCATTGGCTCTCCAAAATGCATCCATCTATCAACTTCCGCAATCCTGAGCCCTTGAATCCCAATCCTACGACCCAACAGCGCATACTGACATTGCAACGACACTTGTGTGGCATATACTACCACGCCGGTCTCCTCAGCCTCCATCGCCCATATTCCCTCCTCCCCGTGTCCTCTCTCAATCTCTCCGGCTCTGATTCCGATCCCACGTCTGGCGCCTCTACTTCCCGTTCGAAGTCTCGCTCGGCCTCTCCGCAAGCCTCAACAACATCCTCGTCCAAGTCCGCCTCCCCGTCTGCATCGAACAAGCCCGCGGCAGTCAACCCCTCGAACCAGCGCTGCATCGAGCTCGCGATAGCGCAGGTCCGCTTCATCTGCGACGCCGCCGACGAAGCCGCCGCGCTGCGCGAGCCCGAGCCGTCCCCGGTGCACACCCTCTTCTACTACACCTACTTCGCCTTCGACGCCGCGGTCGCGCTGGCCGTCGCGCTCGCGCAGAACCCGCCGCTCGAGCACGGCCGCGAGTACCTCGCGCTCATCGACCGCGCGATCAAGCACCTCGAGGACTCCCGCGCCGCGAACGTCGGGTTCGTCATGCAGGGCGAGATCGGCATCGCCGACCGCGCGCTCACGATCCTCGCCGCGCTCCGCAAGCGCGGTCGCTGGGACGCCCGCTTCGGCGACAGCGCGCCCCGCCCCGACAGCGCGTCGCCACCGGGGATGCCGCGGGGCATGGCTCGGGGGCCAATCTGCAGGGGCCGCCCTCGACTTCACGTTCTTCGGCGACCAAGCTCAAGCCCAACCCAAACCCAAGCCCGCGCTGGCCCCAGCACCGGCCACGGGCCCCTCCCCGCCGACCCCTCCCAGTTCGGTCTGGGCGGACAGACCCCCGCGCCCGCCTTCGCCCCCTCCTCCTCCAACGCCCCCGCGTCCACCCCGCGCCGGCCCCCACTGCCCGCGGCGGCGTCCGTGCGCGGCCGGGGCCCGCGTCCGTCTTCCCGCTCGCGTTCTCCCCGCCGGGCCTGCACATCCACGCGTCCTCGGCGCAGCCGCCGCCGCCGCCGCCCGGGGCGTTCCCCTACGGCTCCTTCATGGCGAACCCGGCCCCGGCCGACTTCGGGCTGCGCTCGCAGCGCGCGGGCGGGCAGCCGCAGCTGCCGATCATGCCGTTCGACATGCTGCAGCACAGCGGGAACCCAGAGATCGACTGGACGGCGCTCATGGGCGCGTCGGGGTGGAACGTGAACGTCCCGTTCATGGGCGAGCGGGGCGTGGGGTCGTAGTGGACGCGGGGCGGAGGCTGGATGGGAGTGGCGGTGTGTGATCTGCGTTGGGGTCCTTCTGCTTTGCATGGTTTCGTTCGGTCCGTCTAGCTGTCTGTCTCGCTCGCGAACTCTCGGATGTCTCGTGTCGGATGTAAGCGATTCTCTTTTGGAGCGCCCGGTGTCTCGGTGTAACATCACAAACTACTCACATCGGCTAATCAATGCATGTCCCGTTTGCTGCTCGTTGCTTTCTCAGTAGTGAATTTCTTCCATGGTGTAGTTTGGTTCTGTTCGGCCGGCTGTCCTTCTCAGTCGTGATCTGTCCAATGCAACATCACTTGCTTTCGCTAACCATACAAAAAGCGTTGCCGCGCTTCGCGCGGCACCCTTTCCATCATGCTCCAATGAGCGAATGCAAATAGACGAGCTGCATGCACACACGTCGCGGGCGCAACGCAGTGAGGGGGAATCTGCGCCAGGCCCGCTCGTGTACGCTCGAGCTTGCGCCCGCGCACCTCGCGGTCCGCAACCACTCCTCTACAGCCGTGAATTGCGGGTCCTTTCCGCCACCGCACCCGCGCGCGTGTCCATGAACGGGTCGCGATGGAGGCACCGCGGCGGGCGTCAGTGCCACGCGCCCAACGTGAGCCACCGCACGCGAGGGCCATGAGTGCGAGCACACCGTGCACGACCCTGAACCCGATCGTGTTGCAGGTGCCGAAGTGCTGGATGTTGAGGCCTAGGGCGAGCAGTACTGTCGCGGCGACGCAGCTTCAGCGCGGAGGCTTTGAAGATTCGTACACTGGACTCTACAGCCTGGTCTAGATCCGGACAGAAATACACCACCACATGACGCAGAAAGAATTCACGATGACAGAACGTATCATCTGCTTTTCCGTGTGCAAGCAAAGCCCGATCGCGCGTGGGGCTTCGCGATCGGCGAAGGAAAAGTGGGAATACACGCCAAACAAAGGCACTACAGGAGACTTGAATCAAGTGGAGTGCCATTAGAAGTGCCGGGAAAGCAAAAACAATACCGATCACAGGTCCACCACATATCCGTAATACGTTGTTCATTCATACATGTTTCTTTGCTGCTCACTTGGTCTTGCCTAGGTATCGTGACTTTCGGCCCCTGGCTCTTCTCTCCTTCAGACGAACGGAATCCCCAGCTCCTCCGCGATCATCGCCGCCGCTTTCTCCCGATGACGATTGCAGTCGAGTAAGTGTTCTGTAAAGCGTCTCAGCGTCTCAGCGTACTGCGGGAAGCCACAAAATACCCACCGCGGCGACGTTGCTCGGGCAGATCGACATGTCCACCACCTTCAGCCCCTCCGTCCCGTACACATTCACCGCGAGTCCACGACCCCCCTTTCCGCGCGGCTTCATCGCGCACGTCCCCATCTGCCAGCCCCAGTCGCAGCGAAGTCAGCGCGCGCCCGACATCACGACAGAAAAACCGGCGCACGCACCGAGTGCCAAGCGGACATCACCGTCGCGCGCACCCAGTCCTCCACCGCCTCGTCGTCATCCGCGCTGTACGTCAAGTCTGGGGCGTCGATCGGGACCGGGCCGTCGTGGCCTGCGCGCGCACTGCGGCGCTGGGCACGAACGTGGGGTGCGCGCCGACGAGCTCGCCGCGGTAGGACGGCATCCGGCGCGCGAACTCGCGTGAGAGCTTGTAGCCCACGTGTGGAGCGCGACGTCCGCGGGGCTGTCGGGGCGGCGGTCAACGGTGGTGTTCGAGCACAGCGCATGAGGAATGTGAAGTACGCACTCGTCGAGGAAGCCGCCGTAGAAGTCCAGCGGGGCGCTGGGGTCGGACGCGGAGGTGATGTGCAGCCTGCCGAGGGAGACGGGGTGCTGGAGGTACCACACGATGCAGAAGTTCTTGCCGCCTTTGTACTTGCTCATGTCGCCCAGGTATCTGCAGCGGAGTAGATGAGTGGCACGATACACAGCTCGTAGGTGGAGTGGACTTGCAGCGCAGCATTACCGAACCAGATGACCGGCTTCCCGGGGGAGGCGGCGTAGTAGCTTTCCCAACGCTCGCGGAAGGCGGGGCCAATTGCAGCCAGATCCTTCTCCGTCGGCCGCAACTTTACTCCCGAGTCGATGCCACTGTGCAAAATCGTGAGCAAAGCCGCATGTGCTGTGCCCTGACAGAGCTCACTTGTGCGCGATGAGCCCAGTGCCATGTTCTTCCCATTCCTTGTTCCACTCTGGCCGCAGAAGCCCGTCAGTGCCAGCCCAAGTGATAGAATGTGCATCGCGCAGATGCTCACTGTCGTTCTCCAGTTTGTCCCCAGTCACAACCCCGTCAAGGGTGTGGATCTCCGGGGCCGCGACGTACGGTACGAAAATGACCTGGTGATCTGTGTGCAGTCTATCAGTGCTCATGATCCCGTAGACCCTGGCGCGCGAGGGCCAGCGACAGACCTTGGTACTGCTCCCCCAACCCCGGGAGATCGACCACCTGCGCAACGCCAACTCGGTCGAGGACAGCCTTCTGGCCGACGCCCGACCGCTCGAGAATCCCAGGAGATCCGAAAGCGCCTGCTGAGACGACCACGAGACGCTTCGCACGGGCGGTAGTGACCTCAAAGGGAACGTCGGCGCGGAATCGTTTGTTGGGACATATTCAATGCCGACTGCTTTGGTCCCCCTGGAGTGACTTATTAACACGGCGTCGTGGGCAGGACGAGAAGCGAATGGCGTACTCGAAAATTACGCGCTTGACGTGGAATCCATCGAGCAAGGTGATGTTGGGATGCTCCGCGTTGTAGATGTAGTGGTGAGGGATGTCAGAGCGCTTTCCAGTTTCGGCGCTGATCCATCTGCAAACGGGTGGATCAGGACGAGCTCAGAGAACGGGACCGGTTGCTTGGAGTACTGACTTCTGCCATCTCTGTGCCAGGGGAGAATTCGTTGAGAAAGCTAAACGTCTTATCTGGCTGAACCACTCACCCCGTACTTGTCGCATTCATAGAGCCCGTTGACGTCGTCAGTCGCCCGCGCGTCTTGTCGTATTCCGCAGCGACGTCGAGGAACTCCTTCCCGACCTCGGTATAGAACCCTCCGGAAGAAACCTTCAGCGGCCCGGAGTACCCATGGGTCTCTTTGCCTGCTTCGAGCTCGTATGACTCGCACTTGCAGAAAAAGCGCGTCAATGCAGTCACGAGCTCAAGGCGCCAAGAGATATCCTTACCTTCCGGAGAAAGGGAAGAAGCTCTGCGGCGCTCCAGCCGCTGTTGCCATGTACTTTGGCCCACTCGTCGTAATCTGCAGCAGCAGCACGAGTGTACATCGCGACTGTATACCCAATAGGTCAGGCCGCGGCTCATGACGCGGAACCTGGACGTACAGTTGACGCTTGAGCCGCCGCCGATGCACTGTCCGCACGGGAAGACCATCTCGCGACCACCCAAGGCGTCGCTTTTTGCACTGGTGTGGAACCTGACGGTCGTGCTCTCCGGGCGGAGGTGGTGCAAGTATCTGCACGGTTGGAGGTGGAGAACGTCATTGCGAGTGGGGGGACCTGCCTCAACCACTAGGATGGTCAAAGACGGGTCTGCATCTGCCAAACGACCGGCGACGATGCATCCAGCAGTTCCGCCTGTGGAGGATGCGTTAGTGACGGGAGTGAGGGAGGTAGAAACGCGTAGTCATACCTCCAGCGATGATCACGTCGTAAGTTTGGGGGGCTGGCATTTTCGAGAGCTGGGGTGAGGAAGGGGAAAGGCCGATGGAGGATACGGGGCACCACGGGCGAGAAGGAGGGGTTTATATGCGGAATGCACCTGAGGATGGGATTACAAATGGGCGGCTCAATCTCCTTGAACGAGATCGGTCGACCTACAGGTCGTCGGGAGTGATGTATGTTCGAATCCAGATCTGTCGAAGAGAGTCTGCCGATCTGCGACGGAAGCCTTGGAAACGGGGGAGGAGGCCCAAGTCGTGGCAGTCACGCGGCGGGTGCATGGTGGGTTTCGTGGCAGGGTGTCAGGGTGGATGAGCGAAGTCACGACGGAGTCGCCATGGCGGAAAGAGCTAGATTCAGTAATCTGAAGGAGAGGAAGAGAGAGATTCATGAATCATAAGCCGCCTAGACTCCGGTCGTCAAACGCATGCAGTACTTACTGACATAGTAAAGAGACCGCAAGGTTGTGTCTTTACCTATTCTCCGCTGCACACTCTCCCCATGCTCTAAAGAGTGATAAAGAGTGACAGACGCCAAGACCTACCGTCGCGCGTTTGGTCGAGAAGTCTGGCCTCGTGTGGATGAATTCAGGGACGTCGGCTGCCGTGGTGCAGGCGCCCCCGGGGCATGATTGACACTGGCGCTACTATTCAAAATGAGTGCTGCTCAACCGCGACTACTGAAGTGCTGACGGTAGTGCACGCCCAGCACAACGTTGGCCTAGAAGGAGAGGAGACGGCGAAGAACCGGTGGAGGGCAAACAACCAGAGCTCTCCGGTGGTCTGCCCTTGAAGGCCCACGGCACATCCGAATATGCGCAGCCGGCGGGCGAGACCAAAACGAATCTCCGCCACAAGCGCTCTCTCGACATCCCATCACCGTTGACAACTTGTCTCCACGGCTTTCGGCGTCCCCGGGGAGGTCTCGACACGCCCTCCGTGCACCTGTGTGTCGTAGATTCGTGTCGTCTCCTGTGCGTACTGCGAGTGTACTTCCGTCACGGCTCAAGTATCAGCCCGCAAGCCTAGGGTCCACCCAGCTTACTTGAGTATATCCCTCGAGGCCTTGTTGCCGCCAAGGGACGCCGCGGGGGCCGGCTCGGGGGCCAACGCCTTCGACTTCACGTTCTTCAGTGCGGGCCGGTCGCGGGCCCTTGCGCGCGGACCCCTCCCAGTTCGGCTTGGGCGGACAGCACGCATGCGCACATCCACGCAGATCCACGCGGCCTCGACGCTTCCCCGACATGGCGAACCCGGCCCTGGCCGACTTCGGGGTGCACTCGCAGCGGGCGGGCAGGTGGGCAGCCGCAGCTGCCGATCACGCCGTTCGACATGCTGCAGAACAGCAGGAACCTGGATATCGGGCGCTCGATCGTCGGGGTGGAACATGACCGTTCTGTTCATGGGCAAGCTGGGTATAGTACTAGGGTCGTAGCGAACGGGGCAGAGGTAGGGTGGAGGTGGAGGAGGATGGTGAATCCAGCCTAACCAACAATACCTCGACAGCGCCGGAAGGGTCTGGATGCGGAAGTCCGTGGCAGTAGTATGGGTTTCTTCTGCTTTGGGCGGTTTGGTTCTGTCCATCTGGGTCTGTCGGTAGTCTCGTGCTGGATGTAAACCGTTATCTTTTGAATCTCCTGGCGTCTCGCTGTAACAATCCGTACTACTCACATCAGCTAATCCACGCTGCTCGGCGCCTTCTGACTTGCTCTTCTCTCTCTCAGACGAACGGATTGCCTGGTTCCAATCGCTGCCGCTTCCTCCCCGATGACGTTATGTAAATCGTCTTAGCGTTGCAGCGTACTGCGGGAAGCCTTCAGAATACCTACCGCTTCGATGGAGTGGTGAGGGATGTCCGAACGCTTTCCTTTGTTGGTGCTGATCCATCTGTAGACGTGTGGACAAGGTCGTCGACCGAGCCCAGAGAACGGGACTGGCTGCACGGGTACTGACTCCTGCCATCTCTGCCCCGGGGGAGAATCCATTGATTCACCCCGTGCTTCAAGGTAGCGTTCACAGAGCCCGGTGACGTCGGAGTCAGTCGACCCCCGCGTCTTGTCGGATTCCTACTTTCCGACCTCGGTATAGGATCCCCCGGAAGAAACCTTCAGCGGTCCAGAGTATCCGTGAGTCTCTTTGCCAGTTTCGATCATCTCGTACGACTCGCACTCGCACAGACGGCGCTGTCACGAGCCCAAGGCGCCAGGAAATATCCTTACCTTCCGGGGGAAAAGGAAGGAGCTTTGCGGTGATCAAGCGGCTGTTGGAATGCACTTCCGCCCATTCGTCGTCTGCGGCAGCGGCTCGCCCGATAGGCCAGCCTGATGATCATGGCTCGAAACTTGGACGTACAGTTGACGCTTGACCCGCCGCCGGCGCACAGCACTATCCGCACGAGAAGACCATCTGACGACCGCGCAAGGCGTCACCCTTCGCGCTGGTGTGGGACCTGACGGTCGTGCTTTCCGGGCGGAGATGGTGCAAGTATCCGCACGGCTGGAGATGAAGAACGTCGTTGCGAATGGGCAGACCCGCGTCGACCACAAGGATGACCAAAGATGGGTCTGCATCCGCCAAACGGCCGGCGAAGACGCATCCTGCAGTTCTGCATACGATGGATGTGTCACTGACGGGAGTGAGGGCGGCATAAATAATTGGTCACACCTCCAGCGATGATCACATCATAAGTTTGGGCAGCTGACATTCTGGAGAGCCGGGTGAGGAAGGGGAAATGCCGTTGGAGGACACGGGGTGCCACGGGTGAGAGCGAGGGTGGTGTATGCGGAATATCGCACCTGAGGATGGGATTGCAAACAGGCGGCTCGATTTCCTTGGCTGTTGAACGAGATCGGTCGACGCACGAGCCGAGAGTGCACTTCAAGTCTGTACGTTCGAATTCACACCTGTCGAGATGAGTCTGCTTATCATCCCAAGCCTTGGAAGCGGAGAAGGAGACCCAAATTGTGGCAGGCAAGAAGGTAAAGAAGTCGAGGGAAACCTGGAGTGTTTGTCAGGGTCGTGTCTCGGCGTCCTGCGAGGACGTTCTCTACCGTTCTCCGCCCGCACTCCCTCCCCGTGCTCTGACAGAACCTTCGCGCGTGATACAGCGATGGTGGACGAGTCTGACCTCGTTCAGATCGATCCGAGACACCAGAGGTTGGTCTCCCACCCGGTGTGTTGATCGCCTCGGCTGAGACACGGAGTAGGCGCCCGGGCATTCACACGGTCTCTATTTATGGATGGCGCTCTCGAACCGCCACCTCCCAGGTACTGACAGCAGCGAATGCCCAGCACAACCTTGACCTCGAAGGAGAGATCTCGGACCCAGGCGTCGAACCATCGATGAAGGGTACAGAACAGGAAATCCGTCTGTCGTCGCCGGGCTGGGGCCCGCGGCACGTCCGGGCGTGCACAACCACGGCCAGCGGGCGATGCAAGGTCAAAGCGCGTTCTGCTGCGCTGTGCGTACGGTCTTGCAAACGAACATCCCATCACCGTTGGAACTTTGCACCCGAAGAGATCGAGGAAAGTATCAAACCTCCCACCGTGAACCAAGTTTGTCTCCCCAGCGTCCCCGGCAAGACCTCGGCAAGGCGTGCGCACTGCCAGTTTGGTTTCGTGGCTCTGTCGACCCACAGGCTCAGGGCTCACTTATGTAGATCCCTCGACCCCTTGCCTGCCCTCGGCTCTTGCTCCCCAGCCTCTTTAGCCCCAGCCTTGGCCCTACACGTGCACGCCCCCGCCGTCGCCCATTACGCCCCTCGCCAGCCCACTTCGACCGTCATCACCACCTCCCACCATGGCCGACTTGCCGCCGTCCAGTAGGAACGACTTTGGGGCATGGCTCGTGGGCTCGTTCGTCGGTACATTGTGAGGGCACATCTTTCAGACTTCGACCCCCCAGTCCTGGCAGGCATGAGGTTGACGCGTTCGGAATCTTAGATTGGAAGGGATGCTCCTTCAAAACACAATCACCTACTTTCGACGATACCCCTCCGACTCTGTGTACCTAAAGTCGTGGGTGCGCATCGTTGTTCTCGGCGGTCTAATCTTAAGCCATATGTTGACCACTTCCAACGATAGGTCGCAATCGGCGTGTAAGCTTACTGGGCTCAAGTTCAGTATGTATAACTGAACACCTCTTGACAGACTACTGCAGACGCTCACGACCATCTTCACGATCCATTCATGGTAAGCCCTTATGGCGAGCTGCGTACCCTCGATAAACGCCGCTCACCCACTATCTCAGCTATTTTTATTCCGTCCAAAACTTCAACACTCCCAACATTCTCCAGCATGGCGCCGTGTGGTCGTCAAAGGTGCGGTCCGCCATCCGGACACGGACGTATACCATAGCTCATTTGTCCTCATCCAGCTCGTCCCTATCGTTGGGGTAAGTCCTGTAACGACACCAAGAAACTCAGACATGCTCATACGTGCGCAGTCGATCAGTCTTCTAGTATCCGAAAGGTGCGCATTTCTTCCAAGTGCAGCCCGAATGTCCGAGGGTGATCACTCATTGACGTCGCGCAGCTTTTTCGGACAACGCGCCTATCTATGTATGCTCGCGAATTCCTATGACCGCCACCATCATTCATAACCATTTGTGCGCAGTGAGTGGAACGAAGCTCCGCATCCTCGCAGCGACAGCGGTGGGTTGTTTGGTTGTGACCTATCCACGATTTATCCTAACCACATTTGCAGATGGCCATGGTCGTTACGGCGATAGGTCTGCTTCAAGTTTGTCTCTTCATAATGATACCTCTCCAGTCTAATCGCTCCATGTCCCCTATAGGTTTCTATATTGGCGAGTACACTGCTCCGTCTCCTAGGATCAACTCTGACCTCTCCATCTCCAGGTGTCGCAGTCCAAGCGTATGTTTCATTCTTGAGCACGCGAAACCCTCCTCTCATCGCGGTCTGGTTCAGCTTCGAGATCAACGACCTATCCAAATCTGAGAGCTCAGGAAGTGTACGCTCATACTCCTGTTTAAGCTTCATACATCCTCTAATGTGTTCTGCAGTGGCTTGCGGCAACCGCGGCCGGGCTGCTACTTGCAGGAGACATAATCTTGACTTCAGTGTTGATCTATGTCTTCCATACCAGCAGAACAGGTGGCAAGCGGTGAGGATGTGCCCCGTAATTATGAACGAACGTTAATCGCCACCCTGCACAGGTCGGATACAGTGCTTGACGTGCTTATCAAATATACCGTCAGCTCTGGTAAGCCCCTTCTTCGTGGTACACCACTCCACCTCAGGCTGACATCGTGTGCACAGGCCTATTGAACTGGTACGATCCAAAGGAAATCATCTGAGATGTGCTCCTAACGAAGGTTTCTCACCATCCTAGCGTCTTCAACCTCGCATCGATCGCACTGGTCGGGCCTTTGTACCTCACGTTTGGTTCGCCGTGCTTACCACTTCTCTCTGCCACAGACCGCCGCGTTCCCCCGCGGCATCATTTTCGTGGCCACTATCCTCGTTAGCCAGCAAGTATACACGAATTCGGTCCTCGTCGCGTATGCACCCCGCCTTCTCCGTTTTTGTGACACTGGTGTTGATGCTCGACGAAGCCTCAACTCGAGAAGGCGCTTAAGGCGGGGCATAGAGGGCTGCACTTGCGACGCCGGCAACCCTACCAGCACGCTACGCTTCCAGACCGGGACCGTCCTCGCTGAAAACTCGGACCCGACTCGCAAGGCTTCACACAACGCGGGCATCACTGCTGTCGCGCAGACCCCGGAGCTGCACTCGGTGAGTCGCGGAGCGGTGACGCCGTAGGAGCGTGTCGCGTAATATGCCACTCACGCTGTGGGTGTGCAGAGCACGTGTATTAGAAATTCTTCGCAGCCCGCGATAGACAACGTGGACGGCGGGGAGCTCATCGCGGACGCAGGGACCACTCTGGAGCTGCACGAGACGGACGACTTTCGGAGACGACATGAGCGGTCGGAGGACCCGTCGTCGTCGTCGATTCTCGTGTAGTGCTAGTACTTGCGGCGAGATCTTGGCTCATCAGGACTGAGGGGATCCTGTAGCATCGTTGCATAAAACCCACTTACATGGCTGCAGCTTAAATTCGAACCACGTACTACTCTTATGCTGAGCAACCTAAAAGAGGATATGAGCATATCTCAGGGCCGTGAAGCGTCCATGTTGGGTAAAGAGTCCGATCTCCGCTCAGACGAATGCCATGGACTATGAGTAGTGGCCTAGCTCTTTGAACGAAACACAACAGTCAGGCGGCCGCCCAGTCACTGCCAACGAGTCGCTCGATAATGAAGCCGTATTCTCTTGGACAGTGCGCGCGAAGATAGACATGATGGTGGCTTGGGGTACGATAGTGAAAATTCCCTGAGAAAGCTTTGGGGTTGAGCACAGGTGCCTGGCCATCAAATCCAGACAAGTACTCCGATCGAACACGGGCGCTCCGGGCGCTCACTGCAACTTGCCAGGAACCACGACGAACCGCGGCAGCACGACTTCCTCAAGGTGCCGTTATTGTTGCTCCGCTGTGCATGTGATGCTGGATGTTCAAGTGGGGCTAACACAATGCTGCCAGCTCCCTCCAGGCGTCTCTGATTGCTCCAAGAACCGGGGTTCGCTGCCACGCCGCAAAGTGTACACACTTGTAGCTCCATAACCTTCAAGCACAGGAGATTACTCACCTTCTCTGTGAACGCCGGGCACATTCCATTTTCAAGAACCAATAAAGGTTATAATAGTCGCTATCTGTTGAGGTACGAAGCATATCGCTCATTCACTTGGAGGACTATATATATATGCGTTCCGCTGACACATTTTACTAGAAGCGCGCGTTGTGCCATCTCGAGGTAGCACTCGGACACCTTAACGAGCCATGTTGCCCACAAACACCGTCACACTCGCCGTCTACTTAGGAGTGCTGCCGACCATCTGGTACCTGTGGAAGAAGGCCTATTCGCTTTACACCTCTCCGCTGCTCCACCTCCCCGGACCTCACTCTCCCAACAAGTTCTATGGACACGTCCGACAGATGTGCAGCCCAACGAGCGGGCCCATTACCCTCCAGTGGCTGGAGGATTACGGGCCCACTATCTGCACAAGCTGGCTGTTCCAGGTCACCTCTCTTTTGGCTTAGTGCTCGCGCTCACCTGGGCTGAATTTTGACATTTTAGCTACCCTCGTTGTGGACTGCTGATCCGACGGCGCTCACTCGAATACTTACCTCGTCGAAATATATCAAACCTTGGGAAGCTAGAATGTCTGCGGCCCAGGTAATCGGGAACAGTGAGCATCAACGCTAGACACGCCGTCCAGTCTGATCTTACTCTGCTCTCGTACAGGCGTGCTCATCATGGAAGGTACTCAGCCTACTTCGTCTTCATTGCAAATTGTCGCTCAACTGCGTTTGATATAAGGCGAAGCCCATAGAAACCAGGTTCGTCGGTGAGCTTATTTCGGTTTGAAACTGATCTGATCTTAGCCGGAACTACAGAGACGTATCCTGGTCCGTGTGCGTTCGCTTCCTGAACTTTCAATCCTCTCATACTCCCCAGAACCCTGCATTCAGTCCGGGACAGATCAGGGAGCTAACGGCATGCATGGTCCACAAGGCACTGCAGGTAATATATACAACTTTCAACGTGGATGTACTGTTCATATCCCTTTTCCGCCAGCTGCGCAAATACTGGGAAGCCCAGCTGAACGGGATGGACGACTGGGTCACACTGAATGCCGCCGATGGCCTCAAGAAGGTGACACTAGACATAATAGGTCTCGCAGGTCAGCTGAGTCTCCTCCGCTCTACCATGCCTCACGATTTCACGTTCCGGAGGCAGGGTTTGGATACGACCTAGAGGCGCTGAGCCTGGACGGAAAGCCGAACGAGCTATGTGAGGCGTTCGGCCACATCTTCGGGACAGCCCCACCGGTGTCGATCCTCCGCCTTTTCATGGCTTTTGTACCCCAGCTAGATTTCTTCGTGAGTTCGCTACACGTGTTCTTCCAACCCGAGCCTGATACTGATTCTTGTCCAGCCAGACGAGCGCACAATCAAGATCAACGAAGCAATGGAAACGATGCGTCGTATAGGGCTGCAGCTTATCCGCGAGAAGCGCGAGGCCATCCTCGCGGAGTCCTCCGGGAAGGGTAGTGGTAGCGTAGGGAAGCACGACGTCGAGGGCCGCGACCTGCTCTCGCTACTCATCAAAGCCAACATGGCGAGCGACCTTCCCGACGAGCAACGGCTCTCAGAGGAGGAAGTCCTATCCCGTACGTACCCTACGCGCCTCTACCGAAGACCACTGACCCACGCTTTCGACCTACGGCAGAGATCCCAACGTAAGTACCGAATTTTTACTTCACCACATCATCCTCGCTCACAACCACCAGCTTCCTCATCGCCGGACACGAGACGACGTCGAGCTCCGTCTCGTGGTGCCTCTTTGCGCTGACGCAGGCCCCCGCCGCGCTCGCTACCCTCCGCGCCGAGCTCCTCGCAGTCCCCACGGACGCCCCAACGATGGACGAGCTCGCGGCGCTCCCGTATCTCGACCAGGTAGTGCGCGAGACGATGCGCCTGCACACGCCCATGACGTTCACGCTCCGCGTCCCGACCGAGGACGACGTGATCCCCGTCGGCACGCCGTACACGGACCGCCGTGGTGTCGTGCGGCACGAGATCCAGTGCGTCTCCCACGCAGCTCGACTCTCCGTGCTCCCGTAGCCTCATTTGAATCATACAGTATCATGAAGGGAAACCGCATCGTCATCCCCGTGCTCGCGCTGCACCGGTCCAAGGCCGTCTGGGGCGACGACGCGCTCGAGTTCCGGTCCGTCCCCACCCTTTCCTCTCGCGCTTCGTTCGGCACTCACCCTTTGCCTACCCTCCTACTCCCCAGGCCCGAGCGCTGGCAAAACCCCCCGGAGGGCCTCGCCGCGAGCATCCCCGGGGTGTGGAGCAACCAGCTCGCCTTCCTCGGCGGCCCGCGCGCGTGCATCGGGTACCGCTTCGCGCTCACCGAGTGCGTCCGCTCCTCCTTCCGTCCGCGCCTGAACGCTGATTCCTATGCGGGGCGCGCGCAGGATGAAGGCGATCCTGTTCACGATCGTGCGCGGGTTCGAGTTCGAGCTCGCGGTGCCCGCGGAGGAGATCGTGCCGGTCGGGCTCATGACGCGGCGCACGGCCGTGAAGAGCGAGGCGAAGAAGGGCGCGCAGCTGCCGCTGAGGATGCGGCCGTACCGGCGCACGTAGTACGGGTGGACCTTGGCTGATCATTTAGAGGCAGCCGTGCATTTGTGCAGATCTATGTCCCTTGCCTGGAGGGACGAACTCCATGTCCAAAGCCAATGTGCTCCTGATTACACATCGACGTCCCACCATCTTCTGGCTTCGCGCAAGCGGCGTGCGATTGTCAAACACCTATCGGCGGAGTGTCTTGGCACGGAGACGAAGGGGCAGCAGTGCGGAGGAGAGGCGTAGATGCTACAAATGCTACAAGTGATTCCAGCCCTAGATCGTTACGACATGATTGTTTTACTTCTCGCATACGTCCAAACAAACGCATGACCCTTGAAACCAACCCCTCCCAGGCTAACCCGACGGATTTGCACACATAAACACAATCAAATCTCTGCGGATCCATCGTTCAGATATCGTCCGCGATAGAGGGGATGAGCGCAAACAACGTACTCGCCATGGCAGCGATATCTGTGCTCTGGACGTAGTCCTCGAACTCGGCAACCTTTTCCTGCAGGTCCTCCAGGGAGACCTTCTCGTCCTCTGCACGAGCAGCGACGCATCAGCCGTTTGGATGCAGCAGAGACGCCGAATACACGCACCGACGACGAGAGAGATCTGGAGCTTCGAGACCCCGAAGCCGACCGCAACGAGCGTGCTGCTCCCCCACACGAGCCCGTCCATCTCGATCGAGCGCACGGACTCCTCGAGCTTCGCCATGTCCGTCTCGTCGTCCCACGGCTTGACGTCCAGGGTTACGAGGGACTGAGAAAAAAAAGCTGCGATGAGCATGAATGACGAAAACGGCGCAGAATAGTTCGTACGGACCTTGGCCACGGTCTTAGCCTTGCCAGCCTTTTTCGCGTTGTAGGCGGCGACACGCTCGGCCTTGACGCGCTCGGCCTCGGGATCCTCCTCACCGTCAGAGGCAAAGAAGTCGATTTCTTCTTCCTCTGCAGCAACGGCCTTGGCGGGTACAGGATCAGTGGTGGGGTTGGCGGACATGATGCACGATGGTTAGAGGAGGAATCTTGAAAATGGGATGTCGATGGACGCGATCCTGAGGGCCTGACGTCATCGCCCAATATGGCAACCGAGGCGCTGGCTGGAAAGTTCTGGGGATGACGAGCGTTGTCTCCTCCCGTCTCGCCTCGCCGACAGTTCTCGAACAAACCTCCGCGTCGCCCGAAATGCCTCGAACCCACTCAAGGTGTGTTATATATCGTCTCGAGCTCCCTTCGTCCGCCACTCACCATCCAGACAACCGTCACAACCCATTCCACCATGTTCCCCTACTACTACCCCTCGTCCTCTACTTTCTCAGACTCCGATTACCTCCGCGCCCTGGCTGAAGAGCGCGCCGCACGCGAGCAGTACGTCGCCGCCCGCCGTGCCCAGGAGGAAGCCCGTGAGCGCGCCGCTCGTGCTCGCGCCGCCCGCCGTTCCTACCTCTCCCCCTACTCTTCCTACCATGATGACGAATACCCCTACGCTGCCGACATGGACCTCGACATGGACCCTCTCGACGCCGGTGTCTATGGCCCTCCCCAGCGTCTCCCAAGCTTCACTGGAGGCTCGCGCCCCCTTAGCCACGCCGGCTTCGACCCCTACCGCGAGAGGGAGCGCGCCATCCTTGAAGATCGTCGCCGCCGGGAGCTGCTCGAAGAACAGCGTCGCAAGGAGTTGTTGGAGGAGCAGCGAAGGCGGGAGTTGTTGGAGCTGGAGAGGAGAAGGAGAGGCGGCGCCTTGACGAAGAGCGCATCCGCCGCATCCTCCAGGAGGAGCGGCAGCGCGAAGAGGCAGCGCGCCAGAAGCTGATTGAGGAGGAGCGCATTAGGAGGGCGCTAGAAGAGGAGAGGATCCGCCGCGCTATGCTCGAGGAAGAGGCGGCGAAGCAGTCACGGCAAGACTCCCTCGAGCCCCTCCTCCGCGCACTCGGCTTCGTGCCCGCTCCCAAGACGGCCGACTCTGATTTGGACAAGGTAAGCAGCCTCAGTTCCCATTGGCGCAACCGGTTTGTTAACGCATACACCGCAGTCTCGTGCTGGCCGTCCTCAGCAGGCCACTCCCGTCGCTCATCGTCACACTGCGGGACTCAACCCGAGCCCCGTTCGCCCCTACCCCTTCGGACGTTCTGCCGCCCCGACTGGTCGTTCTCCATCACCCAAGACCTCCACTTCCCCGACCACCACCTCTACCCCCGCCATGGCCCACATCCCCATTACCTCCCCGAGATCTGCCGCTCGCTCCCGTCAACCTTCGCGTGAAGAGCAAACGGCCGCTGCTGAGAAGATCCAAGACGCGTACCGGGCGCATGCTTCGCGCAAGCACGCCCTCAAGGCCCTCTCGGGCATCCGTCGACGCTTCCTCGCCGCGCGCACCGGCTTCTCCCTCCCCACCACCGTCGACTTCGACATCGGCACCCACGGCCGTCTCCCTCCAACTACGGTCACCGTCGAGGCCTCCCTGAAGGCGCGCGGAGACGCGGAGGACGCGGACGCGGACGCGCTCCTCTGTGCCGCGCCGCGTCTCGCGTACTCGCCGACCAACGCGCCGCTGCATGCGTACGAGGAGGAGCTGAACCGGCTTCTCACCGCGCTCGACGCGGTCGAGAGCCGCGGCGACCACGGCGTGCGCGCCGCGAGGAGGGAGCTAGCGAGGGCGGTCGAACAGGAGGCGGAGCGCGTCGAACGGTGGAGGGGCATTGTCTGGAAGTGGTGGACGGAGTCGCAGAAGGAGGACGAGAAGGAGGACGTCCCGGCTGTGGAGGTGTCGTCGTCGTCTTCCCCTGCGTATACTCACACTGTGGAGGTCGAGCCCGCCGAAACTGCCGTTGCGGACGCCGCCGTGCAGCCTGCCGAGGCCGCCGTGGTCGAACTTCCAGTCGAAGTCATTCCCGCCTCTCTGGCCGCCGACCCGACCATCCTCGTCGAATCTCCCGCTACCCCCAAAGTCGACATCCCCTTCATTCCCTCTGAGACCGATCCTTCCGAGCCTACCCCCTTCGAACCCCAAGTCGTCGAGCCTCCCGAACCCCAAGTTGTCGAGCCCCAAGTCGACGAACCTGTCCCCGTCCCCGAGCCGGTTGAAGATGCAGTCATCGAGGATGCCACCCCCGCGTCCACCAACGCCGTTGAGCTTCAAACGGAGCCCGAACAGTCGAGTCGCCCAGCGACGCCCGCGCTCACTCGCGAGTCGCAGACGGAGCCTGATACGACGGACGTCGAGCCCGAAGAAGCGTTGACCCCAGTCCTGAGCGAGCACCCACTCGCGCCTGTCGAGGTCGTGACGGAGGAGACGGAGGACTCAGCTGTGCCCGCGCGGGTCGAGCAGCCGAAGACTGCGCCGGAGCTGGTGGATTCTGAGAGCAGGATACAAGTCGAAAGCCACCATTGAATCTGAGACGACTCATCAGACATGTAATGCAGTAGTTGAGCTAGGTTGTAACTTAGTATATCCTCCACTTGCGCAATGCACCCTCCGGTGATGAATTTGCATGATACAAAGAAGTCTGAGTAACCCAACGCACTTCGAGGGCAAAAACCATTGGGTAGCCTGAACGCGACCACGGCCCGGCAGCCGGCCCGACGCTGCCCCCACCGACGAGCGTCGCGCTCACCTCAGCTGGACGCCCACCTGGAAACCGCTTCAATACCGTCGTTTCGGCGGCTACCTTCGTAGCATCTCAGCGATGACATCCACTTCAATCAAGTTCAAACAGAGGACTGACTTGGAAATCCTATCGCTTCCAGTGGATCATTAGTTTGCGAAGCGTTTGTCGCGGCATTATGATACTAGTCTCCCGACAGAGTGCTGTCCTGCCATCATACATCCCTACGAGGTTAGCGCAAATTACTCGAGCGGTCCGAGACTCGATGGACGACGACGCTGGCCTGAATGGGCGTCTAAATCGCGTGGACCTTAGGCATTGCACTGGCAGGCACCCGCGGCATCTCGCCCTGTATTGACTGCGCCTGCAGTATATATTACTTGAACATAGCCGGTGCCATTCCCTGGCCGTGGTGTCCGCAGTCCGGTCGCACCGCGCACTTCCAGGCTTCGAATCCAGGGCTCATATCGCCGCCTTAGATAATTGGGCAAGTACCGCCACAAGCCAGACACAGCCGGCCGCTCACCTCCCTTCGGCGCTCCCGGCCTCGCCTCCGTCTCTCCAACCGCCTCTCCACTCTTATCCCGTTTGACGACCCTCACGACATCACCGCTATCTGAACATATCTCTACTGGAAGCTCTTGCACGTCCTCACCCGTCACCACATGTCCAGGCGTAGCTATGCCGGCAGCATGCATGAGAGGAGGGCGTCCCGGCTCCGGGTCACTGAGGACGAGCTCGTAAAGTCCGTCGAGCCCTTATGTTCTTATCTTCCCCTTGAGGCTCATCTCGCGTCCTATCAAGCTTCGTTCTGCGCGTAGCGTGAGTCTGCCGTCCACCATCGCGAGCGCCCTTGGAACTGATCTCGTTTCTCGCGCCCAGTCTGCTCAGCTATCGCATCTCGCCCAAGGCCGTCGAGGCCGCTCAGGCCGTGCAGAAGCAGGAACAGGAGCGCGAACGGGACTACTCGGCGCGGATAACCAATGCCGTCTCCAACTCGATCTTCTCGCTCGGTGATCTCTTCCGGGATGGGCAGAAGGGCGTGCGGTTCCCGAAGGACTTGATCAAGGTTGTAGAGCAGAAACTGCAGGACATTGCTATGGGAAAGGATGCTGCGTACGTCGTCCCCTACACTCTTCTTCCTTCCGGATGCATCTGCTCTGCAAGACTGGGACGGAGGGTGGCGTATGCTAGCATTGAGATGAGGACTCGTCCTGCTATTTGATCAGCATCTCTGTTGCTATCCCCCTTTGCCTCCAAGAAGATGAGCGCCACCTGGTGTATGTTAAGGAGGGACGTGCCGCTCACGGTATGGTCGCCTGCTCTATCGATGGTCTCATCTTCCACTTTTCTGACATACGGCTGGAATGCTTCTGGTGCTTAGCGACGCGGCTATGCATTAAGCGCATATATGCACTACCAGAATGTTGCTGGGTGATGCATGCTTCGCCATGTTTCATGCATGTCCGCTTATGCATTATGAAAGCTCCACTTCGACAAGAAACTGAACATATTTGTTATCACACAGATACTCCGACCAGTTGACACGAAGAATCATGGCCATCTTCTATGGCCAGGTTAAGGACGAAACATTTCGACGACAGCTGAAGGAGAACCGCAAGATCGAGGAGCTCATCCTCGTCTTCGCCACGCAGGCCACCAATGTCCTCAAGAAGGAACCATCCCTAGCCGGAGACGCGTGGAAGGTGGAGCTCAACAACCATATCGCTCAGTTCGTCCGACTGCTACGCGATTGTTTGCGGAACGTCAGCCATGTGCCTCCAGAGCTCACCCAACGACTGGACATGTACATCGCAAAGCTCGCCCTGTGCAGCAGTCCTCAGACTCTGGATACGACTCCGCCTCCACCTCAAATCGGGAGTCGTTTAGTTCTGCAGCGAAACAAATTAGCATGTCTGTGAACGACATGCCGCTGGTCAAAACGGCCGCGAAGCTCTTCAAGTTGACGACGAGCGTGACGCAGAAGGAGATTGATGACTTGGCGAAGTTCTGTTCCGAAAAGGTATGTGCTTATATCTTCCGTCTTTCCTGCGGTCCCACTTACCCCGTTTTCTAGGCTGCGCTGAACGATCTGAAGGTATGATATTTGTGCTAGCTTCTCAGAGCTTCCCTCATCTCCGCGTAGACATGTCTGAAGAACATCAATGCCGGCGCCGCCTTCCCTCTCCGGCGAGAAGACTTCGAGTCCGACTCTGCGTACCAGTACTGGAGAACACTGGAGACATCCCACCTCTCTCAGCTTATGGTAGTTATGATGCAGTTCAATCCCGAACTGGCAAAGTCAACACCTGCCGAATCCCTCTCATCAACAGAACGGCCAGGCTCGATCTACTCCGCCTCCTCGTCAGGCGGACGACCAGGATCATACTACGACGGGGGCGCCAGGATCGTACTACGACGGTGGGCTCGCGCAGCGACATCCATCCATCGCGAGTCGGAACTCCATCGCCTCGCTAGGCGGCGTCGGTCCGAGCGACCCAGACCTCGGCGCGCTGGAGGGCGACGAGGAAATTCAGGTCGGCTTCCACTTCACTTCATTCCCCCGAACCCCCGCAAATACTACAAGCGTCTTCTCGAGTACTGCATCGCCGCGGACCTCGAAGCATGCTGAGCCCGCAGTGGGTGACGACGACGAGGTCTCACTCGGGATCCTCTCGGCGCACCACATCGAGCTCATCAACGAAGTCGCGCTCCGCTGGCGCATCGGGCAGCCGTACCGCGTCGCGTGCTTCCTGGACATCGTCCGCCAGTTCTACGAGCGCAACGAGGTCCCCTAGAGTGCGTCCCGGAGGCGCTCAACAACATCGCCCGCCTGGTCGCGGAGGTCGAGCTCGACAAGTGGCCGAAACAGGACGTGGACTACCTCGCGCAGATTACGGTGGCCTGTTCAGCACTTCCTCTCCCACCTCTACCACTCTCTCGACGGCCTCCCGGCGATCAAGGCGTCCGAGATCCAGCCATACCTCTCCATTCTCGAGATCGTTGGCGACCGTCAGCTTTGTCACGCTTCAACGTCGACGTCACGGAGCGCGTCCAAGAGATCCAGGTGCAGGTCGCGAAGTCTCCGCGCGCTACTACGGCAACAAGCTGCACGAGCTCCAGTCTGAGCCCGGTGTCAACCGCGCCCTTCCATTGCTGCTGATGACGGACGAGATCGAGAAGAACGCAAAGCTGCTCGACAAAGGTTCCCAGACCCGCTGCTCGGGTAAGCCATCCATGCCTCTCATGTCTCAGCACGCTGAGCTGACGTCTTTGCAGGCAAATAGATATCGTCTCGCTCATGCTGAGATCCAAATACCACATTTCCTGATGGATCTGGACGACTCCAAGAAGAGGCTCTTCGAGGATTCCATGAATGGACCTACGCCAGATGTGCCCATCCAAGACATCTTCGCGCTGTACCGGCGAACGAAGATTCTTCTCGGGATGTACGGGGCGTTTTGTCCCCAGTGAGTAAGAGCTCGTTGGTCTGTGGCCTCTGACCTGATTGTTTTGTGTAGGGGAGACATCCAGTTCAATGTCGGCATGTTCTTCGAGCCCTACGTCCGGCAATGGCTTCTCAACACCGATGACAAGACAACACAATGGGTGCAAGCGGTGCGTTCATCTTCCCTGTCAGATCGTCGCCGTGCATATGCTCATTCATCTTGAGGCTATCGCGGCGGACAAGGTGTGTTTACCGGTCCCATACAATCCCTATCGCGTACTGACACTCTTCACAGTTCGAAGCCGAAGGCGAAGAAGGTCACAGTTCATCCATCATCGATCTGTTCGACTCGTTGCGCAGCCCGATCCAGTTCTTGCAAGATCTCGAGTGGGTCGACGAGTACCAGGAGGCGCGATTCTTCACGAGCTTGTCCAAGGTGCGTCATTTGGAAACAGACTTATTCCACGCACTCAGCTTCATTATCTCCAGACCATCAGCAAGGCCATCAACCAGTACTGCACGACGGTCGAGGAGATGTTCATGACCGAGATGTTTCCGCGCAACGACTACCTCCAGCCGCAAAAGTCCTCCGCATGGATCGAGAAGGCGAAGCAGCTTACTGACCGGACGGAGAAGAAGATCGAGACGTTCACCTTCCAGCCGGAGTCGTGTGTGAAGCTCAACAACATCGAGGCCGCACGGCGGCTGCTCGACAGCATGTACGAGCAGATCGAGGCGGACAAGAAGATGGACATTCTTGAGCACACCGCGCCGCCGACGCCGGAGAAGGTCGACCGCAAGGATCGCTTCCTCTTCACCGTCAAGGTCTCGATGGCAGAGGGACTGGTCCCGCTCGATAGCAGTCCATCAGCACGGCTCGACACGTTCGTGACGCTCAGCGACGAACAAGGCAACCGTCTGGCGAAGACGCGCACGATCTACGAGACGCTCAACCCTCGATGTATGCGCCAATTTTGGCTTTGCGGATGAGGAAACGACACTGATATCTATCTGCAGGGGACGAGTCGTTCGACGTCTCGGTCGAGAAACCGCTCTGGATCATGATCAGCGTGCGGACCGCGCGCTGGTGGGCAAGCACGACACCGTCGGCCGCGCGTACCTCTGCCTCGACCCGAAGCGCTTCGCCGACTTCATGGCGCACGAGCTTTGGTTCGACCTCGACTCGCAGGGGCGCATCCTGCTGCGTGTCAGCATGGAGGGCGAGAAAGACGACCTCCAGTTCTACTTCGGTCGCGCGTTCCGTTCGCTCAAGCGAGGCGAGAACGACATGGTCCGCGTGTTCATCGACAAGGTGTGGACCCCATCTCCGCGTTTACCGCGTGTGCTGACCTTCTTCGGTAGATGACGCCGTTCATCCACTACAGCCTGTCACGGTCCGTGCTGAAGTCGCTTGTCAAGTCGACGGCGCAAGGCAGCATCGACTACAACAAGGCGTTCGGCAACGTCACCGCGCTGTTCGGGTCTGCCCTTGGCTCCAAAGACGAGGTCCAGATCCCTCTTCCGCAATCGGAAAAGCCGCGCTTCAAACCCGAAGGCCTCACGGACGTCGAGATCGAGCAGGCGATCGTGCCGCTGTTCAACTTCTTTGACGAGAACCTATCGACGCTGAACACGTATCTGAGCGAGACGACGAAGGACATGGTGCTCGGCCGAGTATGGAAAGATATCCTGAAGGTGATCGAGGGCCTGCTCATCCCGCCGCTGTCCGAGGCCCAGAGCGACATGAAGCCTCTCACCGACAAGGAGGTCGATATCGTGTTCAAGTGGCTGAGGGTACGTGCCTCCCTGCTCGCACGTCCTGCTGCGGCGACGCTGAACTCTTCCCACAGTTCCTGAGGGACTACTTCCATGCGGGCGGTGAGGGCCCTATCTCGCTCGAGGCGCTGCAGAACCAGAAGTACCGCGACATCCTGTCCATCCGGCTCTACTACGACTGGCACACGTGAGTGCACACCTGACGGCCGGTTCGCGCACGCCGCTGACCCCGTGTCCGCGCAGGGACGCGCTCATGGAGGAGTGCGTGCGGATGATGCAGCACAGTCTGCGGTCGGCGCCGTCGATCAAGAAGCGGGCGAAGAGCGTGTACCAGCAGCGGAACCTGGGCACGATAAGAACCGCAAGAAGGAGAAGCAGCAGGAGAAGGAGAAGGACGTGAGCAACGGGGAGACCATCCTCCGCATCCTGCGCATGCGGTACGTACCACCAGCCCTGCGCTGACGCGGCGCGCGCCCCCATGACCATGGCTGACTGACCCCCGCGCGCAGGCCGAACACGTCCGACTTTATCGCGCAGCAGCGGCAGGCGATGATCAGCCTGCAGGCGGAGCGCGACGCGGCGGCGAAGCAGAAGGAGAACCGGAAGCTGCAGCGGCCGCGGCAGCAGCAGGACTCCGGGATCCCGCCGGTGCCCGAAGTGCCTCCTCTGCCGCCGAAGGGCGAGTAAGTAGATAGGCCTCCCCTGCGTCGGGACGGATACCTCACATACCATATACCTCCCTCCTCTCGCCGTTCGTTCCTTCTCGGTCCCCGGGACGCTCATACCTCCGCTTCCTTCACTCGTTCTCCGTCCCCCACCCATCCTTCCGTCCCCGTTCTCACTGCCGCGGTGCGCCGCGTCCCTGATCACAAGTGCCCGTTCTCTCCTTATCGCCGCGCCCGCTCCTGCTGCTCGCTTTGCCCCCTCCACGCCCGCCGCTCCGGTCCGTACTCACACACTCGTCTTCTCTTCCTCGTCCGTGTTCTCCCTCCCCCCTTCCTCTTCCTTGTATACTCGCTTGCTCGGAGGTCCCGAACATGTATGGCCGAAACCCGAAATCCACGGCTCGAAACCGAACCCATTCCGCTGGACGCACGCATGGCCAGAGCACCGGCGTGGGTGTGGGTGCGCGCGCCAGGCTCCCAGGCAGGCTGCAGGCTGCGGCACAGGTGAGGCACGCCCAAGCGCAGGTGCATTGCACAAGCTCGGCAGCTCGGTTACCAGTGCACGGCGCTCGTCCCTGCCTCAGGTCCTCGACCGGCGCGAGGAGTGAACCAGTGACGAGTGCATGCTATCCCCGTCTTGGCCAGCGTTGTCACGCCTGCGCCAGTACGCGCCTCCGGATCCGCTGGCGGTCCCGGCCGAGGGGTCCCCGCCCCGATTGCATTCCACGATCGCGCCGCGCTCCCGGGCGCTCATTGGATCTTGCCTTGAGCTTGTGCGCGAGGTGCGAGGTTCGAGGCTTGGGCCTTAGGCCTGAGCCTGAGCTTGGCCCGAGCCGTGCGGAAGGTCAGGGGGACAATATGGCCCCGAATCGCGTCCTCCGCGCCCGTCGATTCTGTGCGCACCGTCGCTCACCGCAACCCCACAAATATAATTGGGCTTTACGAATCACTGCCGACCACGACCACGCCCGCTGGGGGGGAGGGGGGGTTGAACGGTGCCGGCGAACGTCGAGCGTCCGTCGCCAAGCTGCCACGCGCGCGCACGTACGGCCCTCCCCAAGGCCCGAGGTTCGAGCCTCCGCGGCCTCCGTCCGTCGCGTCCGCGTCGTCCGCAGGCTCGACTCCCGCGGCTTCCCGGCGCCCAGCAACAGATTACGGTGCTGTTGCAGCGAGTGAGTACAGCGTCGCGCGCGCTCCACCGCCGTCGGGCGGTGGGTGGTGCGTTAATTAGTACTTGCTTATTACTCCTCCCGCACCGGGGCCTCCCCACCAAGCGCGCTCTCCGAGGCTCGGCCCTTCGCGCGCGTCGCGCATCCCGAGCCCCGACTCTGAGACTGGAGAGAGAGAGAGACACACACACACAAGCCGTCCACGCCAAGTGATACGAAGCTCCAGTCACGCAGATCACCTGAAGGCGGCCTGCCAATGCCCGCTCTGGGCCAATGTGCGCGCCGCTCATATATAATATACGCATCATCCGCAGCGGCCCTACCGCCGCGCACCCGCGCTCCTGCCAACCGTCGATGGTCGCGCCCGTGCTGCGCGCGCGCGGAGAAGCGCTCCCTAGTTCGTTCGTTCAGCGTCCGTCGGACGTCGCCGTCGTTGGTCGGTCGGTCGGTCGTCCCTGGGTTCTCGAGGCTCGATGGCTCGCGGAAACAAAAGGCGTGCGCGGAGTCACGCCGCCGCCGCCGCCGCCGCCAAGCCTTGATCGTGAGCCTCCGCCGACGTCCACAGGCTCTCTCGCACCCCGGAAAGCTCGCTCGAAATCACACGCGCGCGGAGGAAGCGAGACAATGAGGCGGCCGGTCCGCCGCGGGGGGCGGTGATAGCGCGATCGCATTGGCATCGAGGGTGGGGGTGTGTGCGGGATCGGGCACAAGTACACTCATAAGATAATAAAGGTACACATTAGGCAACAGGGTAAAGAAAAAATGAGTCCGTCTCGGGCTGCGGTGCTGATGGATCATGCTGATAAGTAATTGGACGATGGGGGTGGGGATTGCACGCTCATATAAATCTTGACGGGACGGGGGTAAGGGAGACAGTGGGGGGAATGAGGGGGACGGTGGTATGAGTTGAGGTGGGATGAACGGCACCAGCGCGGGCCCGCCGTTCCGGGGCGGGGCGCTTTTCTCTGCGGACGGATCGTACAGGATACACGGCGCGCACACGCGAGCCGGCCTCGGCGTGGGTATGTACACACCCCCCGGGGCGCGCGGGGCCAGGGGGGCTGGGGCGATTATTCTTCACGGACGGCAACTTCTTCGGACGGGACCGGTGGGCGATGTGGACGTGCTTGCGGGACGGGGACGGGGACGATAGGCGAGTCTACGAACGCGCGGGGGTGGGGCGTGGGGCCCTCCAATTGCTTGCTCCCCCCGCACGGCGCGGGTCCCTGGTGGATCCACACCTTTCCTTCGAGGCCGCACGTTCGGAACCGGGGCCGGAGGCACGGCGCGGAGGGTGTTCAGCAGCGCGCCAGGCCCTCGTCCTCCTCCGATATCGATGAGAGGGACGAGTGCCGCGAGTGCGGGCCGCGAAGCGACGAGCGCCGGCCATTGAAGTAGGGCCCGCCGATGCCTATCATCGGGGGCACGTCGCGCTCGCGGGCGGGTGCAGGCGAGAGGGTGGGCGAAGGCGAGGGCGAAGGCGAGGAGGCGGGGGACGTCGAGTAGATCACGGTCCCGAGGGTATGGGGGAGGGCCGGGGTGGGGTATGCGAAGGGCGCAGGGGAGGCACGAGGGGCCGGGGCGCGCGGGGTCGCGGTGTAGATGACGTAGGGCTCGTCGTCGGACTCTTCCGCCTCGTCGATGGTATCGGGCCGGCCGACGAAGGGCGAGGCGGAGGCTGCGGCGTCGGCGGCGGCTATGATGTCTTCCCAGGAGTAGGTGCGGGTGTGACGCTGGGAGGAGGGGCGCAGGATGTCAGGATCGCCGAGAAACAAGCGTGCACGGGTCCGGGGGCGGGACGGGGGCGTCGGGAATGGACAGGGACGGGGAGACATTGGGTGGATGGGGGTACTCACGGAGGGAGTGCTAGGGAGATCGCCGCCGGTGGAGGCCCTGCGGGTGGACTCTCTGCTCCGCAAAAAATCGACGCGGTCCTTGCGGTGAGAGAGGTTTTCGGTGGAGCGGCTCTGCTTGAGGTTGCGGCTCGCGCGGGGAGGGAGAGGCGCAGCAGGGAACTGGGGTGCGGCGGAGGAGGACTCCCAGATGGTGGGGGCGGACATGCGGGGGAAGGTGAGCGCGGCGGAGTGGAGGGCAGACATGGGCAGCGGGAGTGCGGGGAGGGCGACGGTGGGGTGACGAGAGGGTGGGCAGGGGAGAGGATGGGAGGAGAATTTAAAGCGGAGGCTGGGGCGCGAGCAGACAACGGACGGGATGAGTCAAAGGCGCCCGTGCCAATGCCGTCACCGCCGTCACCGCCGCCGCCCGGAGCGGTCGCCGTCTGCGCCGTGCGTCTGCCCAGCTCACAGCTCGCGCACCGATGGACGACCCCACTTTCCGTCTGCCCGCCAGAGCCTGCGACGATGCTCTCCCACAAATGCGCAATCACCCGCCTCCTCCTCCCCAGGCAGCCCGTGACGCAGGGCGTGACAGAGAAGAAAGCGGTGCGTCGCGCGCGCCTCCGCCCTCGCTCCCGCAGTCGTCGTTCGCCCGTCTCTCCGCCCCGCAAAAGAAATCCATCATCGCGACCCTCCGCTGCGCGACCGACCCACGCTCGCCCTCTCGCCCGCGTCCCTCTTCCACACCCGCGATTCCGTCGCGACATTGTCTCCCCCGCGCCGCCAGTGCCAGTGCCTACAATGCACAACATCCACACCGCTCGCGTGGGCCTCCACATCAGTCACCCCGCTGACAGATCCGTGCACCTCCGCCCGCCGTCCTCGCCTTCGCGCACGCCTCCCCACCCTGAAACAACGTGTCCGCGGCGACCGGCCGAATCCCTCCTCCGGGCGCGCGTGCCCGCGTGCGCGCCGTTGCCCGACCTCGACGTCGCGTGTGCACACCCCCGACCCCTCAAAAGGGCGGCATCGCGAATCGCGATCGCGAGTCCGACTCCCGACCGGCCGACGCTTGTTCCAACTCTGTTCGCTCGCCGACCGCGACCGAATTTGCGGCGCCTGCGTTCTTGTTCGTGCTCCCCCCTTGTCCTCTGCGCTAAACATATCCCCATCCTATCGTTGACGTACTGGGATCGCACGACCGTGCTGCGCGCCGCCGTCCCACGGGCCAAGACGCACGATGTTCGCGCCCGCCCCCGCCCCGCCCCAGGGCGAGGGAGGTGGAGCGAGGCTCGTCGAGGCGCCACGGGTGCGTGCGTGTCCCTGGTTTACGACCCGCTGCGGGATCCCGCTCGGTGGCCGCTCGGGGGGCGATGCGCGACGCAACGGCGGGCGTGCGCGTGGGGACCCGCTCGCTTTAGCTCACGAGTGCATGCGCAGAACGCGACATCGCTGCAAAACGCGTCCCGACTTACCTCCCAGGCACCGGCCGGACGCCTCTGCGGTCGGTCGCGACGTGTCCTTGACGGGGCTAAGACGCACGGCACGTGTGCGCGCGGCGTGTGCGTATTTGCGGGCCTGCTCGCGGCCGCTGGTCGACGCTAAACTTGGATGGATAGACATATTTCGAATGGGTTCACGCACCGTCGACGCCCAGCTCCTCTCACAGTTCCCTCCAACATCCATCTCGCAAACTGAAGTATCTGGGCCGCAGGGCTGCATCGCCAAGCGGATGCGAACATTCTTGTTTCAGCCTTCGCGAAAACGCCTGCGCGCGACGTCCAAACCCGGTCGCCACGCTCATCCATGACGATACCTCCGCATCAGGCCCCGGCCGGGCCCCAGGAACGAGGACACCCTCATGGACAGGACGCTCATCAAGGCCACGGCCCACGACCTCCGTCCGGGCTCGGCTTGATGGTGGCGAGTGCATTGGTTCGAGATGGACTCACCCCGCGGCTGCGATCTTCCTTCCCTTCATCATCGTCCCCGTTCTTACATAGGCCGTGACTCTCTCCTCTGCCCACATCCCATATGTCCGAAACCGTCTGCTCGGCAAGTTCCATGCACATCATATCTGGAACGTTGACACACATCGTACTCATCTGTTAGTCTCTACGGTCGTATCATCGCGTTGGCCAGTCTTGTCACGCACCGGCCATGACTCAAAGCTCGAACATTGTTGACACAAATCGCTGAAGAAGAGCTTCGACCCGACCCACGCAGCACGCTCGCCAAAGTCCGAGCCGCACCGCACGCCGGGCGTCACCCATCCCGATCTCCTCGGAGTCCACCTTGCGGTCCAGCCTCACACACACGAGCCGCCACGAGTCAAGACCGACCGCCTTCGTTGAACAGGCCTGGCGATGGCGAGCGCTTTCACAGGCTCGAGATATCCACGAAGGCCGACCCTGACATCGGATGACTATCCGCGAAGACCCCTGGGAGACGCGGTGCCCACGATTCTCGGCTTCGTGCTGCCAGATATCGTCCGCAATCCTGTGCGTGTGTCCTTCGGGGAGAACGACACCGCACCCGAAAAGACTGGGAACGCCACTGCCAACACTCGCGAGCACAGCCCGCGTGCCCGTATAACGCTCCATCCGCTCGCAGTCGACTTCTGTCTGCACAAATACGTGTTCGCACTGGCGCCGACTAGTCCCGCCAGCCAGGTCTTGGGCGTTCGCGGCACGTCATCCACGTGCGGACCTGCTTGTCATAAAGCAGGAATCGGATAGACAAGGTGCGTGAGACGCTACAACCTTGAGAGCCGGCGCTCACTCAAGCTCTCCAACAAGGACGATCGAGCTCGCCAAGTCTGAGATCCGACCCTTCCTTGTCTTTGTTCCTGGGATTTAGAACATGGCGCTCCCCTCGGCGCCGCGCCCCTCCAACTCCCAACACTCGACGTCGGCACCGAGCTCTATGAACGGACTTCTGGGCCTCTCTAGTCCGCGGAACCCGACGCACCCGACCGTTCTAGTGCACGCGATGACCCGATCAGTCGTCCCGTCAGTCCAACCGACACTCTACTCGCCCGCCACCACGTCCACTGTCGCGCGGCAGCGTCCTAGGACGTCGCCGCACGCTAGCACGGGGAGCATAAATGCACGCGCGGTCGCCCTGGGAGGGCGCGCCGTCTGCCAGGCTCCTTGTTTCCGCCGCTCTGCTGCGCTGTTGCTCAGTGTTCCGTTCTTGAGCCGGCTTTGTGGCTTCGACTTCGACCTGCCTCGTCGCGTCCTACTCCATCCTGCTTTTGAGAATCCCAAAGTCGCGCGCGGATCATGGCCTGGCTCTCAATCGTCCGCCTCGTGGCTCTCAGTAAGCACCTCTCTTTCTCCCGCCCATTTGCGACCCCGTTCTGACCTAGCCTTGTACGCGACCATTGTCGACACTCGCAGTCTTCACCACCATATGCGGCGCCATCGTCCTGTCGCTCTCCGCGGACATCACCCACTTCTCCGAGTTCTACTTCGAGGCGTATTATGACTTCTCCGTGCTCGCCATCGCCACCGGCGCGCTCACGCTGATCACCCTCCCGACCATGCACGTCCCCTTCCCGCTCTTCTTCCTCCCCCACGCACACTAACCGGTGCCCCACCCAGGCTCATCATCGACTCCCTCCGCACCGGCGCCTTCACCTCCCTCGTCGTCTTCGAGCTCTCGTGGCTCTGTACGTCCCCTCCCTCCCCGCACGCCCGTCCCCGCTCACCCCGCGTCTCCCCCCTCCCAGCCGTCCTCTCCGTGCTCTGGGTCGCGACCGGCGCGCTCACCGTCGACCAGACCTCCTTCGTCTTCGCCACCTGCGACTTCCTCAGCGACGTCGCGAACCAGGTCTGCCGCGAGACGCAGGCGATCGAGGCCTTCTCCTTCCTCGCCTGGCTCTCCCGTGCGTCTCTCCCCCTCCCCCTCCCCCTCCCGCTTCCGTTCCCGTTCTCCGCTTTCCGTTCTCCGCGCTCCCACGCTGACCCCCCCCGCGCAGTGCTCTTCTACACGATCGCCCTCCTCGCCGTCGCCTGCACCAACGCCGCGCGCGGCGCGCCCATCTGGCTCGGCGCCGTCCGCACCCACGGCGCCGTCGCCCCCGCCACCGCCGCTCCCCCGCCGGCCTCCCCATGCACCAATCGCACGCCCAAGCCCAGTTCGCGCCCCAGTTCGCCGGCGCCGCGCCCTCCCCGCCCGGGCAGGTGCCGTCGATGGGGATGTCGATGTCGATGCCCGTGCCGATGCCGCACCAGCTCCAGCCGAGCCCGCCCCCGTCCCAGATGGTGCAGCACGGGTACGCGGTGCCGTCCCCCGACGGGAGCGCGCGCGGGTCGATGTACGGCGTGCCTGGCGCGGCGGTCCACCCGCACATGTGATACTATTAACTAATAGCGCGGAGGAGGCTTGATCAAGGCGGCGGGTGAGAGCGGGTGAGAGGGCGGGGGGAGCCTGGAGGCCGTTGGAACTTGGGCCGCGGCGGTCGACACCGGGACCGCGGGGAACGTGCGAGGAGGGACACATGGGATCCGCGCTCACGTAACATACCACACCACGCCGCTCGCGCTGCGACTGGCACCAATCCAAGCGAGCGTTCGCCGTTTCGTTTCGTTTCGGTCTTCGAAGCCACCCGCGTCCTCCCGCCACAGCAGAGCCGCGGGACCCCGATCGCGCGCGCCAAGGCTTTCCCGTTCGACGGCGGCGGACGGATCCGGCGGCGTTGGACTCAACCCTTGCATGTGCCATGTGAGACGGACGGACAAGCAAAGACAGGGGCAGGTGTCCATTGCTGTCTGGCCACACAACGCTCTCGTTGCCCTTCGCCACCAGGACCCAACCGTCGCCGCGCGCGCGCGCTCCGCGACGGCGACCGTCTCTCGTCCCTCTGGACCCACCTGGTAGTGGACCCACCGCATCCATCGACAGCCTCGACCGCATATCCGTCCGTGTAGCTCAAGGTTCCCCTTGGCCACTCACCGCACGGAGACCCATTGGCCTCCTCGAGCCCAGGCCTGGGCTCCGACCTTCTTCCTCCTTCAACTTACTTAGCCGAGAGCGAAGTGGACGTGCGCAGGCCGCACTAGCCCCGCCTACTCTCTGCGGCCGCGCCGAGGACGTAGAGCCGTGAACTTCGCGATGCACGGCCGTTCGAACAAACGTACTCCCACAGGAGCCGACGAAATGAGCGAGTCCGAAAAGCAGATGAATACAGCGCCCCCGGAAGCCAGGGGCGAGAACGATCGACAGGCTACAGGCTACACATACGGGGCCGCCCGCGCGAACGCCGCGCGGCGCCACGGGGGACCAGATAGTATACAGAGAGTACGTGGGCCAGTGTCCGAGAGACCAGTGTCGGAGCGGGAGGCGGGAGCGAAAGCGTGTGGCTGGAGCGTATGTACAGCGTGCACAGCAGCGGCGCACGGACGGGCGAGGGCGTCGTGCGATTACGGCCCGCGCGGCGGCTGGGCCGGTTCGTGATAGCGGTAGTGGTGGGGGCGTTGCATGCGGCGGCGAGGCGTGGTAGGATGTTGCGGGTCGTCGTCTACGCGTCGAGCGAGAGCGTCGTCGTCATCGTGTGTGGTGGTCTAGCGGTCGCATGTGCGTGTCGGGTCTTCAGAACTTCAGACCGCGGTGCCCTCGTCGCTCGCGCTCGGCGCGGAGCTGTGCCGCCGGTGCGAGTGCTCGTGCGCGTACCCGGGAGCGCCTCAGAAGGGCGCTGGAGCATGAAGCCTGCACAAACATCCAATCAGCTCAGAGCACAACGCACACCGCAAAAGCAAAGGAGACGCACCCCGCGCCTGCGCGGCCTTCTCGCCCTGGCGGCCGAAGCCCATCCCGCTCTTCTGGCTCGAGAGGCTGTCGGACCGATTCGTGTACGCCTCCCGCTCCTTCTCCCACGCGCCCGAGCCCATGTGCAGCGGGCGCGGGACCGGGCTGTGTGAGCGGGGGAGCACGTCGGCCCCCCCACGTCGTCGTACTGCGAGCGCCACGCGGAGAGCGAGCGGCGCGTCTTCGCGGACTCGCGGAAGATGAGGCCGAGGAAGATGTTGAGGCAGCCGACGGAGAAGAGGAAGAACGCGGACACGAGCGCGAACTCGTCCACGTGGTGCGAGAGGACCGCGGCGCCGAGCCTGCGCAGGCGAGGAGGGTGCGTGTCAGCGAACGGTCTAGGCGGTGCGAGGGTGCCCACGGCGTGGCCCGTACGTGCGCACGCCCGACCACACAGGAAGCGGCTGTCTGCGCGCGCAGGGGGAAGATCGTACGGGCTCGGGGGGAGGCTAAACTCACAGGCACTGGATGACGCCGAGCGCCCCGAGACCGAAGTCTGCGCCGAGGATGGGGAAAAAGCGGTTGAAGAAGCCATCGGCCACCCGACCTCGGAGAGAATGAGGACGATGGCCTGGAAGATGATGAGCAGCCGGTTGAGGACCGCCCAGAACGCGCCGGCCGCCTGGTTGGGTACTGTCTCCCTCTGCACGCAGGGAATGCATGTCAGAATCTCGCGGAAGAAAGTAGAAAACGGTAGACGCACTCGACGTAGTCCGTGTCCACGTTGACGCAGTCGGGCAGAGAGCTCGAGGTCGCGTTCACATCTGCGGCGATTCGGATGTTGGGGTCCGCCCTGCCGGCGGCGATGAACGAGTTGACGGCCTGGATGTCGTGCACCATGGTGACGATGCTGCTTGCAAAGAGCAGGATGAGGGTGATGATGCTCAGAGCCCGAACCACGTTCAGGCCGATGAAGATGTCTGCGCCACCGCACCCGTCAGCGCCCGCACTCGAGGATGTATGTAAGCTCAGACACTCACATCCTTTCATGGTAGGCATGGTTGATGCGTTAGATGATCAGAGAGTGCGTTTGCGTAGGATGTATGCGCGAAGAGGGGTCTTGTGAGGAGGCGCGGCCTGGATAGGTTGTGTAGGGCAAGGGAGAGGATGTGCGTAAAGCAAGGGAGTGGTGTTCCTGCACCCAAGAAGTCGTAGCAAGTGGGCCGCGTGGGCTGAGAGGCGCGAAAGGCACGAAGCACGGGGCGCGGAGAGCACGAGAGGAAGACCGGAACGGGGAGGATAAGGTGGGATGAGGAAGGCCTGTGGAACGTGCAGCACGGTTTATGAACGAGTGGCTCACCTCGGCCTGCACCGCCTGCTGCACACGCAGTCTCGCCAGCCTTTGTGCTCCTTGTGGACGGTCTCCTAGTGGCCTCATTGTGAGTCGACAGACACACAAAAGCGAGAACAATGGGCGGAACAGGCGCGCGCCACGGAAGGCAAACACACGTCAACAAAGCCTTCTGGCGCCACGCCTCCCGCGAAGCGCCCGTGCATTGTCTGTCCACCGCCTCCGCCTCCGCCTCCAGACCGCGCTGCGGCCGGGGTTTGCGCGGCCGATGCCTTCGTCACTACTGTGTAGGCACTCAATAACCAACCAAGCCAGTCTCCGGTCAGAATCCAGCTTCAGCGGGTCAATCGTGGTCCTACCAGCCTCATACGCGTCCAGGTCATCCTGACGCCTTCTGGGCGTAGATATGGAGGTCCGCGCGCAGGACTGCGCCTAGCCACCGCAGGGACATTTCGTCGGAAGCCTTGCTAATCCGGCCATGCCTTCCAACCTCCCGCCGCCTGGCTTCAAGTCTCGTCTTCAGAGCTCTGCTCAGATCGAAATCAACGCACCTGTCACTGAGGTGTATGGGAAGTCCTCATGGATCTCTCATCCTACCCTGAATGGTGCGTTTTAGGTCTTCATTGTCCCGGCCCGAATCTGACTGACCGTCTATGTAGGAATCCCTGGCTGTGGTGCTTTGAGTGTCTGCCTGATCGTTACGCTTACGCTCAACCCGATCCTTTCCGACTCAGACGCTCGGCCGTCGCGGTCGATTTCTCCTCCAAGAAGCCAATTCCATCTGTCCTCGTTGACGAGGGGATTCAGATTGCGATGCAGACCCAGCCCTCACTGGACCCCGCCTCGAAGCCGCACGCCGCGGTCGAGAAATTCTTCCATATTGACCCAGAACATCACCAGCTCATCTGTGGCCCTCCTCTTCCGTGCCGAGTTCGCTCAATCGCTGCTAGAAACCTCCCCCGGAAAGACGCTCTACGAAGCGCGCCATCTCTTCGCGGGCATGTCCGCGCCCGTGATCTCGCTGCTCATACTGAACGGCCTCGATCTCTGCCTGAATGCAATGGCGACCGCGCTGAAGGAGCGGGCGGAGAGCCGCCAGCAATAGCTCTGAAGCACTGAAGCACCCGGCTCATCCGATGTGCGTGTCTCTTTAGCTTCGCGACCGCGCCCTGTGACGTTAATGAGCACCTTCGAATTCCCCAGACCCCTTGTAGTCCCAGATACACGCGTCGCGCTCTACTTTCCCGTCCAATGCCATGTATGTTCTTTTTGTGGAACTCATCGAGCTATTCGTGGACCCTTCTTGTGCGGGGTTCGTCGCCCCCGCGGGACATTCATTCGGAACGGCCGGATGCGTCCCGACTCCACTTCGCTGTGCCAACGGGCCGTCAGGCGGGCGAGCGGATCACTGCATGCAGCCTCCTGACAGCCAACAGAAGCCATCTATGACCCTGCGCCCGCAGGGCGCACGATCTGACGCACGCGACCGGCCGCGACAGTCGAGTAACGGCCGCGGTAACGCTCGCGACCGCTGCGTTGTGCGTTGGGCACAAACACATCGCAACTATTGCTGTGGGTCCAGCTCCCCGTCCTCGGAACCGTTAAGTGCTCGATAACGTTGTTGGGTTTAGCTGACAATCGAGTCTTATTGTGACAGCAGCAAAATGTGCGCATCGCCTATGCAGCCATTTAGCGTATACTGCTCAACAATGATGTACCGGCCCATCTCTGCGACGCCCCACCCAGTCTTCCTTCGCTCCGGCGCGTTGAGCTCGACGGTGGAGACACGGCACGAAGCCTCACCATCCGCGCGCCGCGCGAATCTCCGATGTCCACAGTGCTCGAGGCCCGGTTCGCCGCCAAACCGAAACCATTGACAAGGTGTGGGGGATCTTCGCCTGCTGCAAGGACGATGCTGACCTGGGTTCACGGAGGCTTGCGCGTGTAGGGTCGCTATTTTTCGGAACCATGCGCACTACTGTGCGGGCAAGTTTGGAGACATATATATCGCCGACTCGCGCCTCACAACGGCCCCTCACTCACCTCCTCGGCGCGCTCGCGTCTGACCAAACGCCATCCAACAGTCACCCGACCTGCACCGCACCACGAGACGGATCCACCCACACTTCCCGAACACAGACGATGGCGTTCACTGTCGCCTACCTCATCTACTCTGGCGTAATGCCCTCATTAAGACGTGCGTGCCACACCTTAACCCCCTCTGTCTTCGTCCCCGCACTAACCCCGCCACGCGCAGCGCCGCGGCGCTGCTCTGTGGCTTCGTCCTTGTCCGGATGGACCTATTCCCGCCTGCGGCTTCGCGTGGCGCGTCCATCATCGCGATGAACGTCGCGCTCCCCGCGCTCATCTTCGCGAACATCGTACCCTCCTTCACGCCCGCGAACGTCTCCGCGCTCGGGCCCATGTTCCTCGTCGCGGCCGTGTACCAGCTCATCGGCTTCGCGCTCGGCATGTTGCTGCGCGAAATTGTTTACGTCCCCCGCAATTTCTGGCAAGGCATCGTCATCCTTACCGGAATGAGCAACTGGGGCAACCTCCGTGAGCGGCTCGATTGTTCTTGAGCCCGGGGACTGCGGTGTGCTAACGCAGAGCTCGCGCGCGCGCGCGCCTCATAGCGAACGCAATCGTCATGTCCGTCACGCAGCAGGTCCCATTCGATCCAACCACGGACCCAGCACGTACGTTTCCTTTTCCTCGTTCATATGAGCTTTTGCGTGCCTCCGCTCACGCGCTCCTGTGGCCCTGCGACCCCAGTGGGCGTGTCCTACGTCTCGATCTTCACCGTCTGCTACCACGTCGTGTTTTGGATGTGCGGCGCCTCACAGTCCCTCGCCTGGGACTACCTCCCTGCCGTCCCGCAGGGCGCAGATGCCGAACGCCGGCTCTCGTGGAAGGAGAGGCCGATCGGGAGCCTCGTGGCCCGAGCGCTGCGTCTCGCTCCGCCCCCACCAGCACCCACGACCTCGGAGCTCAAGGACGAGGAGACGTGCTCGTGTACTTGTCCGGGAGAGAAAGGCGACACCGACGATTGCGACGACGGAAAGGACAAATGCGAAGACACGCTCACTACCGTCTGTGACCCCGAGCCCGACTCCGCTGGGAGCAAAGAACCCGCTCCCCTGCCCCGCGCGTCGCACGCGATCCCCCGCATCGTGGTCACTGGCACAGACTCGCCCCCCACGTGCACCGCGGACCTCACGGAGGAAGCAGACAGCCCTCGCCAGGGTCTCCCCGATCCCCACTCGATCTCCCCGCGTACAGCTGTTCCCCGTCTCCCCGGCACAGCGACCTACCGCTCCCGCAACCTCACCCTCGCCATCCCCCCGTCGCCGCTGCGCCCGTCCGCGGCCCAGTCGCCCGTCCGGGGCGCCTCGAACGCTGCAGCATCCGTGCCCCCCACGCCGAAAACGCCCCGCTTCGCCACCGCGCCCTCCTCCCCGGCCCACGGGGCTCGCTTACCGTCCCCACGTCGCCCCTCGCGCGCTCCTCGCCCCCTCGACGGTGCGCTCGACGCGCTCCTCGCGCCGACGACCCCCTGCGCGTCGTGCACGCGATACACGCGCTCGAAGACCCCGCGGCGGTCGACGCGCTCTCGCTGCGGCCCCGACCTCCCGCTCCGTCTCGCTGCTCCCAGCCGACACACGTTCAAGGGCAAGGCGCGCCGGTGCGCGCTGGGCGCAGGCGAGACGCTCGAGCCGCTGCTCAAGCCGGTCACGGTCGCACTCGCGGTGTCGCTGCCCGTCGCGCTCATCACGCCGCTGAAGCGCTCTTCGTCAACACCACCGCGAGGGGGGCCCGCGTGGTTTGGGCCGGACGGGCGACCGCCGCTCGCGTTCGTGATGGACACAGGTGCGTGGCGAGTGCTGCGCGTGCGCTCAAGTCGCCGGACGCGGGTGCGCGGAGTCCGCGGCGTCGACGCACGCGCAGCTCATTTGGAGCTTCGCTGACTCACGTCTTTTCCTTTGCATGCTGTTCCTACGTGCCTCGACGACGACGTCACCCCGCTCATCGCACTCGCCATCCCCGGGCCCTGGTCTTCCTCTCCTCGCTCCTGCACGCACGCCCGCACGCACCCGCCACACGCGATGCAGCCCAGTTCATCGACACGCTCGCCGTCCCGATCACGCTCATCCTCCTCGGCGCGTCCTTCGCCCGCCTCTCGTTCCCGCGCCCGCTCTCGCGCCTCCCCATCGCCGCGATGGTCCTCTGCGCGCTCGCGAAGATGGCACTCCTGCCCGTGATCGGCGTCGTGATGGTGCAGGCCATGGTCCGTGGCGGGCTCATTCCCGTCGAGGCCCGTGCGGAGCGATTCGTCGCGATGCTGCTCAGCGGCACCCCTGGGGCGGTCAAGTGCGTCTCCCATCCATGTCGCGCGTGTCTGTGCTGACGTGCGTCGGGAACGTGCAGCCAGATGATCGTGACGTCGTTGTATGCGCCGACGGGAACGTGGACACCATCGCGGTGAGTCTAAACACTGCTCGTGAAGGTGGTCAGAACTGAGGGCTCGTTTGACAGGCCTTCCTCCTGGTGCAATGTGAGTGCACACCGTCTGATGTTTTCTGTCACTAGGCTGATATCGTTTGCGCCAGATGTATTCTTGTTCATATCCAATGCGTAAGTCTCTCATCCTCGCTCGGATTTTTTTCTGATCCAGCTTCTGCAGGGTAATCACTTCTATTGCTCTTCTCCTGCTATGATCAGCATGCGCTCCTGCGTTACATGTCCACATGTTATTCTATGCTCTTCACGATGGTTCCCCTGGTATTATGGGCACGTATTATAGGCACGTTCCGTATATTCTCGCAGTCCTCTATTGCCACTCTACAGTCGAATAATCATAGTCGTATTTTCTACTCTATCCCCTCCTGCTCTCCCAGCGTGATGCCAATGGCTGCGGCTAACAGATAACAGATGGGTGAGAAATACCAACCGTATATGGTACGGTCTCACTCCATGTGCCCGTGCGTAAACATAATACCCCTCGAACTGCCAGGTACTACTCAGACTCAGGTTTCGCCATCCCACCATCGCGCTCCAGGATGCCTTCCGAGTCGGACGCAGCAACGACCAACCTCCCGCCTCAGACATACGAGGGCGTCTTCACCATGGCCGTCTCGTGCGACATCGACGCGCCCATTGAGACCGTGTGGGACATCCTCACCGACTTCCCCAAATACGGCGAATGGTGAGCCGCACCCCGCTCACCCTCACCCCACCGCTCACACCCGCTCCCCCAGGAACCCCTTCGTGCAAGTCGCACCCCCAACTCGACACACGTACACCATCGCGCTGACGCCCACCCCTCCTCCTCGCAGACGCAGCCAGCAGATCACGGACGCCGCCCGCCGCCCGCTCGCGGACCAGACCCCCGCCGCGGGCCAGCACCTGCTCATGCACGTCCACATCCTGCCCACGCTCGACGACGCGCGCGCGAAGCGGACCGCGACGTTCGAGCGCATCCTCGCGTGCGACCCCGCCGCGCGCCGCCTCGCGTGGGCCGTGCTCCTCCCCGCGTGGTTCCTGCGCGCCGAGCGCTGGCAGGCGCTCAGCGCGCTCGGCGGGGGGACGCGGTACGAGTCGCGTGAGGTGTTCGCGGGCCCGGGGGCGTACCTCATACGTATGATGATGCGCCGCGGGCTGCAGGAGAGCTTCGACGCGATGGCGGACGCGCTGAAGGCGCGCGCCGAGGGACAACACTGATTGATTCGTCGTGTCGACCTCAACCTCTACGTCTTCTGTACAGACTCTGCTCATTCGTGGACAGATACAGACATTACCCAAACATACGAGCCTTCATTTTCCGTTTGATTCCGTAAATAACAGCCCGAAGTGCTGCGCAGCGCGCATGCTCACCGCTCTCAACTGCAATCCCCCCACTCCGCGTCCACGACCCCCTCCCGCCACACGCCAGGATCCACGCGCCGCCCGCCGCGGAGCATCCGCACGCGCGCCCGTTCGCGCTGCTCCTCGCCGCCGACGACCACCGTCGCGAGCGGGAGCGCGGGGCTGCCCGCGAGCACCCGCCTGCACACCCGCTCCGCGATTGTGTCGAGCTCGTCCCCCGCCACGAAGAGCGCCGGGTGCCTCAGCTCGAGCGTGAGGCCCTGGAGCCGGGGCCGAGCCGCGAGCCACTCCATGAACGGGCTCTGTAGACGAAAGCGAACGCGCGGTGAGCGAGGACGGTCACACCACACGGCGCACGGACGCACCAAAAAGTCCTCGAGGCGGCAGCGGAACTCGACGCGGAGCGCGAGCGCCGTCACGCCGTCGAGCCCAGGGAGCCGCAGCGCGTCGACCACGTCGTGCCCGCCGCGCCGCAGGGGCCGGAAGGCGGCCTCGAGCCGCGCCGGGCGCGCAGCGGCGAACAGCACGTCGAGGAGGGGCAGGTCCGCGTCGTCGAGCTCGAGCGCGAGCGTGCGGACGGGGCAGGGCGGGCCCAGGCAGTGCACGTCCCCGCGCGCGCACGCGAGGCGGTCGAGCGCGGGCCATGCGCGCGCGCTGCCGCGGTGCCGCACGACATCCGCGGCCCACTGCGCGAGCGCGAGGTGGAGGACGCCGGGGCTGGGCGACCGCATACGTGCCCGGAACGCGACGCTGAGCTCGAGCGTGCGCAGGCTGGGGAACGCGCGGGGCCACGCCGCGACGTCCTCCGCGTCGAGGGCCTGCCAATATCCGGCGTGCAGAACGAGGTGGGTGAGGGCGGGGAAGACGAACTCCCCCTGCTCGCTCGCGGCCGCACGAGGGAGCGGCCAGTAGAAGACCGTTAGCGAGGTGAGGGTGTTCCGGGAGGCGTGCAGAACCGACGGCGGGACGGAGGACGGCATGTGCGGGTTTAGGACCTTGTTCACCGTGCGGTGTCCCAGGTGCACGGACTCGAGAGGGAGTTGAGAGGCGAGGTCCCACCCAGAGAAGCTGCACTGGCGGACCTCAATGCACTTGATGGACGGAAGATCGCGTATTGCGCTTATAAGTTGAAGAGTCCAGGTGCGGGCGTTGAGGACCTTGAGTGTGTGGAGGCGCGTCGCCCGTGCGAGGCCCCTGGCAAAGTCCGCCGTCGTTTCCCCTGGGAGTTTGGTGGGTTTGAAGTCGAAGTCGAGGAGAAGGATATAGCTCCATCGCCCCTCGTCCGCTTCGGTAAAGCGGAGGAAGAGCTGGGTGTGGTCGGCGCTCTTGAGCGAAACCTCACGCGCAAGGAAGCTGGCGCATCCTCGGTGCATGAAGCGGCTAGTGCGCATGAGCGCAGACATGGTTGCTCTCTCTGATGCAGGTATCGAGTCCCTGATTTGCAGGAGCAATTCAGCGGGGAACGCCCTCCGAAAAGGAGAGCCCAATATCATCGCAGCGTCTTGTGTGGCAAATCCGGATGAGCGAGGAGAAGGGTTGGCACATGAAGCTGAACCTACAGCGCAAAGTGGGGAGTTTCTTCCGAGGTGGACAACGTGTGGCGAGGGCGACGAGCTGGCTATCTGAAGAGCAATCGCCGACAGCACTTGACGCCGGCACAAATAACAACGCTGCGTTCTGAGAACGCACTGGCCAACTTCCTCTCTTACAAGTGCAGCTTCGGACAGACGCAACACTCCACGACCCCGCCATCCATCACGCAGCGCAAACAGCGGACGCACAAATACACAACAATAAGTTACATTCCCTCGTCGCAATGACGACCGGCAGCGGCGCGCGGACCTAGTCCCACAGCGCCCGTATAGCACACTGAGCTCGGCCCGGGCGGACGTCTCCCGTTCTCATGCGGGCATTGCAACTGGTGGTCTATATTGGGGGGCGTAGCTCGCTGCGCCGAAGGGCGGCCGCGCGCGCACGCGCTGCGGGACGACACGACGGGGAGCAGGAGGGGGCGCCAGGCGCGAACGAACGTACAAGCGGGACGTGGGACGGGGCGAAGGCGGGCGCGCGGGCAGGAGGGAGGAGGAAAGAGGAGGGGACGGGTGCGCGGACGTGCGACCCGACGGGGGGAGGAGGGCTAAAGTACAGTCTTACTTCCTCTTAACCTTCAGCTTCCAGTTCGTCCACGCATCGCCACCCTGGGACACGGCGAAGCCCGTGAGCGCCGCGCCGTAGGCGAGCACTGGTGAGGAAGACAAGGGGTGAATGTATGCGCCGAACAAAGGCGAGCTGGGACGTACGGAGACCGCCGGTGACGAGGGACCAGATGCTGAGAGTCTGCGCGTCGAGGCACAAGGAATCGAAAGCGGCGGTACCAGTGGTGCAGTTCTTGAAGAAACCGCTGGTGATGCCCATCGCCTTCACCCCGGTGATGACCCAGAGGACGCCAATGGTGACTGCGAGCACATTGAGAGCCGGAAGGTGCCAGGAAACGGAGATACTCACACATCCAGACAACCTCGGCCAAGATCGTGGCCGTGTACGAGCGCTCCCAGCACATGTCGAAGGTGAGGCTAGAGCGGGGGTGAGCCCACCACCGGGACGGCATCAAGACGAGGTACGCACATGAGCGGGAGGGACAGAATGGTCAACTCGCCGGCAGTAACACCAATCGTGGCGAAGAGCTTGTTACCACCATCGAGAATACCCGCCGAATGGGTGAGGAGGAGGGAGCTCATCGCATGGGAGATAATGGCAGTGATGGCAGACACCGCTGCACGGCTGGTCAGTGCCGTTTGGGGGGGAAAGCACGGGGGGGGGCACTCACTGAAGACGACCTCGCGGACAGTAACGACCCAAACCATTGTGCGCAGACCGGTACGCAAGAAGAGGTGCTTTGAAAAGACTGAAGGGGCGGGAAGGGGACCAGCCAGGAGCAAATGGGCAAATGGGGCGGCGCGACGTCCGCCGAGGGCTTATAACCGTTGTCTCACACAGCATCAGCCTCTAGCCGCCCAGGCCCCGATGGCGATCTCCCTGCAGGCCACTCTCGGGGCGAGGCCATATCCGCACGCCAGTTGTCCGTGCGTGCGCGACGCGTGTCAGTGTGAGCGTCCTGTCGTGCTCAAAAAATAAAACAAAACAAATGTCGCGCCAGGCTGAAGCGGAAGGCGTCTCCCGATCTATGTCGAGCGCCGGCCGCGTTTCCAGCACGACGGAAGGATCAATAACATGTTCCATTACTGCGGTCAGCTACATCGAATATTTGTATCCGCTCAGCCTGCTTTAAAGATATACGACGGGCTGCAAACGTGCTGGTAAACTGCACCCATGCATCTGACGACGAGACGGAGTGAGTTGCTCGGGAAACACGAAGCGGCCGCGCCGCCGCAGGGACTGAACTTTTCAACTTCCCACGGCACGTCGTCCTGCGCGACGATCGCAGAGGCGCCCTCGCGTTTGATAACCCTCTTCATCTGGGCCCGCTATTCCCCTTCTCCTCCACATACAGACAATCGGTGACTTTAGAATGACTCTGCCTAAGTACTACCCGCCAGAGTCTTTCCAGTCCACGTCCCCGTCCTTGCTTCTGCAATGCCTTGACGGCATAGTATTCCTGGTATACCATCCTCGCAACAACCGGCGAGCCCCGCAGCAGAGACCGGACTTCGAACAGAACAATCGCTCTCCGTCACCATGAAATACCAAGTACCGACTTCCTTTCACACCAGACGCTGCGCACAATTCAGGCACGAGGTGTTCCACGTTCGCCCGTCGGTTGTCGACGTCCCTGCTCGGGTTCGATCACAACACGACGAGTCGACGACGTTCGCGAACGGGAAGCCGCCGCTGCACGGCAGACGGTCGTGACTGCTCTGCCCGCCAGATGACATCATGTCGCGCCTAGATGTGCTGTGTATCATGATGCGCCTCCGAGCCCATCTTTCGCGTGTCAGAGATGACAACTGCATTGCTTGCCATAACTGCCAACAGTCGCTCCTGAGCTTGTCACTGGTCCGTGTCGCTGCGGGACAGCCTGCCCTCGACGAATCGTACGACGAAAGACTCGAGTCCTCAAGCCCCAAGGCAGTCGACGTTTCACACCGTGCTGCAGTCCGCATTGTCATTAATATTGTCATTGTCGGGCCTGAACGAAGCGGAGGCGTGCGCGTACTGCTACAACATCTATCCTAAATATAGCGTTAACAACAGCGTGCGGAGGTGGCGGCCTCCTGCGAGTGCGCGCAGCGGCGGAGGAGTCTACTTTTACTGGGGTGCTAAATTAAGCAAGGTAAGCGCGCGTCCGAGTCGTGAGTCGTGTGCGGTGGGGGCGGGGGTGTGGGATATCCTGGTGAGAGGCATCAAGGACGCGGGACTGTCGTCTCTAGGGTATGCGCGGAAGGAGGCGAGGGGCTGTTGAAGCCGGGCGGCGGCTTAAACGGCGTGCGCCTTGTCTCCGTTCGCCTCCGAATAGGCGGGGGGAGCGAGGCCGTCGACGACTTCCTTCCGGTTCGACTGCGGGCCCTTGTAGTGGCGGTTCGCACCAGCGAAGTACCAGACGCTGCGGACGCGAAAGAAGTAGAACATGAGCACTCAAGGACGCGCATATGAGCAGGCGACCTACAGAGACAGGAAGACGACCCCGACGGTGATGGGCGCCGCGTAGTTCATCGTGGCCGGGAGGACAGGGAGGTTGGTCGGGAAGGCGAAGATGATGCAGACGAAGCATGTCCAGAGGATACACATCACGTTCGCCGTCCAGCCGATGAACCCGTTCCCCATGTAGAACGGCCCGGGCGTAAATTGGACCTCGGGGTGGTTTCCGTAGAGGCGCCGGCTGCGCGCGCGGGTGTTAGCCCCCATTCCGAGACCGTGCCCGAGCCGAGAACTCACCAGAAAATGGGGATGATGTATGAGAAGTCGAGCGCCATGGCGGTCATCGCAAAGATCGCGTTCACCGCGATCGCGCTCGCGAGATCGAGCAGCCCGGGGAGAATGGCGATAATCGTCACGAGGGCGACGGCACGCAGAGGAGTCTGGGTGCGGGGGGAGATTCGGCCGAAGTAGCCGCGGTCGGGGAGACCATGGTCGCGGCTAAAGGCGTAGACCGTGCGTGAGACGGCTTGAAGGGCGGTCTGACAGACGAAGAAGGCGGTGAGGCAGACGAAGGCCCAAATGAAGAGTGCACCCGGCTTTCCCATGCGCAAGACCATGATCTGTTAAGGCATATTAGATTGCAGTAACAACCGCAATTATAGGAGAATACACACATCAAGGAAGGCTGAGCCGGAAACTCCAGGCAGGTTTTCGAGAGGACCGGAGCAGAGGATGAGGACGATGTTGAGTAGCCATCCGATGAGGCCGGTACCGATGACTGTATCGACCGTGAATGGTGGCATTTAGAGGTGGGAAAGATGCATACCTGCGATGAAGATAGCGGAGGGAGCCGCGTACGCTGCGCGCTTAACTTCTTCTCTATGAAGGGAATCAGAAACGGCCTCGAGAAGATTGCTCCAGAGGCACTCACGAGATGTGAGCAGTAGCGTCGTAGTCTGTCATCTATGAACGCATGTCAGCAAGCGAATTGTGGTCTATCTGAAGGGCTTGTTACCGTCCACTGAACACTCAAAAGACCGAAGAGGAACGTGATCCCGTTGTTCCATCCACCAGAGTTGTTGACAAAACCATCACTCCCGAACACGTAAGACGCGGAGTGCATCTCGCTACGCGGGGTGGTAGCGAGCAGAACGATGATGATGACTACGTATCACAGTCAGTAGAGTCCCCAGACGAGAGCGCACCACGTACTGAAGGTAGCCCCCAGGTTAACGAAGACAAATCCGCTGGTCATGCGAGCTAATTGACGCGTCGCCAGACAGTTCTGTAGGCGTGCATCAGCTCGTGCAATGTGCCGGCAGCTCAAATGTACCGCACAAGAAGACCGTGGAGGACAAGAAGTCCCGCGAAGAGCCCGACAGTCTTGCCCGGAGTGACGGTGAAGTCGCCGTCCTACTAGAGCGTTTATGAGTGGTCAAAGAGTAGACGAAGGTGCAGTCCAAACCTTTCCGACTACAACCGCAGCCCAAATCATGCCCGCCAAACCGAATTCCGTCGAAGACAGACCGGCGATCTGACCGAGGATGTTCAGCCATCCTACGACCCATCCGACGATGGCACGGTGTTTACGGGGAACAAGCTGCGCCGACGCCGTGTACCTGTCCACACGCTTTCGGTGAGTATATGCGCTGATAGCACGCAAAATTTTGAACGCGCACAGTCCTCCACAAGTCGGGAACGCGCTGACAATCTCCGCAATGCTGGCACCTGTGATGAGTTTGTTAGCGATGTGCCGACAGAAGTTCCGCCCGCTGGCTGGTCCAAGGTCCATCCCGGAGCGCACGGGCGGCAAAAGATAACGAGCGAGCACCGAACGTCAATGGAGCGAGTGGAATACTCTATGACAGCTCGCAGAAGGAAAGCGCACGTTCGCAGCACCCGCGTGACCCGGCATGGGAAGAGAAGCGCGAAAAATGCGTCATTCCGGTGGCGAACGGAGGATAGACCTGGAGAGACAGAGCGGAAAGGGACGGTAACGCACCGAGCATCAGGCACATCGTCGCACCCAGAATCCAGCACCAAGTCACCGACGAGGGTCCACCAAGCAGCAGCGGGGTGTTGAACGTCGTCGCGATCGACGAGCAGAGACCCATGATGCTGAAGGCAAAACTGATCTGTGGGCGCAGAGCTCTCGAGTTAGCAGCACGTAGGCTCAGAAGGCGGGCTGGAGACGCACCGTGGCGATGTTGGAGAACTCGCGCTTGAAGGAGGGGACGTAGCCAATCTCGAGCAGCTTGTTGTCGTCGTCGGTGGAGCCATCGCTGCCACTGACGACGGAGCGCGCGTCGGCGGCCTTGACGTCCTTCTCCTGCATGGCGGGGATGGGCGCGGACATGGTGGAGGTCGGGAGCAAGGAGCGGACGAGGTGCGCTCGAAGATAACGGACCGCAGGCGAATGATGGCAGCCGCGGGTGGCAGTCAGATAGAATTGAGAGTCGTGTGCGCCAAGGTCTGCGCCGTGGCTCGCGCCGAGAGGGAATAGCCTGTTCCTGCCCGTTCCTGCGGCACCGCGGTCGTCTGCCGGACCGCCATCGACGAGCGTCGTGTTTGAGGCACGCGACGCGAAGCGGTGGCCGCTGCACACGACAAGTTTCCACCTGTACCTCACATCAATCAGGCCGGCTTAGCCCGTGGCACCGGGGGGGGTGGCCCGGGTCAAGTAGACCTGAAACCGTGCTCCCCCGCACGTTTGAATAATTCGTCCAATAAACCCGAGCTGTTTCCCAACAGGGAAGTGCTCGAACGCCCTCCCTCCCAAGTCCCCCAGCCCATCACGTGTCCCCGTCCTCCAGATCTCCCATCACTGATCAGTCCGCGTTATCTCTCCCGCCCGCGCCCGCGTTATCTCCCGCGCCCACGCCCACGTTATCTCCCGCGCCGGCGCCGCGCGCCTCCCTGCCCCGCCACCCGTGCTCGCTGTGCCCGACAGTGAGCTCGCTGTCCCTGCACCCTGCCTCCCCCTCCTGTCCGTTTCCCTCCGTTCTTTTTGTAATCTACTTGTATTCAAAATGCGCACCTACTTGTACACAATTCAATAGCCACACCTGCCTGGGTGTGCCTGCACTGAGCCCTCAAACCTCCCAAAATGCGTGCAATACAGGAACATATACAAGCACTCAACTGACCGGCAAAGCTCTGCATCATATAGTAGTAGATGAGAGCTGCTCTATTATAACATTTCAGGTGGATAGCTAGAGGGGTGCAGGTATGATGTCATATGTTATTTCAGAATGACATACCCCACAGTGATATGGTATATACATATATCGTCCTATGTACACCCAGAATCGTACCTAGAGGTCGTTCAGAGTGTATTGCAAGAAGAAGCAAGTGAATAGACGATGTTGTGGTGAAGATATGACATATGCTCAGAAGGGGGAGTTGGCTTGAAAATGCGGCCTTCATATGTTTTTTTGAAGACCGCTGATCACTTCGCATCTTGGCGCATTACGTTTAAATGTATATGGAGAGCTCAGATCGTTGGTTTGGTGCTTATCGGTGAAGGATTGGATACAGGCCATGGTATGTCATTATTCTATGACATAGAGTATAGCGATATGACATGTGCTCCGATTGTTATTCTGAATGGCGGAATAGAACGGGGTGTGCTTCTGCTAAACGATGCAGAAGAAACATTGAGAAACGGTGAAGAAGTCGCTGAGATATGCCATATGAGCTTGAAGTGTGCAAAGTGGTGTAGGTGGTTCAAGGGCGTTCTTTGTGCAACCTGCCGTTCTAGACCCATCTGACATATCTCAACGACTTCTTCACCGTTTCTCAATGTTTCTTCTGCATCGTTTAGCAGAAGCACACCCCGTTCTATTCCGCCATTCAGAATAACAATCGGAGCACATGTCATATCGCTATACTCTATGTCATAGAATAATGACATACCATGGCCTGTATCCAATCCTTCACCGATAAGCACCAAACCAACGATCTGAGCTCTCCATATACATTTAAACGTAATGCGCCAAGATGCGAAGTGATCAGCGGTCTTCAAAAAAACATATGAAGGCCGCATTTTCAAGCCAACTCCCCCTTCTGAGCATATGTCATATCTTCACCACAACATCGTCTATTCACTTGCTTCTTCTTGCAATACACTCTGAACGACCTCTAGGTACGATTCTGGGTGTACATAGGACGATATATGTATATACCATATCACTGTGGGGTATGTCATTCTGAAATAACATATGACATCATACCTGCACCCCTCTAGCTATCCACCTGAAATGTTATAATAGAGCAGCTCTCATCTACTACTATATGATGCAGAGCTTTGCCGGTCAGTTGAGTGCTTGTATATGTTCCTGTATTGCACGCATTTTGGGAGGTTTGAGGGCTCAGTGCAGGCACACCCAGGCAGGTGTGGCTATTGAATTGTGTACAAGTAGGTGCGCATTTTGAATACAAGTAGATTACAAAAAGAACGGAGGGAAACGGACAGGAGGGGGAGGCAGGGTGCAGGGACAGCGAGCTCACTGTCGGGCACAGCGAGCACGGGTGGCGGGGCAGGGAGGCGCGCGGCGCCGGCGCGGGAGATAACGTGGGCGTGGGCGCGGGAGATAACGCGGGCGCGGGCGGGAGAGATAACGCGGACTGATCAGTGATGGGAGATCTGGAGGACGGGGACACGTGATGGGCTGGGGGACTTGGGAGGGAGGGCGTTCGAGCACTTCCCTGTTGGGAAACAGCTCGGGTTTATTGGACGAATTATTCAAACGTGCGGGGGAGCACGGTTTCAGGTCTACTTGACCCGGGCCACCCCCCCGGTGCCACGGGCTAAGCCGGCCTGATTGATGTGAGGTACAGGTGCAAGTTTCCGTAGGTTTCCGTCCCTGAGGACCGTCCAGGCGCGTCGCGTCCAATCACAGCGCACGTGCGTCGGTCACAGTCCGGCGTCTTCCACATGCAGTCGCCCCGCCCCGCCTCTCCCTTGCCTCTCTCTCTTCCGCACTCCCATCTTCGCTTTGAGAAACCGCCAGGAAGTGCCCACCGCCCGCGCACCAGGGCCCTATCTTACGGAAGCAAGTTGCGTAAACCATGCGAGCAGGTCGATCATCAAACATCGGCAGATATCGCGATCAGTACTATCAGTAGATATGGTGATCGGCGAGCAGCCACGAAACCTTTCAGTCCCTTGTGTTGACTTTGACTTTGCATACTCATACGAGGTGAGCCGCCGGCATTTCCCTCCCTCGCAGTATAAAAACACGAGTACTTACTGAGGCATCCTACTCGAGTAGGCAATACTTTGACTAGATATCCTACCAACGTCATTTATATACGTACCCGTGGAGTCCGGACCCTCCAATGACCCGATCAAATCTTCTGCTCGTACGACCAACAAGTGATACACGGTGTCATCGCTCAACGCCGCGCTTAAATCAAGCCTGGCTCAGGGAGACTATGCTCTTTTGGTCATTCGCAGCATCGTGGGTCGAGCCAAGATCAAGTTGCCCACGGCATCTTCACGGATCCTGTCCACTCGCCCACGCACTGACACGTTGCGTACCCTCCAGTCAGGGTTAGTAATTTGGCTAGAAATAGAGCACATACGGAAGCACTCTGGAGATACTCCGCCCTCTGCGAAGGTGCCTCCCTGGTTTCCTGGTGCACAGAAAGGTACGTGGCGCATGTTGCCACGGTTTTCCACTAACAATCTCATGGCCGGAAGGCTGGGTCAACTGAAACCACCCGAACATAAGTATGGACGCATACGATTGCGCAGAGGTCTCCCGGACACGAGGACAAAAGCGGTATTTGTCAGTTTCAAGCATGCCGATCGATTCCCGTCGCCAGCAACCTCGTTCGATTGTGCGACCCGAGGCCGTGCAATAGCTTCTACCAGTGCACCACCATGTGAACACCCATATGGCAACCCTAGGAGATCTCTGGATCTAGTCTTTGGGCGGCGCAATAAACTTGTCATTCGGTCAGTTGCGCCACGTTCGCGTTGGTGCCAGATTTGCATTCCTCTGAGCCGTGAATTTTAGGTCTCAGTCTGTAGTCGAGGCACTGGGTCCATGTATTCCGGGAGAGGCGTCGACCTTCCAGCGTCCACGAAGGCGAAACCAAGCATAAGTGCGTCTTACTCTTACGTTCTCTCACATCGTCTCTTAAGATATCTTCCTCTACCACAGTCCGCGCCGAGCTTGCTGCGCTTCTCACAAGGGGCGGCGGCTGGCAACGGATCATCTATCTGATAAGATTATGCCGCACCTCTCACTTGGAACTCCGACAAGCGCGCAGGTACTATCCGCTCAGTGAAGACGTGGTTTACTCTACGCCCTGCTGGTCTGCATGGGAGAGTTCTCACTGCACCTCGCTGCCCCGAATTCTGCCGATTCCCGAGTACCATATGATGGCAAGCGACCACCGAAGGATCAAACACAGCGCCTTTGTCGTTCATTCATGGCGCACGGCGTGCCGCGTCTCTTCGAAGTCCTCCCACGTTCAGCCGATGGAAGGCATGTCATTTCACAGCGCACACGGCCGGTTTTTCCCACTCTATGCCCGCATGCATACAGTTTATGGACACGAAGCTGACACGGGGCTGACTCTGAGCTATCTGATAAGATGGCGAGACGGTGCACGTCGAAAGTTGTGCTCGTCCCAACCCCCACCACCAGCTGCAGCTTGTCAGCCGCTCCTCCCCCATCCTTTCCACGTCCCGCCATGTCGCTCAAGCGCGGAGGCAGCTCTGAGAAGACGCCTGTCGAGCTCCAGGACAAGTCCTCGGTTGATGGCTCCCACTCCGCCGATGGCCAGACGCCTGCCCTTGGCTACACGCCGCCGGCGAGAACGACAAAGCCTAGGCTCCCCTATACGTGGCAGCTTGTCATGATTATTTTGACGTGCCTTTGTACCTGTGAGCACTGGCCTTTATTCTTGTTTGTTGGCGAGCTCACCGACCGCTGCCTCCAGTCGGGAACCACTGGTCCAACGTACGTTCATCCCCGCTCAGTGCATGAAGAGCTGTTCACTCACACCTGTTCCTTGTACAGGGTCTTATCGTGTACGGGTTTGATACCACATCATCCATTTGCCCAACCTTTAACTGTGTTGCATTCCAGCTCACTCAAGACCACCATCATTTCGAAGACGCACATCAACAATTCGCAGTTTGCTACGCTGGTATGAATCACTCTTTCGCTGTGTATCGTCTAGCCAGTTGAGAGACGTTTTTTTCTGCCAGGTCGCTGTTACCAATCTCGTGAACACCTTCCTGTGCATCGGTCTCGGCTTCTACATCGACAAACTGGGAGGGTCCATCATGTCTGTCATTCTCGCCGGATTCCACCTCTCGGGTTCCATGGTCATGGCAGGCGCATCGACGAACAATCTGAACAGCTACCCACTCCTCATCGCTGGCAAGGTTCTCGCTGCCATTGGTGACGGTTCGCTCGACAACGCGCAGCACCGAATCTTCTCCACCTACTTCGCGCCTGGGAAGGGGTTCGCATTCTCCATCGGCAAGTTATTATATGCTCCTCCGTGTGACACCCACTGACGCGACCGCGAATACAGGTGCGATCTGGTGTGTCGCCAACCTCGCACAGTTCACCGGCCAGTCCACCGCGAACGTGATCACCCGGAACCTCGGCTCCTACTCGTGGGCCCTCTGGATTAGCGCCGTCATCGCGTTCTTCTCTTTCCTCTGTGCCGTGGCGGTCTTCTTCCTTGACCGCTATCTGCGCGTGCGCTACGACATTACCGATCAGACGAGCGGCCGCAGACACACAGGAAAGATCCGTCCGGGCACGTTCAACATCCGCGCGATCAAGCATCTGCCGATGACCTTCTGGCTCGTCGTGTTGTTCGCAATCTTCGAGAACGCGGGCGTGCAGTCGTTCGTGTCCATCTCGACGTGCGTGCTTCTCTCGTCTCTGCGGTGCGTGTGTGCATGCTCATCCCGGACCGCGGGGACATAGGCAATTTGCGCAGCAGCGGCTGCAGAAGGGTGCCGTCGTTGGCGGCTGGGTGTCGAGCTTCTACCTCCTCCTCCCCGCGGGTCTTACACCGTTCCTGGGCATCTACATCGACATGTACGGCCAGAGGATCGGGTTCTGTGCGTGCACCTCGTTCGGCTCTGCGTCTGTGTTACTAACTCGCGTCATCAGTGTTTGTCTCGGGGCTCACGTTCCTAGTGTCGATGCTGCTGCTCAAGTTCTCACACACGGTCCCGACGTTCGGTGTGTCCCCACGCTCGAGCGGTGTCTGTGGTTTAGTCTAACTTTATACTTTGCGCAGTCGCGGCCTATGTGTTCTACGCCCTCTCTCAGGTAAGCTTTCCCGAGAGGCACGACTAGTCGTCACACTCACACGATCCTTCAGGCCGTGACCCCGGCACCTCAGGTCGAAATCATCCGAAGCATCATTCCCGACCCTGAGTACTTCGCAACCGGGTGCGTGCATAGCATGTTTACAGAGTTCTTCTTCCTGATCGTATGTTTGCTTCAGATTCGCCATTAAGAGTACGCACCCATAGTTACTTTAGTGAAACTTTTTTATGCTGACCTTTAGCACAGAATCGGTCGTCCAGGCCTCAATCGTGATCATCACGACTGCCGCTGGTCGCCTCCAGGACCTCTCCGCGACCGACTCACTTGACCCCGCGGTGTCGCTTTGGCTCGCGTACGCCTTCCTCTCCGTCGCAGTCTCCGGCTTCATGCTCGCCATGTCCTACTTCGCGCCCAACGTCCTCCCGGCTGCGCGCCTCTCACAGCTCCCCCGCGCGACATGCCCGCCGAGGTCGAGAAGCTCGCTGCCGCGCAGGGCATTGTTGTCAACAAGGCGGACCGGAAGGACGACGATGACGACGACGAGGTCAGCGACATAAAGCTCAAGGAGCGCATGCTTAAGTCGCCGAAGACGCGCAACGGGGTGATCAGCTGGGGATACCTCATCGTCGCCTTGGGCATCATTTTCATTGGCTGGATTATGTTCGGCCTGGGTGTGAACTGGGGTGTGCACGGTAGCGTTGTGGCGGGCACCGTCGGCGAATGAGATCTATGCGTTACTAAATACGAGTTGTTATTGATTCACGAAATGAAGCTGACATACCTCAGAAGTAGTACACAAAGAGTCTGTACACGCTCAGCTCTATAGAACTGTGGGGTCCAAACCCCAATGTTGGGTTAGGGTCGTACTTGTTACTTCTGTGAACACTTGGAGGGAAGGTTGTCGGGAGCTCGAGGATCTGAAGGCAGTCAGCAGGCATGTTACAACGTGCATGCACTGTCTATGTATTAGAAAGCGCGTGGTAGGGCGGGGAAACTGTGGAACATGATGAAGAGGACTGCTGACACGTGCCACGACCACGTAGGAGTGACGTGGAAAGCATAAAAGTATAACGAGCGCGCGCGCCATGGGGCACGCTGCCTCTTTTCCTTCGACCATGACCCGGATAGGTCTCTTTCTATGTCTCTGGCTTTCTCTATGGTCGGACACCGTTCTCGCCTCGGTGCTCGCTATCGACTATGGCGCGGACTTCATTAAGGCATCCCTCATGAAACCAGGCCAGCCCTTCGACGTCCTCCTCGACCGCGACTCGAAGCGGAAGATGCAGACGGTGGTTGGATGGAAGAAGGAGGACAGGCTATTTGGAAAGGACGCTGCGAACGTCGTGAGTACATGCGCCATTTTTCTTCCGCGAGCATACATTGAGGGCGGGCCCAACCCAGGCTGGTCGATTCCCGCTGGACTCCTTCTCCTCCCTCAAGTTCCTGCTCGCCGCGCCCTACGACTCAGATGCCACCTCGTTCTACACCTCCATCGCCACCGGGGACACCGTCCGGACCGAGCGCGGCACCGTCGCGCTCCGTCGCTCGGACGGCACCCAGTGGGCCGTCGAGGAGCTCATCGCGATGCAGTTCGCGTACGTCCGCGACCTCGCGGAGAGCACCGCGGGCGAGAAGGTCAACGACGTCATCGTCACCGTCCCGCCGTACTACACCCAGTTCGAGCGCGACGCCGTCGTCGACGCGATCGAGATCTCCGGCCTCCGCACGCTCGCGCTCGTCAACGACGGCACCGCCGTCGCCGTCAACTACGCCATGACGCGCGCCTTCCCCGAGCCTGAGGTGCACGTCATCTTCGACGCCGGCGCGTCGTCCGTTCGCGCTACGGTCGTAGAGTTCGCTCCCGTGCCGGACCCCAAGGCGAAGACGAAGGTCGTCCGGGACGCGACCCAGATCACCGTCCACGGCGTGGGCTACGACCGGTACACTGGCGGGACGGAGCTCGTCAAGCGGCTGCGGGACATGATGCTCAGCGACTTCCAGAAGCGCTACAAGCGGGACATCAGTAACGACAAGCGGGCGATGGCGAAGCTGTGGAAGGAGGCAGACCGCATCAAGGCCGTTCTCAGTGCGAATCAGGAGGCTCAGGCCACGGTGAGTCTTTGTTCATGTATCGCGCCCAACCCGAGGCCTTACGTGTCGCATCAAGATCGAGAGCCTTGCGTACGACATCGACTACAAGGGCAAATTCAGTCGCTCCGAGTTCGAGGCTGCGTGCAGGGATCTCAAGAGCCGCTTTGCTGTCCCCATACGCGAAGCACTTGTGCACGCTGGCTTGAAGTTGGTATGTTGATTCCTTGGGCTTACTGCGTACTAGTGTTCATCTCCGGCAGGACAATGTCTCTTCCATCATTTTCACTGGTGGTGCGTCGAGAACCCCCATGGTCCAAGAAGCAGTTCGTTCCGAGTTCCCGTCAACCAAGCTCGCGTTCAACGTCAACGCGGACGAAGCCGCAGTGCTTGGTGCGGCGCTGCACGGCGCGGGTCTCAGTCGCCAATTCAAGACGAAGGACATCCGGATCGCGGACATCGGCCCGTACGATATCCAGGCTTCCTACCAGTCCGAGGTCAAGCAGCCCGGCGCGCGTCCGCGTACCATCAACACGCTCGTTTTCCCTGTTGGGTCGAAGACGTCCACCAAGAAGACCCTGAGTTTCAAGCGCACCGAAGACTTCTCTGTCAAGCTCGCATACAAGACACCACCAACCCGGTAAGCAGACTGGTGACACCATGTTGAGAAGTGGGGCTGACGCGTATGCAGGGGTACCCCGCAGAAATCCTTGAGGCGCATATCCTTGGGGTCGCAGATGCTATCAAGAACTTGACAGAAGCCGGTGGAGCAGAGCCTGTGGTCAAGGCCACCGTCATGCTCTCGGAGTCTGGCTTCGCGTCCATCCGCGATGCCGTTCTGACCGGCGAGTTCAAGGACGAGTCGATCACTGGTAAGCCGTCGTCTTATCTCCCGTCCAACTTTTATGTCATCCTTGAGCGCAGGTAAACTGAAAGACTTCTTTGGTAAAGGTTCCTCCGAGTCGGTGGACGAGACGACGGTGAACGTGGGCGAAGCCGAGGAGGACACTTCGACCACGACGTCTTCGGCAGCCGCTGCAGCCTCTGCGGTGTCTAAGAAGGAGCCCATCCCTCTGGAGATTGAGTCCAAGTTCCCCGCTCTCGCCCCCATGTCCGTCACGGAGAAGCGTGTTGGGCGCGAAAGGTCAGGGTTCCGTTTGTATGCGTGATTGACGCGCTTGCTGATACGCTGTTACAGGTTGAAAGCCATCGACACGCAGGAGCTGTCGAAGCGGAAGCACGAAGAGGCGCGCAACACACTCGAGGGCTACATTTACAAGCTCCGCGACCTTCTCTCAGATGAGTCGCCGAGTGCTCCCTTCATGAAATGCTCGCAGTCGGAGGAGCGCAAGAAGATTGCGCAAAAAGTTGACGAGACCCTTGTATGGCTTAACGAACACGGTGACGACGCAAACACGGCCCAATACATCGAGCAACGCTCGGCACTAGAGTAAGTACGCTCCTCGTTGCACGTGGGAGCAAGGCCCTAACCTCGTCGCTCGTGTAGGACCCTAGAGAGACCCATCGTACATCGTTACAAGGAGATCGAAGAGTTCCCACAGGCGCTCAACAACTCCCAGTTGTGGAACTGGCACTCGACGCTCTTCCTCGAGGATGCACGGGCGAACCTGACGCGCGACCTCGAGGCCGGCATCGCGGCGGGCATGAGCGCGCCGCTGAAGTACACGAAGGAGGAGCTCGACGACTTCGAGAAGACGCTCAAGGAGCACGAGTCGTGGCTGGACGAGTGGGTGGAGAAGCAGAAGAAGGTGAAGATGAACGAGGACCCGGTCATCCTCACGAGCGAGATGCGCGCGCGCGCGAAGGTGCTCGAGAACCACCTCCAGCGACTCTACCGCAAGCCCCCGCCGAAGAAGCCGAAGAAGACGAGCAGTTCGACCGCGAAGACCGCGACGACGTCGGAGGCCGCCTCCGCCAGCGAGAGCGCATCGGCGTCCAGCGAGCCTGTGAAGCACGAGGAACTGTAGACGTAGCGTATACTCCTCACATATACACTAATTTTATTAGCTCGGACACCCACCACCAGGGCCACGCTTAAGGTCGTGCGTCAAGTCCGTAACGAGTGTCACAAAGCAGTAGCTTCGCCTTTACCCTCAACGGCCACACTACCACGTTGATTGGAGCGTTTGCATGCATCTAAATTACCATAGAACCAGGCCCAGCAATGGTTGACGCAAGAAACCAACGATACAGTCATGAGAGGGTATAATCACTGCTGTTCAGCTCTCGCCTTGAGAGTGTCCGCCATCGCCTGGAAGCTCTTCATCAGGTTCGGGCTGATGAACCACTTGATAGGTACGAGCCAATGCCCGCGAAAATCTCGCGCGACTCGTAGAACGTCTTGCCATCCTCCGTGGTACTAAGAGCCTGCCAACGCTCCGACCGGATGAACCAGGAGGACATGAGCCCGGAGAAACACAGCCGGTGGGTCTCGTCGTCGCAGTGGGTGATGAGCACAGACGCGGGCTGCTTCTTCGCACCGTCGTCCATGGTGGGCGGGATGTGCGTGAGCATCGAGAGGTATTTGCCCTTGGCGGGGGTCTGGTCCTCGACCTTCTTCTTGTCTTTGTCGACGACCTCCTGGCTTCGACTGGAGAGAGGGCAGATGCCAGGGATAAGCTGGTGGCGCAAACGCAGAGCGCCTGGTGCTGCTTACACGAAAGAATTCCTGATAAAGAGACAGCGCTGGATGAACACGAGAGCCGCGACCAGCTGCGGCGGAAGTGCTCACCACTCAGGGTATTTGGTGAAGTCGGTGAGCACTTCCCATACTTTCTCTATCGGGGCGTCGATCTCTGCAGAGACGGATGCAGTGAAGACGGCAGAGTAAGAGGGCTCTGGGAGGTTTGTCTTCGAAGCCGCCATGACGGCAGGACGCAGCGACGCCGAGGTTGCGTTACATAGCGCCGTGCGTTGCACCGCTCGGAGAACTCCGGGACTCCCACACGAGCCGCGCACTACTCACACGTGCGTGTGCATGTTGAAACTTGTCCACATCCGTATGTCACGCTCAGCCGTGTCATGTTTCTGTTGATGAGAACCTCAGGAAACAAGGGTTTTCCGACTAATGATACATGAAACTCAGAAACTGTGCAGATCTTGTTCATCAAACTGATACCGCAACGTATGTCGCTGATCATGAACTGCTTTCATTCCATTTGTTTCGTCTCATCTTGGCCGCGCCTCTTACCAGTCATGCACAACACTGACCGAAGACGCGGTGTTGCTATAGTCGAATCAATGTATGTCTTGAGCTTTCGAGTGCCGCAGTGCGTGAAGTGGCATGGGTCGCTGTCGTCTTCAACACATCGAATATCACTGCGTCCGATAGTTGCACCGCGAACTGAGGGTGCCATGCCATTCTTGCCTTCCCAGTTCGACGCTGTGCAAATTATAGCACCAGGTGTGCACCCCTCGAGAACCCAGGTCTGATTTGGTTCATTCTGTTTATAGTACTGGCAAGCTCGGTGTTCGCCATTGGGGTCGGCGCCGCTCTGAACTTCAGCGTCAAGGCCGACGGAAATATCACGAGCGGTTCGCAATTTGCTATATTCTCTCCCTCGGACGGATTACTCACAGTTAGGCTCCTGCATGCTGACGTCATGCACATTTCCGTGGCTAGCTTGTCCATCCCCGGAGAGCTCATCTCCTTTTGTTGGCTCCGTCGTACCAATAGGAAGTTGTCTACCGAATCCCAGGCTCAGATCCTCTTGTCACTGCGTGTATCCATTGTCCTCACGACGCCGGCGCCCAGTTTGTTCAGAGGCTCCGCGAGTCTGATCCGCAAGTCTAAACCCGGACGTGAATTTCGTGCCCGTTCCCGTGACAGTACTATTCTTGTATGTATCGATCGCTCGATTCTGGTTGCGATCCGCCAGCCGCGTCGGGGCAGCCTCCAGAGAGCGTGGGCTCCGTTCTGCTCGAGATTACAAAACCAGCGCAGTCCATACGACTCTCCCAGTCTTTCTGCCACGATGTACACTGCGATCATCTCGCTGTTCGGTTCTGTCGAACAATCCTGTGAGCTGGCATGGCATGACGCCTTCCATCATTGTCTTCGTAGACCCTCGATGCGGAACACATCAAGGCCCCGTGCGCCAGTGATTCCACAGCAGGTTTTATTTTTGCCATTTCGTTTTGGGAGCATCTCTGCGAACGAAGAGCGGCCTACTACTTGAGCGGCTACTGTTGACGAACACGGCCCGATGCTCGCGAAGGCGAGACTTGGTAGAGAAGAGATTCGAAGAGATTAGGCGTTGTCACTCATGACTACATGCCTCACTGCGCGGCCCGGTGATCGGACCGGCGCAAGTAAGTTAGTGAAGAGAGGCCCGTGAGAAGAGCTGAGACCACAATTGCCGCTGATGAACGCCTCGCCGTCAACGCGAACTGCTATGTCTCATCGCCCGTGGGCGCGAGGCGGCCAGCTTCCACTTTTAAAATGTTCTGTCGGCGGGTAACTGGCCCTGATAGTCGGGCCTGGATTTGGTCTAGATTCGCGTGCTGCCATCACAACCGCCGTGGGCGTCTATCCGGACGCCCGTGCTGCGTACGGATGTCTCTCGACTATAAAGTACGCCCGCCAAGAACGGCAGACTCTCTTTGCCACTGGCGGGTCCCAGTTACAGCTTTCCTGTCCTTTTTGCGTCGTCCTTTCCTTGACCCATCCACCCCGCCCCACCCTCCGCAATGGCGTCCACATTCTATCTCTTCCGCGTCTTCACGCTGGGTGAGCCAATGTCCCATCCTCCTTCCAACTCTGTCCTCACCCTTCTCCCAGCCGTCATCTTCATCACAACGACCATTGAGCTCGTCCTCAGTCTGAATACCGCGGTAGCAGTCCAGGGACCATCGCAGATGCCGTCGGCACACCCTGGAGCAACGCGGGCATCATCGCTGGAATCGGCCAGCTAGTCTTCATGGCGGTCGTGTAAGCGCTCGCTACTCTCCGCCGAGGTGCATGTGAAAGCTCACATACCCACAGCTTCATCCGTGGATTCATGCGGCGCGGCACGCCCGTTGCATGGGAGCTCGGCATGTTCTGTAAGCCACTTCGCGCCCGTGCCCGCACCCTCCGTCGACGATACTCACGTTCCGCGTCAGTCGCCGGCGCCGCCCTCCTCTTCTTGACCGCGATCCTTGCCTTCACCTTCAAGGACGGCTCCGGCGGCCTCACCTGTGCAGGCGCCACGAACGTCAGTGTTATCACCATGTGCAATGGCCGACTGCCCATCGCCTTCGTCTCTATCGCCACAGGTGGCTGGCGTGAGTCCCTCGCGTTCGTCCTCGCACGCAGGCAGTCTCGCTGACCCACTCGAACGAACGATGCAGTTGCGCTCTACTGCCTCATCGGCGTCTTCGTCACGATGTCCGCGTCGAGCAGCGGGCAGTCACCCTGGAGCTCGCCGTTCCGGACGAACGACAGCACCAAGGAGAAGCTGGGAGACGTGTAGATGGGACCGGAGAGGCGGCGGGGCCCGAGGTGCGTGAGACTGGTGCTACCGTTGGCAGGCCCTCGCGAAAGGGAGACACAGGCCTGCTTCTGATGCCACGCGGAAGCACATGACGCGCCGGGTCCTTCTCCGCGCAACCGTGCCGAAATCACCTTCGACACCTGCGCACTGCGGAGGGCTGGGGAAAGCTGAGTACTGAGTAGTAGTACTCTCGGATTGGATGTCCATAAATAGACAGATATTTCTACCACTTGTACTAGTACTGAGGGCTGTGCCGAAGGTGTGCGACCGTCGGACCCGCTGTGAGTAGCATCGAAATGTTCGATGATGGAAACGGCTCTAGAGCCGTCTTGATTCAGTAGATCGTTGATGCGTCTCAAATCTTGTCATGAAATCAACCTCTTGGCCACAACTATATGACGTCCTCCCGACAAGTTCGCTCTCGCCGCCCTAGCTTAGTACCGGCCCAAGTCGGCTTGGAGTCGTGCAGACTGGATCCCCATCGCATCTCGTTTGTTCAAATTGCGGCCTGCATCGACACCATCGTCGCAATTCCTCCCAAGTGAGTGGCGCCAAGTCCATTCCTCCTGATGCAAACGGATGTTTCGTTAGCTGTGACCTTGGCATTCCTGGCAGATCCTATTTTTAAGGCACCCTCTATTTCGCGTGAGTTGCAAGCAGACACCGAAAGATATCCAAGCCTTGAACTGATCAAACCGCAGCATCCTCATCGTGACTGGATCTCTCTGGGCGCCGCCGCTTGCAGCCTCCCAACTAGATCTTCAGCACGCCCACTGCGTTCGCTGACCCACCCACTCTCTGCTCTCTCACTCCCTGCCTCCGAAACCCGATGCCTGATACGGCAGCCTCACCGCGTGCTGACCAGTGTTGTCCTATTCAATCGCCTTGACTGTTGTTCGTCGGCTGCGCAGAAAGCATGGAGCGGCTTTGTCGAAATCTAGAGGAAGTGATATAACGTCATGCTGGATCTATCTGGCCTATCGCTTCCGTCGAGCATCCTGTGGGCGAGCATGACGCGCTGTCTTTTACTGGCATCACCGTCTACACAGAGCTTCAATGCGGAACAGATGAAGACTTTGTTCACAAGTGAATTCAGCAGTCCCCATCTTCGTCCTTTTGTTTGACCACTCAAAGCATAGATGAGCGACTCATCGCTGTCGAATGAGGAGCGTCTTGATTCACAGACGGCTGCCACGTAGCATCGGACCGATGACGGACACGACCCGCGAAGGCGATACATACCTAACCCGGTCGAGAGAAGTGAGGTTTCGCCGGTTAATTATGACAGCGCAGCGATGGATGCATTAGTCGCCTCACCCGTTGACGGGTGCACATGAGGACGGCGCTGCACTCACACCTGGTGTGTTGCGCACTGCGCAGTGCTCCGGTGATCTGCATGCCCGCGCACAAAACGCTCTCACGGCTCGACACTCTGCATCGCGACGGAGACGAGAACCAGCGGCTCGATCCGTCATGGCCTGTGCTCGCAACAGCGCACCCACAACCCCTCTCGTTGGCCGCGCTCGATGTCGACGCTGGGAACGTCGCTAGCTCCATCAGCGTCCGCACTGCGCAGGGTGCAATACCGCGCCTATCCCGAGGGCAGCGCCCACTTTTTGAGTTCTGCCGGGTGCGCTCTTCTTGGATAGTGGGAACGACTATGGGGATCCATGGTTCTCGATATATATAGGTGGCCCGCGGGGAAGGGCTCTCTTACCACGGCGGGTCCCACCTTCGAGCTTTCCCTCTGTCTTCTTCCTGCGGCGTTCTTTCGTTGCCCCTTTACTCTGCATACCTCTTCGAAATGGCTTCCGCATTCATTTACTACCGCATTTTCACCCTCGGTGAGTCGTTCGGTTGATGCTCGCAGAGAAGTTGGCACTCATACCTCGTCTTATCACTAGTTACTGTCTTCGTCACGGCCATAGTTGTGCTCATTCTGAGTGTGCAGACTGCCGTTGCAGTGCACAGCCTCATCTTGGAGGACTCCGGTGTTACCTGGAGCAATGCGGGCATCGCCGCCAGCATCATCACGCTGGTCGGCATGTCGTTCATGTAAGTGCCCTTCCCCCTTTGCCGAGACGCACTGAAAGCTCACGCTCCCTTAGCTTCTTACGCGAATGCATCGGGCGCGGCGCCCTCGTTCTGTACGAGCTCGTCGTGCTCTGTAAGCTGCTTCACTCCCCTCTCGCCTCTGACTCTCGACGTCGCTCACCTCCCGCGCCAGTCCTCAGCTCCATCCTCTTCTTCGTCACCGGGACCGCCGCCTTCACTGATGGCTCCGCCGTTATGCAGCCCGTGCGGGACTTCGGCCTCGCATGCAAGGACTTCGACAACTCCGACCTTGTCACCATATGCCGGGACCAGCAGCCGATCGGCATCATCTCGGTCGCTGCAGGCGTTTGGCGTGAGTGTCCTGCGCCAAGTTATCCTGGAGACCAGTGAAAAAAGTTGCTGACCCACTTGATCGATGCAGTTGCGATCTACTGCCTCGTGCTCGTCTTCGTCGCGCAAGCCGCGTCGAGCCGCGGGAAGTCGATCTGGACCTCGGAATTCCGGGTGGACAACACGGAGAAGAAGCTGGCGGGTCCCGTGCAGACCCGGATTGTCTGACGGACGCGAGACTGGTTCCACCACGGCGTGGAGATCTCTCTGGATGGATGTTGGAGGCCTGCTCTTAATGTAACGTCATTCGTTTTTATTACGCCCCAGCCGCGTTGTAGCATATAAGTCCTGAAAAGCTGGAAGTGGCACTGGGATTTACGAAGTGGGGAGGGGAGAGGCCCATGACAAGGTGTTGGGCTAATCGCGAGGTAGGGATGTGAGGCGCCGGAAGGAGCCGAAACAGTCAATTTCTGGGATAGGGCGCTTATGCGGCATACGCACTTATCTCTCACCACCATGATGCTCGTTCTCCACCGTGCGCATAACCGAGGGGAAGCACAACGCAGTTCCATATTTGAATGGTGGTTTTAGCTCTGCTTACAGCTAGGACACCCTGGCATACTCCCCTAATCGCTGCCACCTTCATCCGAATCCTTGGACAAGTCATCACTCGTGTTGGTCAGGAGTACACTAGACTCGAACTCCAATGATGTGAGTAGTTCTTGTAATGCCACCTAGTTTTTCATCATCTCATTAGACACCATCATATGTCCTAATATCAGATAAGGCTATTGGAAGCGAAGGAATAGGCTTGATATAGGATATCATCGCGCCCATTGTTTAAGTGGGCAGCGTGACCTAATGCGTTCGGGCTGCTTCCAGAAGGGAAGTCGCTTCGTGCTTGCCGGATTCAACTTTAATCTAGGTGATATGTGTCCTCGTCACTTGGAACAGCCCGCGCCGGTTACTCTGATCGTTTGAGTCCCGCTCGCGACCAAGCTCTCTGTTCGCTACCTCACCGACTGTCTTTTCAAGAACAACGTGAAATCGGCCAACGGAAGGCGTACGATGTTGACGATCAGCCTCTGCCTGAGCGCCCTTTCCTTGTTTATCCGGTATTTACCCTGTGCCTTTGGCTCATTTTAATGCTCAAGAAGGATATATCATACGATCGTACGTTTGGTTCTTCGAGTTCGGAGTCACGATACACATGGGCCTGACGGGCATTGGTGTCGCAGGCATTGGAAGATGGCTTCTGCGACACATCATCATGACTCACAGTGAGGATCTCCCTTCTTCGACAAACACAAAGCTGACCGTCCCCTAGGTGTCCTGGACGGAGCGATGATCGTGCTCGTCGCATGTGAGTCTTCATGTTCTTCGCTCTGAGCGCAAGAGCTCGCTGACCGGTCGCGACGAGAGAATTTGGAGATCGGGACAAGCGATCGTTCACCGCCGATCGTTTGTTCTCGGCGGCGCCAGGCTGGCCGGGAAGGCGAGAGACCATGTGGCGCTCCAAGCTCCGGACGCCTCCTTGGTCCCGCCAGCGGATGTATCACGGCGGAACGGACAAAACGGAACGCGACTCGGATGGACCGATGCGGGTGCGAAATGCGGCACGCTAGGGGGATTTCGCTTTCATCCGTGAGCAAGCATCGCCGTACAACGCCGCTCACAGCTAACTTACTGGATTGCAAGAATACCTGCCTGGAGGCTTTACAAACGTCGATCGTATACGTCGGCCGAAACACGCCCAACTGTCCGAAAGCTTCCAACTGACACCTGCACGATGACCCACATGCATGCTCCACATCCCAAAGCGCGATCGAAACGCGAGCGGGATATGGGTGGCCAGTCGAGGCGCTCAGGAGCGGTTTAGATGCCGACGCCCCTTATCAGGGAAGTCCGAGGGTCAGACGACGGTGGCGCCGAAGATTGGGTCTCCAGAAAGTACTTCCGCTCTCCTCCTCCTCTCTCTCCTCCAGCCACCATGCCACCAAGCGCGCCCAACACCGTCTAAGCTCCCTGCTTGTCTTTCATGCAATGTGTTTCATCCTCTCATTCAACAGTACACCAACGTAGAGTCGAAGGCTGCACACCCCACGGCGCCGACGACCCGTTGATAAAGCCGCTCCCAAACGGCTACGGACGGGCACAGGGGCCTCGATGACGAAGCTCCGCCACAGCCGTCACGCATTCATCTGTTCAGCCGCTGCCCCTTGTTGTTTACTTACCCATCGTGCAGCGCGGATCACCGTCCCCGAGGCGCCTCCTCCAGGCTCCGATCTTTCCTGCACATCCTTCGCCCGCGACGCCACTTCCGCAGTGCTCCTCAAGCATGCGTATCCTCGCCGCGGCACGCCGCGGAGGCTAGTCTATCTGCTCTATATAAAGTACCGATCCGTCTTACGTTGGTCAGACTATTCCCCCCTCCCGTTTTACCCTTTCTCCCCCGTTGCGTCACACGTCCTCGCCCGCCCACTGATGGACGCCTCTCTACCCTCGTCCCCCGCCGAACAGCCCAAGCAGGCACTACGTACACAAGCACGAGACAGCATCTCGCAAACATCCACCATCGCAGAACCCAACATGGAGCACCGGAGAAGTCGGGGAGAAGACGATGAATCGTCAGAAATGGGCCGTGAAGACTACGGGCCGCAGGAGGGCGAGAAGGCCAAGGACCCGTACGAGGTTCGCATGGGCCCTCAGTCCCCGGACAACCCTAAGACGTGGTCGAAAGGGTACCGGTGGTACATTACCACGCTCGCCGCCGTCCTCCTGCTCAACGCGTAAGTCTCGCTCTATATCTCGGACAGCGCGCGGCATTAACTCGTTTGCGCTTTCGCAGCACCTTCGCGTCCTCCGCGCCCTCTGGCGTGATCCCCGACCTCATTGAATACTTCTCCTTCTCTCGTGCGGTCGGCACCCTCACGATCGCAATCTTCGTCGCCGGCTATTGCGTCGGGCCCCTCGCGTGGGGACCCTTGTCCGAGTCGTATGGCCGCAAGCCGGTGTTCGTCTTCACGTTCATCGTCTACACCGGCTTCCAAATCGGCTGCGCACTCTCCCGCAACACGGCGTCGATCCTCATCTTCCGCTTTCTCGGTGGCGTCTTCGCTGCCTCACCGCTCGCAAACAGCGGGTACGTCCCCCCGCTCGCCCACCACTCTCTCCTCTAGATTCAGTGTTGACTTTTATCCTCAGTGCCGTCATTGCGGATATATGGGACCCGGCAGTCCGCGGCGAGGCGATGGCGATCTTCACCCTCGCGCCTTTCGCTGGCCCTACGTTCGGGCCCATCGTCAGCGGCTTCATGGCTAACGCTGGTGTCTCGTGGCGCTGGGTGTTCTGGGTGCTTGCCATGTTCACCGGAACGTGTCTAGCTTTGGTGATCTTCACGCTCCCGGAGACATATGTGTACGTTCTTCGTCCTCATCACTCCCTACATTTTTCGCTGACCATAACATTTAGTCCTATCCTCCTTGTAAAACGCGCTCAGAGATTGCGGAAGGAAACTGGCGACAACCGTTACTGGGCGCCGCTGGAGCGGGAGGATAAATCGATAGGCGAGCGCATAAAGCACGTCTTTGCACGTCCTTTCGTCGTCCTCGTGCATGAGCCTATGCTCATCGCGATCACCCTTTACATGAGTGTACGCCCCTCCTTTCCGCTTCCTGTTTGTGCAGATTCTGACTGCGCCTTCCAGTTCATGTATGGGTGCCTCTACCTGCTCTTTGAGGCGTACCCCATCGTCTTCACTCAGGGCCACAACCTCAACCAGGGTATGTCCGGCCTGATGTTCCTCCCTATCTTCATCGGCGGCATCACTGGCGTCATCATTTACCTATTCTTCTTCAACCCGCGTTACGAGCGCGCGATCGCCGCCTTCGCCCCGTACCCCGTCCCTCCCGAATACCGGATGGAGGTTTGCATGCTCGCCGCGCCCATCTTCGCCGGCTCCTTCTTCTGGTTCGGCTGGACATCCTACCCCTCCATATCCCTCTGGGCGCCGATGCTCTCCGGCATCCCCCTCGGCGTCGGCGTCATCTTCCTCTTCCTCGGCCTGTTCAACTACACCATCGACGCGTACCTCTTCGTCGCCGCGTCGGCGCTCTCCGCCATCACCGTCGTCCGTTCGCTGTTCGGCGCCGGGTTCCCATTATTCGCGACGCAAATGTACGTGGCTCTGAACCCACGCTGGGCGTCGACGCTCCTCGGGTGCATCGCGACGTTGCTCGGGCCCATCCCGTTCATCCTCCGCTACTACGGCCACCACCTCCGCCGGCGCTCTAAGTACGCGCCGACAGGGGACCTGCCGATCAAGCCGCCCAGTGAGGAGATGAAGGAGAAGGAGCGTGCGGCGCGGGCGGTTTGAGGAGGGTTGAACGTTGAGGCACGTTGCTGGGGGGTTCTCAACTTACTTCGCTTGGCTTCTTGACTTTGGGTTTGTTGGCGATGCGGTTCGCTGGTGCAATTACTTATCCTCACGACGCTCATGACAAGATATCCTGTTCATTTTCAGTACAATGTATATTAGTGCAATGTCTCCGTAGGCTCAGAGTACAGTATATATCAATGACATCATCCGACGTCCTTTCGAGGCCACCGCGAATGAACGTCATGTTGGCTGGTTGTGGCCGACCAATGGTGATCGGATGTTGTAAGCCAACCAATGGATGGCGGCTCGAGGCGGCCCGTCGTGCGGCGGCCTCATTGTACATCCTCCTACTCACTTCGGCCACCGCTTCTTGACTTCTACTTGTCTGGCTTGTAATTTCCAACCCCCTTTCTCTCTGCCCGACTCTGGCCATGTCGCAGATACCTTGGAATCGCGTTAGCATCGATACCCTCCGGGCGGTCATGGACGACCTCGGCCTCGCAGCCTACACCTCAACCGCCTCCTCACACGAGCTCGTCAAGCTCATCCGAAAGGTCGAGACGGACGGAGGTACGTGTCTCCCTCTCCTATCCCGCCTACGCGTTCAAAACCGACGCACTCGCACCAGTCGACGCCGTCGCCAACCACCTAAACAGCCTGCACGGCCCCTCGCGGCCCTCCGCCGCCGCCCACGCGTCCATCTCCATCTCCAACCCCGCGGACGACCTCGACCCCGAGTCCGACCGCGTCGCACCCCCGCCCGTGTTCCTTTCGACCCGCTCCGGGCTCCGCCCCATCGTCGAGATCCCGCGGCGCGCCCGCCACCCCAAGCCGCCGCCTCCTCCCCCTCTCCCTCAGCATCTCAAGCCACTGCCTCTGCGGCGGCGGCGGCGCTCCCGCCGCCAAGCTACGCGGCGATTAACGCGGAGTACCGCGCGATGGGCACGTACCGCGGGCCACGGCGCACGGACCAGGTGTTCGACGGGGTGTACATCGAGACGCGCCCGGAGCCGGCGCGCAAGGCGGCGGCGAGGGACTGGGAGTTCAGCAAGGAGTTCTTGGGGCCCAAGTCCGCGGTGCAGACGGAGTGGTCGAGACGGGTGGACAGGATCGGGCTGGGGAGCATGTCGACGCGGGGGCGGGCGACGGAGCTTCGGGGTGGGTGACTGCTGTACGTGTTGACTGGTTGGAAAGTGCGACTGAGACGACCGTTGGGATTGTTTGAAGCGTCGATGGTAGTGTACTCTCTTGCACACTTGGTGCGGCAATTGTAGGACCGTTTGGTAGCGATTCGTGAAGGGGCAGCAGCCATAACTTCCGGGACCGCCGGCCCGCCGAGACCATGCGCGTCTTGCGGGATTTTTAGAACTTTGTGCCAACTCGCGCAATTGGTGTCAGTCCTCCTCTTCCTCCTCCCCCCTCGTCCCCTTCCCACTTCGTGTTGGTGCGGCGTTTTGGTGCCCCGCCATGTCGCAAGGCCTCCTTCCCCACGCTCTCCTTGACTTCACTCTCGCTCGCGTTTCCGCGCGCCTGGAGCGGCTCGCTCTCCGCCGCTCTGCGAGCCTCGCTACAGGCCGAAGACACGCGCACCAGAGCGCTGCCCTCGCCCATGTGGTGCCCCAGGAGTACCTTGAGGACAGCGATGACAGTATACTTCACCCTGCGTACGTCTCTCTAGTCCCCACTTTCACGAGTCGTGTACCTCACCCCGTTCCCCTCAGGTGGCAAGCGCGCCAGCGGACACCAGCATACCCTCCACCCTGTTCCCGCAATCTACGGTTAGGGCCGCTGCGGACCTGGAGAACCATCTCGCGCAGGTGAAGGAACAGTCTTTGGTCGAGGTGAGTTAATGTAGTTCACGTTTGCTTCCCCCGACCTGCTGACCTCAATCACAGCAGGCTCGGACGGAAGAGCAACCCGCTTTCTCTGAAACGAGCTGGTGTCGATATACGCCGACTTGCTTGCCAACCCTCCGCGACCTGAGCCGCCTTCGCGATCTACCGACGCCATACAGGACCAGCGCGAAGCAGACGAGGCTGCATTGCGCGGGATCGTTCAGTCCCTGTATGCGCACGAAGGCAGCGCTATCCCCTTGGATGTCAAGTCTCAATGTACGGCTGCCATTGCGGAGCTGCGCGAGCTTGTCAAAGTGCTTGAGAGGGCCCCCGTGAAGACGCAGGAATCATTGACGGTTCTCCCCGAGGAGAAGTGGCAGTCGTTGGTGCGGATGTGTGTTGAGGTGGGGGACTTGTCAGCTGCTGAGAGCGTCGTGGACCTCATGAAGGTGCGTCTGCTACTCTAAGGCGCGTTTTGCATGTACTCACTTCCCCTCAGCGCGCCAGGTCACCATTCGAGACGGCGATGGTGCCGGTCATGGACTACTATGCGTGCCGGGGAGAGGTCGCCAACGCGGAACGGTTCCTTAATAAGTACTGCCCGACTTCGCGCCCAGAAAAATTGCGGGACTTGCACATCAAGACCCACATCCGATCGGTAGACACTCCCACATTCCCCGCCACTGCGCTCGCCGTCCTCCACCAATATGAGACCGAGGGTCAGCCCGCCCCCCAGCGCAGCTATACCCGCTGCATCCACCACCTCATCTCCACCCGCTCTTCCGTCGCCGAGGCGCAAGCATGGGATCTCTTCGCCCACATGCGATACGTCGCGCACCCCACCCCCGACGCTGTCCTCTACACCGTGATGATGCGCGGTTGCGGCTCGCGCGTCATGTCCCCACAACCAGCACGCGCTCTGGACCTCTGGACGGAGATGACGGTCGACAAACGCATAGAGCCCCCCATCGACGCGTACGTGGCCGTCATGTATGCGCTCGCGTGCTCCAACCAAAAGATCTACATCGATCGCGCGTTCCAGCTCGCCCGCGAGATGCTGGACGGGCGACGCGACGCCTACGGCCACTCCCCGTTCGAGCCGGACAACAGAGTGTTCGCCGCGCTGCTCGAGGGCGCCAAGCGCCTGGGTGACCTCTCGAAGGCGCGTTGGCTCCTGGCGGAGATGGTGTCCGCGAGCCTTCGCGGGGCGCATACGGGCGCCCGAGCTGTGGTAGTGAACGCGAAGGCGATGCGGCATGTGTTCAATGCCTACACCGTCTACCGCCCACCGTTCGTCCGGGGGGCCGCGCCGCTGGTGGAGGAAAATGCGCCTGCGGTACTACAAGCAAGCAAGCCCACACCACCAGGAGCAACTGTGAGGCGGGAAGCGTTCAGACCGACGCGCAAGAAGGAGTGGAGAACGCCCCCGAACCGCCTCCACGAGTCCCGGTCGCGCAAGAAGAACCAGCGTTCACGGTCACCCTTCCCCAAAGCAAGGCGGAAATCATCGCGGAAGTGCGGGCCCTCTTCCGCCGAATCACCCTCGCTTCCTCGGTCCTCCCGACGAACTCGCACATGCGGAAGAAACGCTTTGGGCGTTCAGGGACGTCAAACCCGACACCTCCCTGCTCAACGCGTACCTCGCCGTCCACTACAAGCACGCGCCGTTCGAAGAAGGTGTCCACCTCTACAAGACGCTCTTCGCCGAGCATGGCATCGAGAAGAATGCGTGGACGTACGTGGACGCTCTGGAGCACGCATCGAGGCTGCCCTGGGAGCTAGACGGGCGGCGTTCACGCTCGCCCACGAAGTCTGGGACGAGTGGCGTGTCGTCGAGGAAGAGTGGCGACAGAAGGGCCCCAACAAGGCGCTCCTAAACCCGCGTCTCGTCGAGCGCGCCCACGTCGCCATGATCCGCGTCCTCGCCTTGTGAGTCCCCCGTCTTCTTCTCCTTGCTCCTCCCCGGCTAACGCGTCCTCCCGCCACAGGACGCGCAACACGCGCGACGCCGTCCAGCGGGTGCGCGACTTCCACGCCGCGTACCCGCCGCGCGCGGTGCTCCCTGCGTGCCGAAGCTGCCGCTGCGCTCGACGCGGACGGTGCTCGTCGCGCCGCGCCCGCTCGTGCGCCTGGTCTCGCCGCGGGGATCCCGGACACGAGCGTGCCGCCGCTCCTCACGTTCTCCGACCTCGAGCTCCTCCACCACCGCCTCGTCGACCGCGGCGACAAGGAGTCGATCGGGTTCGTCAAGTTCGTCTGCAAGGCGTACCAGGGCGCGCTCGCGCGCCGGAAGGAGGCGACGCTGGACACGCGGCCCGCCACGCAGCCAGATGGCGAGAAGCGGGGGCGAGGAGTCGGATGTGGACTAGGGAGGGAAGGGGTGCTTAGATGGATCGGATTTGGGACGCGGTGCGTCGCGAGGATTATCTCATGTCGATTAATGACTGTACTGTATGCGCTTGCGCGGCCGGGAGGCTGTGTCGTAATGCTCCAAATCTCTCATCTGATGGGCTCAAGGTCGGCGAGTACACAAAGGGAGGGCTCACGCCCACAGACAGACATTCCTGGATATTTGGGACCAGAACAACGACAAGAGTCGCCGTCTTCGAGCCGGTGGCTAGCACATGCTCTTGTCTGTGCTCGCTGCTGAAAGTCGTCCATGTTATCTCTACAGCGCTCCCTTTATGCACTCCACTGGAGGGTCAACGGTCGCGGACCCGTTTCGAGGACGGACGGCGGAGAGACGCACCCACCACCGAGACCTGGCTGTTCTCGACTCACACGGGCCACGAGGCAAGACCGCTTGTGTGCGTCTTCGGCTGGATCCATCGGGAACGAGGCCCCGTTCAGGCAGTCGGGACCGCAGCGGGCGAATGCGCTCGTTGTGGCAGGTGTGGATGAGTAGGCGCGCGCGCAGGCAGTATAAAGGCCTGCACGTCTCGCGTGTAGTTATTCCTCACTCTCCTCCGTTTCCTCTGCCCCTCGACATCGACGCCGGCCCCGCGCTCTCTCCTCCCTTATCCTCTTCACCTACCCGCCCCTCCTCATGCAACACTTAGCCATCAAGCGCTCACCAGCAAACAACCTGCAATAACCCTGGTGAGCACCCTTCGCCACGCGCATATCATTATCCTCGTCGCTGACCACAGTGCCTCATATAGACGTCTGACGCACGATCATCCTCCGGTATGCCTCTCCTCTCTCTCCCTCTCTGAGCGTGCTCGGCTTCGGGATTCGGCTCTTGGGCGCCACCGCCACTGGCTCGACAACTGGCCTCGCGCCACAAGAAAGAGCTCAAAGGCCACATGCTCTCGGTGTCGGTGTTCTGGGGACTTCAGGCTCGGCCGACCGCTCGTTGCTTTTTGAGGTGCTTGGCGACCAAGGCTCGACCCTAGGATATACAAGCGCCCGAGCTCGAGGAGGGCTCCTGAGCTGCTGAGGCGCAGCCGACTCCTCGGACGCAACAGCGACGTTCGCCGCAGATGCGAGCGTCGCATTAAGGCTGAGTGTAAGTGCTCTGTCCACCTGTCGCCCATTATTGGCTCACGAAGGTTCCCCTCGCAGCTCCAGGGGCGATACAATCTCGCCCCTTGCTTCCGGCTTTGGCCATTATCGCAAGACTGGCGTAAGGAGTTCAAAGGGCACTTGGATGCTTCGAGCTCTGAAAGCCGGAGCACCGTTGCGGCTACGGAAAGGAGGAGAGACATTAAGACAACGTTTGCCCGACGACTCGACATCCCGCCATCACGACTCCCATGCGACCGACACTTCGACTTCGACCGATACTTCGACCTCGACCTCGACCGACCGACCTCGACCGACACTCGACACACCGACCGACACACCGACCGACACTCGCCATCGACCGACATATAGACTTCGACTTCGACTTCGACTTCAGCTTCGACGTGCGACCGACATCCGACCGTGTGCTGCAAGAGGTGACCCGAGCGACCGACTCGGCACCCACCCGAGGACGGTCCGTCGCTTTCGGGCGATGGTTCCTGGCGCAGGCCTCTACGTGGCCCTCGGGACTAGTACCCCGGGAACACCCTGTTCTCGGTGGGAAGCTAACGTGCGCCGAAACATCCGTGAGTACTATCCATCTCCTACACTTTTGCTCTTCACAACGGCATGTAATCCATGTACATACGCTATACTTCTGCAATTCACGTGGCTCTCTTCCTACAACAACCGTGCGCTGTACTTGATCGCCTGCAGCTCCATCACATGCCCCGCCGTGTCCATCCAGAACGGCGGACACACCAGCTCCACCGTCACCTCATACACCCCGTCCTCCCCGCGCACCCTCCCCACGAACCGCGCCGTCCCGCCCGCCCACAGCGCGACGTGGTCCGCCGCGCACTGGTGCGCCTGCGCGTGCACGGGCAGCCGCAGCGCCTCGCGCTCGGCCGACGCGTCGTGGAAGCGCATCATCGCCCACGGCTCCGGCTCCGCGTGCGGCAGCTGCGGGCACACGCCGAGGTCGACCGCGAAGAAGAACGCGAGCGCCGGCCGCCGCGCGCCGAACACGAGCGTCGCCGGCGGGCTCCCCGTCCACGCGCGGTCGAGCGCGGGCGAGTGCCAGACGAGCGCGACGTGCTCGCGTGCGCGCAGGCCGCGCAGCGCCGCGCCGGACACGCGGAACGGCGAGCCCTGCGCGTCCGCGGCGGTGCGCGCGAGCCCGCGGGGCACCGCGGGCGCGGGGCGTGCCGCGGGCTTGGCGGCGAGCAGGACGTGCCGCCACTTTGGGACGTGCGTGCCCGGGGGCGTGGCGGCGTCCGCGGGGACGAGGTGGACGAGGGCGAAGCGGCGGAGGCGCGGGAGGCCGCAGTGGAAGACCGGGCGCGTGGGTCGTGGCAGCTCGCGCAGGGGGTGAGGATGAGGCAGATGGGCTCGTGGTGGGAGGAGATGAAGAGCGCGAGCGAGCAGTGCGGGAGGTCGATGACGGGCATATGTGCGTTGATGCCGTGCGGGGTCATGGTCAAGGTGGGCGCGCGGTGAGGCTGGGGCGCATCTTGACGAAGACCCCAAGGTCTGAAGTCGGCCACCAGGCCTGGAGGAACGATGTCAGTAAGTCGATCAAGCGCGAGCTCGTGATGCAACCCACCTTTTCAGAGACACGCTTGTAATCAACTTGTATACGCTCGTACAGGTGGAAAGGCATCGGGGACTCTGCGAAAAGATACGCTGATGTCGAGGCATGGATGTTCTTGTGGTCAAGAGCGATGTCGTGCTGCATCGAGCGCAAGTCATCAGCGAGGTCGACGCTCGAGACCCCAGCACCCCATGCCCAGAGAGACGTGTCGTTCGACGTCCGCATGAGCTCTTCCTGGAGGCGATAGAATGCCTTGCCGCCTTCTCCGTAAAGCATCGGCATGTTGATCCCGAAGATGCCAAGAAGGCAGTACGCTTGATCCTCTTCGCGCGTTGTGCTCCGCTTGGCCGCCCACGACATGCGTTGCGCAATGCTGACGTCCGTGATGTCCGCCTCAAACGTGAGGATCTGTTCGGGGATCGAGGTGATCTCAGAGAGCAGCCCGGATAGCTCTGCCTTGGTGCCGATGACGCCCCAGTCCACAGAAAGAAATACGACCATCTCGGGAGCGAGGAGCTCTTGGAGAGTCCATCCGCGTCTGTGCCACTTGCTGCGACGAAAGTAAGAGCCGGGCTGCCAAGGATCACTGCGGCCTGGGACGTCAGCGAGGTACACGAAGCAGATTTGGGCGGCGGCGTAGTAGTTGAACATGGAGTTGATGTCTCCGGAAAGCTCGGCGCTGCTCTCCTTGTTGATGCATGCGGTATCGGACCATGCCCAACGGTACCCGTAGCTTTCGGCGAGAGTGCAGAACATACGCATCTTGTCTGAAAGGTGGTCGCGGGAGTTGTATCCAGACCGCGTCGCAGCCTGAGAGTTGAACGACTGGACGTGCTGGAAGGAGTCTTCTTGAGAAGTCCAGACATGAGAGATAATAGCGTATCCATCCGGAATGTCTTCCGGCGCGTCGAACCGGGTTAAAGTGGCGTTATGGGTGGTGAGAGCCCACATGATTCCACTGAACGCTCTGTCAGTTGATCCGAGTATACGAAGAGAGTTCGAACAATGGACATACACATGCGGTGACGTGTCAAGTCGCAGTTGGGCAGTCGCGGATAACAGGATGGAGAGTATCGAGGGGAGAACGCCAACCCTTCGGATGGCGGCTATAAGGCTTCATGAAGCATGTGTAAAGCCGTTTGGCGAACCTGTCAACCCAAAGCTCAGTATATCACATATCCATAAAGTCAGATCAACAACAACGTGAAACAAGAGCGACAAAAAATGAAAGGTGATTCTGTTGGGTGGAGAAAGCAAATGCGGCGTCAATATCTAGCAAGGCCACGATCCTCCATCGTGTCACCCGTCTTGCCCAGCAATTGGAAACGCGAGTACGCGAGCTCCACTGTGCCGCCCTCCCAGCCAGCGATGTGCTCCGTCGCCCAGTCGTGCGTGTCTGGATAGTACCTGAGCTGCTGCAACTCTGCCAAGGGCTGGGTGTACCCATAGAAGCGTATTGTCACCTACCTATCTCCTCCGCCGCGGTGCCACTTGCTCCGACGAAAGGCTAGCTCAAGTACGGACATCCTCGCTTAGCGCTGAGCCTCGCCGGGCGTGGACGGCTGAGGTGCAAGGAAAGACTGGGGGCGCGCGAGACAAACGGGCTTGTTGGGCTATTCCGATGGCGACTATACAGTTTTCAAATTGGCGATTGATGGGACATATTACCGCCTTTGTAGCTGGGCTTAAAACACTAGTAGGCGAATATTGATGTCACTACAGGAACATCAGGCGCCTATCAACAGGCCGATAATCGGAGCCCCCATCGCCGACGCTTGGACGGCCACCCTGCCCCGAGATTCCCCTGTCCACCATCCACCCACTGCAACACCACCACGCAGGTCGCCTCTTTCCATGTGACACTTTCCCTTTTCTGACCTTTGAGAATCCAGAAATGTGGCTGTTACGCGCGGACGACGCGGCCCTAGTGCGTTTCAACAGCCCAGAAGACGTCCCCGAGGGATACGCCATTCTCTCGCACGTCTGGGGCGATCAGGAAGACAGCTTTCAGCAAGTTCAGCTTCTCAACTCTCAGTCTTTTCAGCCGGGTTGCAGCACGCGAGATCTCCTCTCTCCCAAGATCCGCATGTGCTGTATGCTGGCCGAGAGCTACGGCTACCGCTGGATCTGGGCCGACACAACCTGCATCAACAAGGAGAGCAGCGCAGAGCTATCGGAGGGCATCAACTCTATGTTCAGCTACTACGCCGCATCCCAGATCTGCGTCGTCTACCTCCATGACGTGTCCAGCGATGGCGAGCCCTGGCTCCCCGGCTCGGATTTCCGAAGAAGTAGGTGGCATACGCGCGGATGGACTTTGCAAGAACTCCTCGCCCCGGAGATGGTTGTATTTCTGTCCAGAGAGTGGAAGGTGCTCGGGACGAAGGCCAGTCTTGCGACGCTTATCTTCGAGATCACCACCATCCCGGTGAGCGTCCTCAAGTTCAAGACTGATGTGACGAGCATCAGCATTGCACAGCGCATGTCGTGGGCTTCGCGTCGCCAAACGACCCGGGAAGAAGACGCGGCGTACTGTCTTCTTGGTCTCTTCGGCGTCACTATGCCCCCTCTGTACGGGGAAGGTTACAGGGCGCTGCACCGTTTGCAGGAGGAGCTCATGAAGACCTCGAGTGATACATCCATATGGGCGTTCGGGGTCGACCCTGTACCCTCCAAGAGTCTCCAAGCGTTGCGCTCCCTCAACACGACATTCCACTTAGTCACAAGGAGATCCACGGATCCCATTCTACCTATTTTCTTGCCAATGGTACAGACCTATTCCACTCTTATAATCGGATCGGAGGGGTTTTGACTGCTGTGGGTGAATTTGCATTTCTTTCATTGATGTGTGCTGAGTTGATTCCCTGTATACCTCAGAATTGGCGACGAATGCGCCCTCCTACGGACAGCGTGAAGATAAACATGCTGCCTCACATGACGAACTCTCCAACCTTCACCAGCACTCCTTATGGCGTCCTCGCGCACGTGCCCGTCGTCGACCTTCCAACCTGCTCCTTGGCTATTCTCCTCTCGCAAGACCACCTTCCTCTAGGATTGATCCTCACGCCATGCGATGACGCCACTGATCCCAATCGGCCGCTCTTCCACTCTGGACTTCCGCGAGGTCGGCGCTTCACCCTCGTAGAACTCGTCACCCCCGAAATACAGCTTGAGGGAGCGCTCACCCCAGAATGGCGCGATGTTTACATCGCTGCGAAGCCCCCATACCACGTCCACATCGCCGTCCCGCACGCCCTCTCCCGCACCAACGACGACCTACGGACCCCCTTCCGTGTGTCGGGCGCTGCGCTCCGGGCGCTGCGAGCACGGGACTACGTCACACTCTTCTGGCACTCGGCCTTTCTTGACCTGGATGGCCCCGCACTAACTCGCTCATCCCATGCCAGCGCCTTTTGGACAGGGACTCCGCCAGCAGCTCTCGTGTTTCTCGCTCGCTACCCAATGTTCTTCTTCTCCATCCGCTTTGGTCGCTGCTCCTCCCCTTCCTCCTCCCTTTCCCAAGCCTCGTCGAGTAGCCCCGATAATACGGGAAAGTTGTGGGCGACCGTACTCTTCCACGACTATACTGCATCGCTCTCAGAGCTGCAACAGTCCACATTCCCGGACGCCCACATGTGTACAACACACCACATCGACGGCTCGATGCGCGGCGCCTTTCGCTTCGTCGGGAAGGAGTACAGGGGTCGGCGGGAGATGCTACACAGTCACGGTCGAGCTCACCTTCGCAAGGTTCCTACTGGATGCCACAGGCGGCACGTTGGAGCTGCAGAACATGCGGGTCCATCATGCAGTGATGAGGTGATGAAGGTAATGTGGTGATGAAGAGAAGCAGACGTGAGTGTGAAGCCCTATCAGTGCCAGCAATCGCCGTATGTATGCCGGACGCTCATCAGGAACGACAGGTGTGGGTTTCTCGTGCGTCGGTCACCGCTTCCAGCTTCCATTAGTCCGCTCCTATCGGCGAGCGTTCTCGTCTTGATGAAAATAGTGACACGACGAGATCTCCGCTCAAGCTCAGCAAAAATGCCGGATGCCGGATGAGGTTAGTCGAACATGGGTCTTCCGATATATAAACAGTATGTCAATCAGAGAGCCGACCCCCGGACGGATTGGCGGTCCTCTCGGTGAGTGCATTCCAAAATGGATATCCTATCATCAAGATAACTTTATTTCGCCAGTAGTGAAGCTTTAAAGCGAGTGCTGCGCAGAGATTGTTTTCCATGTCATCTGACACGAGAGCAACGAGATCATCCAAGAGTTCACCAGTCTGTACGTCGGTATATTCTCGTCTCCCGCCACAAGATCTCATGCTCCCTTCCCAGCTTGGCTTCAAACACTGTCTGATATCTATTCTTGGTAGGTGCCCCGGACTTGCTTGGTTGCACAAAGCCACTCACACGTGCTGTACGTTTCTGCCAGTTTTTATATCATACGAGTATGTGATTACAGCAGCGTCCGAGATCACTCTTTTCTGGACACGGAGGCCCACCGGAGCGTCTTTCCTGTTTCTGGTCAACAGATACCTCACACTCGCCTTCCTCGTAGTACAAGTGGTGCCGAGCTTTGCAACGTTGTCGAACAAGGTGAGCATTTGTCGGATGACTGTTTCTGATACTCACTGAACGATGTATGGCACACAGAGGTTGGTTTTGACCCGCGAATGAGCTTCTTTAGTTGACATTACATAGCTGCACTCAAGCAGGATTCGCAGTTGAAATTCTAGGCTCGCTTCTTAATCTCGTATGGGCAGGTAATGAGCGACGACTTCATATCGTCACGATTCGCTCACATCCACCATGCTCATGCAGTATTTTCTGGTTTTCGTGCCTCGCGATATACCGGAGCTACGTCTATCGGTTTCTGTGTTCCTTCCTTCCGCACTATCGTTCGGTATAACATGGTGAGCGGCGTGCTTGCTTCCGGTTCGTCTTCTCCTAAGCTTCATCCCAGTCCACTGTTTCTACTCTGAGCGGAGAGGTCATCCCCATCATTGGCAGTATCAGTACCAGTGACCAACCAGTAGAACTCGCTCGAAAGTGAGTAACTGTTTATCTATGCGACGCACGCATGTTGAGACAGTATATTCCTAGGCGTGAGTCGTGTATTGCACTGTGCTACATCTGATCCTCGATACCTACTCTCAAACATCTCTAGTTTTGATCGCCTCCCGCACATGCTCGATCACTTCGGACGTCATCCTCATTGCCTTAAGCTGGCACAGACTCCCGCGACGCCGAGTTATTTTGGGATCGAACACACTCTCTCACGTCCTTCTTCGCGACGGTGAGTGCCCTTGTCTACCACGGACATCTTCATTTTGACGAACGCTTGATTCATAGGGACAATATATTTCATGTGTGTAATGCAGTCTTCCTTCCTTACTGTGACGCTGAACGAACACAGCGTACTCCTGATCATCAACGCGTTGCACCTGTCGTTAACCTTGGTCTCCGTCAGTAACACCGCATGATGTCTCGACACAGTGGAAGGTGCTGATACAAAAATTCCCACAGTTCGTCGTCCCCCTTCTCGGTATCAGCCTCCTCACCGCCTTCACCCAACCGTGAGCGCACTTTCCCGGACGTCCGCTCCTTCATATCGCTCACGTCCACATAGAGTGACATCTGTCCTCGTCTCTCGCTTCCTCCTCAACCTACAGTCCGCCAACCAGAGCGCCAACTCCGGACTGCTCTCGAACCTCTCCGACGACGCCCATACCACCATCTTTTTCGAACGCGTCGTTCGGTCGCTGGACGGCTCGCTGATCTCCGAGCAGAGCGAAGACGTCCTCCGTAGTCTACGGCGGAGCTCCGCGACGCAGAACCACGAGTTCGACTTCAAATTCGAGCCGAGTTCGAGCAACGCCGAGTCCGCAATGCCAGTCTTGGCGCGCTCGCAGTCCACCCTACGTGCTCTAGGGACGATTGAGGAGGAGGAGGATGAGACCAATGCGTCGCGATAGAGGTCCACAGTCGCTGTCTCTCGAAACTCAGGTGAGTATTGTTCAGAGATTCGTCGCGGGTGAATCGCGTCTCACCATCGTTCTCCAGTTGGATTATAGAACATGTAGTAGTACGTCAACACAGGGTGCCGTTTCTACCACTCCTGTTCCGAGTTGCGCTTGCAAATATGATACTGCCTTCCGGCATTTGGAAGTCGCCACTCATTAGACCAATCTTCACGAGCCATCCCGAACAGAGCCCGCGATGCTCCTCGCTATAAGTTTGTGGGTATAACACGACCGATCAGGCAGATAAGAGGCCTTTTTGCAGTTCGCATCCTAACTTCATCTCATCTCCGCCGACGTGATCGTCGGCGCGCTCAATTGGTATCGCCTCCCCCGCCAAGAGTACCATGGGCGTCGGCGCGCTCTCGCACGCATTCGTGACGGTGCGACTTCTCTCATCTCCGCCTCTTAAGTACTACAAGACGTGATCATCTCCGTTCCGCTCCAGGCACGGTATACTTCCTTCACGCCGCTCGCCCCGTGCCGCCGGACCAGACACTCATGTAGCGCTCGCTGCACCTCGCGCTCAACTCGACCCTTCCCCACAGCCCCAACAAACCGCCGGAGCCGACCTGCCACATGCAGACCACGGGCTCTTTCCTCGACCTGAGTTTCGTAACCGCGTTCACCGAGCCGTAATATCCCTCGCGCTCACCTGACGCGACCTCCTCAGCGTGGCCTCTGTCAGGCTGATCTCGCGCTTCCTCCTTAACTTCCAGGCTGCAAACCACCTCTCCGTGGGGCTCCCACCGCCGGGAGCCCATGACTCTAGACGTCCAACGGGAGATGGTCAGCTCTGTGCTGTTCGACTATGGCCCAATCGCAACCTAAGGATCACTCTTCCGAGAGCACCTCAGCGACTATTCGGAACATTTCTCGGTGACAGAGCACCATGTATCTGTGGGGCACATCCACTGAATTCTTCTCCGAATTGTTACTTCAAACTCGTGTATGCGTATAATCTGAGCAAGAATGAGATTACAGAACCGTCGAATATACAGATGCTACATGTAACATTCCACGCACATAGAACAAGTGACACTTATGCTACAAACCATCGCACGGAAGATAGGAAGAACTGACTCTTCTACAACTCAACCTTTGTCTTCGACTCGTACTTCTGTTGCTTATCCCGCGCGCCATCCTTCGCGCCCTCCACACCGCCGCTGAGGATCTCCAGGATCATGCCCAGCTTGTCCTCCGCAATCTCCACGCCCGAGTCAAAGTAATCCATCACCGTGCGCCACAGCGAGCTCGCGCGCCACGACGCCTCCACCCAGCGCACGCGGACCTCCTGCAGGAGCCCAGGGCGCGACGTCGGCAGCGCGGCGTCTGAGATCCCGTTCTCGCGCAGGTAGGCGCGAAGGCGCGCGTCGGGCCAGGTGAGATACGCCGCCGAGCGCGCGTGCACCTGCGTGTACTTGTCGTTCATGAGCTTCACGAGCTCGTCGCGCTTCTTCTGCGCGTCAGAGCGGAGGTAGCCGTGCTCGATGAGCCAGGAGCGCATATCCGAATCGTTCCATGCGCCCCAGGCGACGTCGCGCGAGTTGACGTAGTTATCGCTGCGGGCGGGGTGTCAGCAAAGAATAATGGTACGTGGGGGAGTAGACACGCACGCGATGAGCTTCTCCATCTTTTCCCGCTTGGGCTGGGCGTCGCTCTTGATGACATCATGCTCGACCAACCACTGCTTCGCTTGCGAGTCGCTCCAGGTCTGCCACACCTTCTCGTTCACGTCGTAGTAGTACTTCTCCATCAGGCCCACGAGCTCTTCGCGGCGCTTGGTGGTCGAGTCCTTGATGATCTGATGGTTGAGGAGCCATTGGTGGATGTACGAGTCCGACCACGCCTGCCAGATGGGCTTCGTGACCGCGACGTACGTGTCCCGCATCTTCGCGAGGAGCTTCCCGCGCGGCGTCGCCGGAGGAGAGACCATGCCGTGCTCCTCGAGCCAGGTGCGAATCCGGTTGTCATCCCACCTGCCCGCACGTCAACCCCGGCTCGCCTCAAAGACAAGTAGCAGAACACTCACGTCGAGAAAGTGTAATCCTTCGCGTCATCCATGTCTGTGCGACATTGCCGTCGCCTGAGCGACGTACGACGACGCGCTCTTGCTCGCCTGGTGAAGCGAGTCTCCAAGATGGCGGTGCTCGCCTGGGCACTGATCGAGCTCGCGGACGCGCTCGCGGTGCTGCTGTACGAGCTCGCGGCAGCGTTGTACTGCCGCCACTTCTGCTTCGCGAGGAGCGCGAGCTGCTCGCGCGGGCCGGAGGGGTTGACGACGCCCTGTTCGAGGAGGAATTCGCGGAGGCGAGACTCGTCCCAGCTATCGAAAGTGTTGTCCTTGACGTTCTGGAACGTCACCTGGGCCTTCTCAAGCTGGTCGGCGGTCCAGACGTAGGCGGAGTCCCAGTTAGCCTTGACGGTCGCCTGGAGGTCGGCTTGGGAGGGGTGCCGAAGGGGTAGGGGATGTTGTGGGCGTCGAGCCACTCTTGCAACTGTTGCGTGGACCACGTGGTGTACTCTGTGGGGTGAACTTTGTGAGAAAGTGGTGGGAACATGCACGGCACAAAACGCACCTGCTGGCTGATGTTCCCGCTGAACCACGACGCCTGGACGGCGGTGCCCGCAGTGAGAACAGGAGGAGGAAAGATAATTTCATGGTGAGTGGCGAGAGAGCAGCAGGGGAGAGGGATGATGGCGGGCACCAGTGAGTGGAAAACTTATAATAAAAGCGAGAGTGGCTCTGCGACGCCCCAATGACGCACGGGACTGTGGCCTGACGTCAACGCTTGCAGGAGGGGCCACCCAAGACCGCCGACGACGGGCGAAGAACATTGATCGTCATATCCATCTTCCCGGGACGCCCGATGACGTCCTCCGCCTGCCATCTCCCAGCGCCCAAACATGACGATTCCATCCAGGCGACTTCAGTGTGTTCGGCTGCACATACACACTTTCTCCAATCCGAGTACAATAATCCAATTCATGAAACAACGCACAAACGGACATCAATCCTGCGCTTATCACTTTGCTGCCCGTCACCCTGTTGTACTCCTCAGCCAGTCGGTCGTACTCCTGCGCGTTCTGCTCCGCTTGCTTCTTCACAACATCTACATCCGTGCGGATCAGGGGTCAGCAAGAATGGTTAAACCACCAAACGATAAACACACCATAGCTTTTCGCCTTTTCTTCCGCCACCGTAAGCCGCGCCTTGAGATCCTTGATCTCCTTAGCCTGATCCACACCGTTCAATTCGAGCTCGAAGTCTAGCGCAGGATGAGCTTCGTGAGTACACGTGAAGTAACATGGTACATACCGACTGCTTCAACTTGGCATACTCTTCTTGGGTGTGAATGAGGTCGAGGACCATGGAGAACGTGCGGGTGAGGACAAGGGACAGGAACAGACAGAAACCGGTCAGGTACACGTTGCGCTGCGCACTGTGCACGAGTCAGCGATGAATCCAATGCGCACAAGCAAGTGGGGGACACGTACTAGAATTTGCGCGCCGCGATGTTCGTCTCCCCCGGACATCCTGGACACCCGAACCCGTCGACTTGGCCAAATCCGCCTCCGCGTCACCCTCCACATCCTCTGCACCGCATCCACGAATAATATCGCCACGAAACTGGACGTAATCTCATGAGAGGAAGTGAGGGGGAAGGGGCACACGACACGCGACGCACATGAACGAAATCTTGACCCCGTATGCAACCTTCGCGATCAAAGGAGACTCGGAGAGAAAGTTGAAGATCTTCTTGCGGACCACGTGCGGTAGAGGGAAAACGAGCACGCAGAACGCGCCCATCTCGGAGGCGAGGAGCATGAAAGTGAGAGTGTAGCTAGAGGTGGGTCAGCGGACAAGTCGTTGGGGCATGAAGGCCAGCGGAAGACTCACTAGACCGTCATGGTGGGCTGCGGCGGTGCCTTTGGAGGGAGGTGAGGTGCGGGCAAGAGAGTGTTGATGGGCAGGGGCCGTGGCGGGCGGTATTTGAACGTTTGAAGAGGCGAGTCGAGATGCGCTGCGGGACACGTTGGGCGTCCGGCGGCGCTACGTCATCTTGCCCCAGCCTCGAGGAAGCCCGGGCCGCCGCTTTGTCAGCCAGACCGGGTCTCTGCAGTGGTCCTCGGGCGGCGTCTGGCGGCGTACGCGTCCACAGGGTGACGACGCCGCGTCTGCCACTCACAAACTTTTCTTCCCTTCGCTCCTCCTCCACTCTCACCGCCCCCAGTCTACCTCCATGGCCCCCATCTCCGTCAAAATCAAGCATGCTGGAAAAATCCACGACGTGCAGCTAGACCCCGACCAGCCCCCGGTCCTCTTCAAGGATGCGGTTTATCAGCTTACCGGGGTCCCACCAGAACGGATGAAGGTCATGATTAAGGGTGGGACGCTCAAGGTGTGCCTGTCCTTTTCGCTTCGCCCGTTCATCCGCACTCAACAGACGACCACAGGATGACATCGACTGGCGGAAAGTGGCTCCCAAAGCGGTGGGTCGTGCGTAGGACGGTCTTGTGGCGAATCTCATCGCGTCTCGGAAACAGGGCCAGACTTTCATGGTCATCGGCGCGGCGGGGGAGCTCCCTAGGCCTCCGTCGACCCCCATCCAGTTTCTCGAAGGTGCGCCACCCGTTCCAATCTCTGTATGCGAGCTTCGGCAAGCTGATTGCTTCGCTTCGCGAAGACATGGACGAGAGCGAGGTCGCGCAAGCGGTGCGTATATGCGCCCCGCACAAGCGTATACATCATCTCACGCGCGCCCATGATGCAGCTCGCCCTTCCTGTCGGGCTCGTCAACCTCGGCAACACATGCTACATGAATGCCACACTGCAAGCGATGCGCGCCATCCCCGAACTGCAGACCGCACTCGACCGGTGCGTCCGCTCCACCCTTTCCTCTCGCGCTCCCTCACTCACCATTGCCTCCGTCCCCAGATCGTCGCCCGGCGGGATCTCGTCCTCGCTCAAGATGCTCTACAGCAGCATGGCGAAAACCACGGACAGTATCGCGCCCAACGCCTTTCTCGCCGCCCTCCGCCATGCGTTCCCGCAGTTCGCGGAGCAGAGCCAGTCGAGTGCCGCGAAGATGCTCGGCCGTGTTGCATATGCGCAGCAGGGTGCGCATGCCGTCTGTCCGCCCGTGAACCCCATATCGGCTGACGAAAATGGTTTTTTTTCAGACGCGGAAGAGTGCTGGACGCAAATGGCTACAGCGCTCAAGGACGTGCAGGGTCTCCCGGGACCGTCCTCTGGGTCTGCGAACGCGAAGTTCATCGAGCAGTACATGACCGGGGAGGTTAAGCGAATGTGCGTTGTCCCTTGTCTATCCATCAGTCCCCCTGCATGCTAACCTTGTGCGTTTAGTCTGAAGTGCGAGGAGACACCGGAAGAGCCCGAGTCCATTGCGTACGAGAAGGTGCTCAAGATCGCATGCAATATCTCGAATGCAGTCAACTACATGCAGCAGGGCATCATGGAGGCGCTCGACGGTAAGATCGAGAAGCAGTCCGCGACGCTTGGGCGCGAGGCCGTGTACAGTTCGACGCAGCGGTTAACACGCCTCCCGACGTACCTCACCGTGCACATGGTTCGCTTCGCGTGGAAGCGGGACATCCAGAAGAAAGCGAAGATCATGGTCGGTTCCCCTTCCCCGCACGACGGCGTTGCTCCCCATTGACGCGTTTTGCTTGCAGCGGAGAGTGAAGTTCCCGACGGAGTATGACGCCCTCGACATCGCGACGGACGAGCTCAAGGAAAAGCTCCTACCCGTGAGCCGGAGGCTGAAGGAGATCGAGAAGGAGCGCGGGGAGCGCCGCAAGGTCCGCAAGCGCACCAAGGCCGCTCAGCCCACGAAGGACAAAGAGGGCGACGTTCAGATGGCGGATGCGGACGCGCCTGCAGCCTCCTCTTCGGCAGAACCTGCGACTACTACGACCGCAGACGGTACAACGGCCGAGACGGACAAAGGCAAGGCGGTTGCGGGTGCGGAGCTCGAGGAGGAGAGCGTGTACCGCGAGAAGGAGGGCAAGGAGCTCGAAGCACTCATCTACCCGGACGTGAAGGCGGACGTCGGCGCGAGCATGACGGGGCAGTACGAGCTCGTTGGTGCGTCTCGTTACCCTGTCCTCCCTCGAAGTTTCTCTGGCAAGTTCTCCGGAGGCTGACGGCTCACGCCATCCACAGCGATCGTCACGCATAAAGGCGCCGAGGCGGACGCGGGGCACTACATTGGCTTCGTGAAGAAGAGCGCGCTGCACATTCCTGGCGCACCACCAGTGGATGAGGATGACGACGACTGGTACAAGTTTGACGACGAGAAGGTGTCGATCTTCCCTGCGGAAAAGCTCGAGACGCTTTCCGGTGGCGGGCAGGACGCGTCAGCGTACGTGCTGTTATACAAGAGCCGGCCGTTGATTTAGAGTGGAGTAGGGGAGGGACAGCGGGATGAGAGGGGCTGGGATAACGTCGAACGATTGTATGGGTGTACGAAATGGCATGGGGTGTAGGTGCGACTGTCATGTTTGATCTCATGCGTCGAAGGGCCCTGTTGGTGGTGAGTCGGTTTCGTCGATCCCGGCGTACGCAATTGCTCAGCATCGCGGAAGTCAGCCGAGATTCCATCATCCCGCGATGGGCCCACATCGAAGGTCGATCGTCGCTCTCGTATGTCAGCCTCACCTTGTTCAATAAGTAGCCTCTGCCGTTCTCGAGAGCATCGCTACGTTCCTTTCTGCTCTGCTCTTTCTTCATTCAAAACACTCCCCTCTGGCTAGGATTTTACGCTTTGATTTCTTCCTCTGCAGGTTCAGCTCTTCTACGTTCTAGGCCTAGCGCATCCGATGGTTTCTTCAACCCCACTCTCCCGTGTGCTCGCTCTCTGTACCGTTCTGGGGGCCGTCACAGCAGGAGCCGCTCCACGCTCCCCTCCGCACGCTGCCCTTGCGCGCCGTGGCAACACGATCCCTTCCGGACCCAAATTCGTTCTCTACAGCCAAACCCCCGTCACCCCCGTCCTGCCCGACCTCTCGCAGATTCAAGGCTTCAACGTCTTGTACGCCTCTTCCTCTCCTCCTGCTCTCTGCCCTTTTCCTTGTTGACCTTTCTCCCGTCACCAGCAACCTCGCCTTCCTCCTCTCCGATGGCCCACACGACCAAGCCGCCGCCTGGGCCGCCACCGACCCCGCAACGCGCGCGGCCCTCAAGGCGCAGTACAACGCCGCCGGCGTCGCGCTCGTCGTCTCCGCCTTCGGCGCGACGGAGCTCCCGACCTCCGCGGGCGCGGACCCCGCCGCGCTCGCCGCGCAGATGGCGCAGTTCGTGAAGCAGACGGACCTCGACGGCATCGACGTCGACTGGGAGGAGGTCGAGCTCGTCCGCGCGAAGCCGGGCGTCGGCGAGAAGTGGCTCGGGGACTTCACGCGCGCGCTGCGGGCCGCGCTGCCGCAGGGGCAGTTCATCTTGACGCACGCGCGTGAGTCTCTCCTCTATCTGCGAGCGAGGAAGGGGAAGGACGCGCTGACGCGGGATGCGGGACAGCCGTCGCGCCGTGGTTCGCGCCGGACTTCGTGCCTGGGGGCGGCTACCTCGTCGTCCACAAGGACGTCGGCGCGCTCATTGACTGGTACAACATCCAGTTCTACAACCGTGAGCCCTCTCTG